TTCAGAGTTTTTATGGGGGCATGATTATCAAGACATATTAGAAAGAGGTCGTTAAAAGCGTCCACTCTGTCATCCACTGAGGCCATTAATTTCACAGTTTCCCGTGGTACTTTGCGATGTAACTGGAGAACTGGTCAGCGGTATAGTTTTTGAAACTCCGGGTTGTGATGTAGATGGGTGGAGGCTTAGGTACTTTCATATCAAGGACGACATACACTAGGTAGTGGTCGCTGATGGTGAGGTCTAAAACACCACTGGTCTTTACTATGTCCTTGTTTGATACCATGACAATATCCAAGAGGCTACGTGACGTCAAAGTGACCCTAGTAGGTCTGTTTATCAACTGGTGGGCGTTCACGGAAGTACAGAAAGACCAAAGAGCATCACTCCTGGGGGTTTTGAGTAATAAGTCACAATTTGCATTACCAGTCAGTACGATGTCCTTGTTACGGGATAAGACCTTCACGTACGTTGGCATGAGCTCATTTTCGAGACAGGAAAAGCCTATGTCCGGGGGTTTGTAGACAATGCACAGCGAGATCGAACGCCTTTTCTTGTTTTGGATTTGTAACCAGAGTTGATGTAGACCTGATTCGCCGATGCCAGCCAGGTCCTTGAGGACCAGGACCAGGTCCTTAAGCCATGTCTGACATAAGCACAAACACCAGCGCCGGACTTCACCAAGCGATCTAGCCTGAATATCTGGTAACCTTTAATCTCGACACTGATGTAGGTAATAGTCGCGTTAAACCAGGTCTCCGAGATCGTAAGAACATCATATTTCTTCTCTAGCGCCATTTTGCTTATCTCGTGAAAGTGTTGACGGTTTTTCAGAGACTCGGCGTTAAGAAGAGCTATTGTGAGTTGTTTATTATGGTTTACACGCACTAGTGACTTAGCGCTTACAATTAGCCCTGATGTGGCCGGGCGAGACAACCCTGTTTTTCTTTCCCCTGAAACGTCTCCCGGTGCACACTGGAATCGCTTTTTTCGCTTCTTTATCTGGACCCGGTAGAGGATGGACGTCGCCGCCCAACGTGATACGAAGCTTTAGAAAGTTGAAAGAAGCATCGGAGTTGGAAGAATACGGAAATAACAGTGATTCCGACTGCTGGAAAAATCTATGAAAAACGTCTATGTGATCAAATTAGTAATCACACGGACCCTATTTTAAGTCCAAACATAACAGCATACAGAAAAAATCATAGTTGTGACACCACCTTGTTACGGCTTGTGGGGGAATGGTAAAAGATATTAGATTGTGGAAAAGTCATAGCAGTTCTGTCAACTGATATGAGCAAGGCTTTCGACTCGCTCTATTCTCCTCTGCTAGTTGAGAAACTGGAAGCGTATAACTTCTCTGATAAAGCATTGGAACTTATGCGATCATATTTCAACCAAAGAAAAAAACAGAGTGAAGCTAGGCCCTGTCTATAGCCAGAGGAAAGAATACTTACATGGATGCCCACAGGGATCCTGTTTTGGTCCCTGTATGTGGAAGCTTTATCAAAATGATCTCAACTACAATATGAAGAACTGTAACATATCAATGTACGCCGATGATCATCAGGTCTACGTTACAGGAACGTCTATAGCTACAGCACAGGTGCAAAGTCAACTTCAGTTTGCTGGAAATCAAATTACAAAATGGTACGAGCGGAATCTACTACAAGTAAATGGCAAGAAATACCAAGCTATGTTGCTGAATATTGGAGGAAAGAAAAAGGTATCTCTATCGATATCCTATGTGGAAATGAAATCGTTGGTCATTCTGATAAATTGAAGCTCTTGGGTGTGACCATTGACAATCAACTAAATTTCTCAGAAAACATCAGTCAACTATGTCAAAAGGCGAGTCAACAAGTTGGTGTATTAATGCGGATAAAAAAGTTAGTACCTGAACGAGCCAAACTAGTAATTTATAGGTCTTCAATATTACCACACTTAACATATCGTCAGAAAATCTGGCACTTTGCAAGGGCATCCGACAAAAGAAAACTGGAACGTATACAGGAGAAAGCCCTATGGATTGTCTTCCTCGACAAAACATCCACGTATGAGCAGCTATTTTTTTACAAGTACGTTTTTTGTTCCTAGCATATACTTTCTGCATTTTTAGAATTGTATTGTAATGTTTATCCTTTCTTTTTAAATTTTCCTCCTAATATAGTGTCCCCAATTAGCGTCATTATGACGCTAGATGTATTTGACACTCAAATGAGGATACTTACTTATTTACTTACTTGCTACAAACCAGAACAGCAGAAAGAACCTCTAGTTTCTTAAGAAATACCGACAAGACCATGGAAAAGCATTTCAGCCGACCTGTTTGAACTTAACAGCACCGACTACCTGGTTACCACTGACCGTTACTCTAATTACTTCGAGTTAGATATGCTGACATCTAAGACTACCAGAGGGGTTATTGACAATCTAAAGCCGTTCCTTGCAAGATATAGGCTTCCGGACCGTATCACCACAGACAATCACAGCATGAAATCGCAAATGTACGCATCTTTAACTCTTGTGAAAAGAAACGTAAATATAAATATATTATGAACCACATTGGTAAATTGCTTGTCAATTTCTTATGTTTTTAACTTTCTTTTAGAAATCAAAAATTTCAATAAAAGTTTTATTTTTAATTGAAACGTGAGAAATGGCCAGGCCCTTTTATACTGGACTGAATAATATAAACCTCTTGCTACGTTACTGTAAAAAAATTACAAAATCAAGTTGAAGAGTTATGACAATAAAATAAATTGCCATTTATAAAACAGGTGTTGTTATGGGTCAATGCTTGAAAGGCACGTACGGCGCTTCTTTTACGAAAGCGTAAATTATCGCAAACGTTCTCGATACGACTTTTTGCATTACGCGCTAAGATAGCGCATTACGTTGATGTTGTCACGAGCTCACATTTGTTATGGTCTGATTAACAAAAAGGGAATGTTGCCAAAAAATCTAGACAACCGCAAAATGGCAAACGGGAATGTGAATATTGTCCTTTTACGATAGTTTAATAACGCGTAAAGATCGCCTTTCTGATCACTTTACAGTCGCCGTAAAATATCGTAAATATTCTCTATACGACTTTTTACAAGGCACGTAAAGATAGTGTTTTTAGTCTCTCCCGTGATCTTTACGCACTATCGTTTTCAGTGCGTAAAGACGTTCTTTACGAAAGTGTAAAGAAGTTCGTTAAGACGCGTAAAGAGGATCTTAACGCTTACTTTACGGCATGTTTACGGATTCGTAAATTCATAATTTTATGCTGTGAATGGACCACAGTTTGAACTAGTTTTAGAAGTTTGCAGCGGAGTATCAGTTTGAACACATTAAACTTCGCCACGATATCCGTAGTCCAACGGAAAGGCAGAGAACAGTGTTAAAACTGCAAAACATCTTGAAGAAAGCTGCCGATACTGGCCATGACCCTCACATGTCTCTACTGAACTTTAGGAGCACCCCATCAGCAGGGATGGACACCATTCCTACACAGCGTCTCATCCACTCAGAACCCGCACTTCCCTGCACGTATTCCTGATGTGAAGCTCAAATTACAACAAGGACAGAGGAGCTAAGGAGCTGCCACCACACAGAGTCGGAGATGTGGTGTAGATTCGACCCTTACCATGTCAGTCAAAATGGTTTAAAGCGCAAGCTGGTGGTCAGGTAGCAATACGCTCCTTATAGTTTGCAAAGGAGATAGTAGACTCTAATTTTTCACATCCTAATCAAGTTCCCAAGAACTTCCAAGGGATGCCAGATGAACATAAAGTGCGGTCAAAGGTCAATCCCCAGATTCGACATCAGCATTGCAGATGCCAGCTGCTTCGCAGCCAGGTTCCCAGGCGGCTTTGCAAAGTGCTTCCGTTCTTGGCTTAAATAGAAGCGATGGAGTTGTTAGATCTTCAGAGTTCCTACAGCCAGATCTTCAGCCGTCTCCACCAAGTGTTCCCATACCTGTCTCCACAAGAAATGGCAGAATTGTAAGGAGGAAACCGGTGTTGAGGCTGAGCTAACAATCTTGGACTTTTGAAATTTTTTAGTTAGTGTTAATCCGTTTTAAGTTATATTTTCGTTTTCAGTTTTCAATTTCCTGTTATTATGTTTTTTGTTTGTTTATTCAAAGAAGGGAAATGTAACGATGTCACAATAGTCTCTACGGGCTTGCGCTGCACAATGAGAACTGATAACCCAGATGCATGTACATGTGTTTTGTTATGTATCTTTGCAATGGTCAACTTTCGATCAGATTACATCATTGTGTTATCTAGCTGTATTATTTAGTCCACCTATTGATTTCCTGATTACGTTACATCCAATTTTGGTAATCTTTTCTGAGGGACATATTTTGGCCAAAGAATTTGTCTAAGGTATCTTCTATTCGTCATGGAAGACGACAAGAAATGATTTCTCGACCTATCTACTGCAGGAAAAAGCAAAAGAACATGAAGCAGATTATTGTGTATGAGACATGTGAGGGTCATGGCCAGTATCGGCCTAGTGGTTAATTCCTCTTTTCCCCATCTTGAGGCCTCTTCAGATAGCAAAGTATAGGACCCAACTCAGAAGGATCCATTTGGTTTACTCCAGTTGATTAAATTCATATAGACGGAGAAATAAAACCGCGAGCATTGTTGAGTTGTATTAGCACTTGGGAATTTTTAAGGACATTCGAGAGGTGCATTTCTCTCGTGTTCTTAAAGATTCCCGCGTGCTTATACAACTCAACAATGCACTTGGCGCGTTTTTTATGTATTTAATATCACGCTTACCTTGCACTAGGGAATAATTAAGTTGCTTTTGTTCAAAATGAGGTCACACTGTGGTGTTTTATTCCTTTGTTTTCAACAACCGTGTGAAAAAGAAGTAACGCATATTAGTGTGATGTATCCTCAGTTAGGAAGTGAGAACCTCGCAGAATCATCGAGATTTAGAACTGTATTCGCAAGCGCTGTCTAACTAAACTGCAAAGGAAAAGAGAAAAAAAAAACATGGCCTTACGTTGGTATGCCGCCTTAGAGCAAGGTCCCCCGGTGAATTTTATACAATGGTTCTGGAACAAGAGCCTTTTAGTCAATCAATTAAGATGCGCCCAACGTAACCTTGCTAAAATTTTAACCTTTAATCTCAAGAACCATCACCCCATTGGGACCCTCCTTATTTGGTACATCTTTTGTACTTTATTTCATTAATGAAAGGGCTGAGACAAATGTACTTCGTATTTCATCAAACAACAATAACGTAAGGAAAGAGGCGCTCTTATGAAATAAACTATAAGGGAGCTTACGCCCTTTAATCCTTTTCTTTTTCATCTAATATTGTAACAACTTTCATATTATTTAATTTATGACCAAAGTTGAAACCGGCCATTTCAATATGTCCAAAAGTGATAAAGGGTCTTTTCTTTTCAATACTGTACAGGCGCTGCAGAGGATGCAGAGAAAGAAGTGTGAGATCAAACAGTTTTTTCGAGGAGTTCCCCAGAGTTCTACTTGGTAAACTCCTGCTGACGGTGTATTTTTTTCTCTGCCGTGGACTCTAAGCGACGAATTTCCAGGCACCTTGGTTTGAATGCAAGCTAGGTAAGCAAGATTTGTGGGCGCTTACAGGATGTCTGCTCGAGAGACCTCCAGGCCAGGCTAATCACGCCCTTTGTTGGACCTGGGACTGTGTAAAAAATTATTGTAATCGTTACAAGATGAAATGAATTTTAAAAAGATCATTTTTTTGTTCTATATTATCTCATTGTTTTAGTATATACTAGAACTACTTACAAAGTCTTGATCCTCTGGAATATGTTGTTCGAAAGCGAAATAGATGGGAATGTGACAACAAAAAGTACTCAGATCGTTCTAATATAGCAATTAGTTCATACAGGTGAACGATAATCGCACAGAGCTGGGATAAAGCCCGAGACAGACATTAAAAGGACAAAAATTATCCAGGTAAATATCATTCATTTCATTATTCCAGGTAGTGGAAAGACGGGATATGACTGCCCTCCATCCCATCATTTCAAGGTGTGTTCGCCCTGGAACGGAAGTGCACTCAGATGACTGGGCCTCTTACCGACAGATGGACCGAAGAGTAAACAACGTAAGTGCACGACAAGTAGTGGTCCACCGACTCAACTTCGTGAATCCAGTCACTGGGGCGCACACCTAAGAAATCGAGTCCTACTAAAACAGTTGAAAACTGGGCCAGAAAACACGCCGGGGGACAAGAAGGGAAGACATGCTGTCCTACCTCGACGAGTAAATGTGGCGTCAGTGGAGAGTGGGAACCCCTAAGCAAGCCATGCAGAACTTTTTGGCCGTGGAACGCATATCGATATTTAGTTAATAATCCGTTCTTCTAAATACGCAACATCCTTTTTAAGTTTCTATCAGTTTTACTTTGAATTTCGGTAACGAGAAGAACGAGAAACAATCAAGCTACATCCATGACTTCGTTGAATAGATTTTCGTATCTTGAGTGTACTGTCCACACTGGTTCAAGAAGATTTTCTGACGAAAAGAAGAATTTTTAATGCGATTTATCTCGAGTTTTACCTCATTTTCAATACAGATCTTTTCGAATTCGCTGATGAAAAGGGCTCTACGCATGACCTGGATGCATTGAGTTTTTTGCCGTAGGTGATCATTATAATAATATTTGGTAAAACAATTCATTTATTTTCATGCGTGGAAACAGCACTTTTGTTGCGTTGTGAGAGCGCAATGACGTTATTCAAAGCAACCGCGAAGTGTGGTCGGGGCCTTAATGTTGGAAGTAAAATTATTGCCATTGGTTTAACGCGCATCAATCACAGTGTGAAAAAATAAAACGTGATTGAAGAGTTCAAAAGATCGGTGATTCAGTTGTAATTATATAACTAACAAAGTTTTAGAATTATTCTACGATATGAATGTTGTTGTACTAATGACTGAATATTTTTCGTGGCGGTGTTCATGGTCCAAAAAAAAAAAAAGAAAGAAAGAAAAGCTAAAACATTGACTCGAACAATTAACGGTATGACAATATCAGGGGCTTTTTTCTTGAGCTGTTTCATGTGAAATGATGAAAACCCTTCTAAAAAATTACAGTTAAAGTTTAAAGTAATATCTCAATGCAAATTGTTGAATCTGACCCTTCTAAGTGTTGAAGAGAAAGCCGGAACGCGCGCGAGCGAAAGGAAGAGCGTCCCTATCTTGGAGCAAGAGAAACGCTTCAACGAAAAACGTTAGAATGAGATAATTTATCTTTCCAATACATTTCCCCCACTTCCTAACAAAGACTTACGAAGTACTCATCGTTGGTATCGATGTCGAGCTCGGTTTCCCAGGAACAAATATTGATCCACGAAGTTCACACATGACACGCGTCCTGTATAGCTGAGATCGACAATTTCGACCGTGTCATGTTTGTAAATAGTATAAGAAACATGGTAAATGTTTAGCTCGGTAATAATTTTTTTTTTGTTAAATTAGTTCGACCATAATATATAGATTTAGCCAAGCCTAAAAGCTGAGCTCGCATTTTTTTCCCGCATGTCTTAAGGGCATAACGGCTTGTCCCGGCCGGGACTAGAACCCAGGTCATCCGACTCGGAGCTAAATGCACTGGCCACTAGACTACTGGACAAAGCCGTGGCGTTGGTATGCCCGCGGTACAGTTGACCACGCATGTTAAAAGTAGCATCTTGTACGGTCGTAGGGTCGTAAGTCCAAATTTTTTCGGCTTGATGGGTTACTAGTATTTGGTATAATTATGGGGCTACGCTATGCGAGCTCCGCTATTATGTTAAAAGTAGGTTTCAGGCCAGCACGCTTAAATACAAGTTTTTATAATCGAAGCGAAGATAAGAATGTAACTTAAATCTCACGTTTACTCTACCTAGCAATATAAAGGCCGCGATTGGATAAAACTTCAAAAGAGAGGTTTAAGAGAGTTATTCGGAATTAGGATTTAAATGAAGCAGAATTTGCATTGTAGCCAGAAGATAAAATCATTGTCCTGTATTCGACAATAATAGATGTTTCTTCCTCCAGTGACATGTTCAAATAAGATTCATCATCTTCAGTAGCGAGGACTGGCACTAATTCATTAACAGCTTCTTCAACATCTGGATCTTGGTCCTCTTCATCTTCGCTTTCTGAGCCGTTGCCTGAAACACGAAAGAGAAAAAAATCATCGGAGGGAACGCTACTATGCGCGACCATGAGCTCTAGAATGTTGATCTGTTATTAGAATCTCACATATTTTCCAACCCTCCTCCACCCTCTTCAAGAAAAAAAGCGGGTGTAAAAGCATTCTAAGAGAAATAAACAATAAATGGACACAGCACTTGTGCAATTCAGACAATCAATGCAGTTTTTGCGCACCAATCATCAGTGAGGTAGTATATCTCCCCATAAATGGCGTACTTAATTGTTATTTCCACAGTCTTTCTCGACGTCACATGTAAAAGTAAGATATTTTTCACTCAAAACGAGGTTCAGGAGGCCCTTAACTTGATCTGAGAGAGTAGCAATTTTGCTCGCCACCCACGAAAGAGATTTCTGTATACTTTATTCGCTTGTTCGCTTGTTCCGGTAAAAACAAATATTTCTAACAGAGATTACATGTATTCAGCATTACTTTGGAATTTATATTATCCATCCGGTGGAGTCTCTAATATAATGCACACCTAGCGCTATACCATCACCACACCTGCATCAATTAAATTACTGTGGCTTTTTTGAGTAACTCTCCTCCTTGGAAGCTATTCTCATTTAATTTACAACACTTTGCATTGAGCAGTTTACAATTTCTGAATGAATTTTTGGCAAGTGCCCCCCAAATTCGGAATCAAAGAGCAAACCACATCAATAGGAACTACACAAAAAGGACGACGTTTGTGCTACACAAATGAATTCTCGAACATTTACGAATACTGAGGGACAAGGAAAGTTCCAAAGGTTATCATTTGACGATTATTCATTACCTTCCTAGGTACTCAGAGAACAACAGGCCCGTATTCAGATGATCGTATGCGATGGAAAAAATACATAACCAACTAACTTTTCTTATATCCTCTTTAAACTTTCTTCATAAGCTCTAGCTTCACACTTCGGGTGTGATGCAGACTTCATTTGTTCATCTGAACAAAAACGATTAATTTTTTAAACAAAATTTGTGTGCGAAAGAGACCAGTTTATCATTCAAGTCCTCTTCGTTAAGAGAAAAATAAATTTTAATCAAAATCAAAGCATTCAAGGAAATAGAAACAGGATAATAACCCTGCATTATCCTGATGCGCTTTGGAAATGGAATGAAATTCATTTCAATGTTGGACACCGAGAACCTTTTCCATCACCTTCCCATATGCTCAATCAACATTACCCAGTCTCCATACAATTTCAATACACATACACTTTTTTTTTATCAAAAGAGTCTATACAAATATACTTTGTATAACAAAGCTAGTGCAGCTTTCAAACTGCAAACAAAATACCAAAAATTTATTCCTAATAAAGCAATAAGTTATAATTAAAACCTAAGCTTGACAGTTTCGCAAGCAAAAACAATGATCACTTTTTTGAAAGGGAATCTTTATGAATGCCTTTACGTTCTGACAATAAATGCTTTTTCCTTCCGGTACTTGTTTAACCGTGGGTTGTTCATTTTCACACACTTCTTTTTTCAAGGCAGCGAGTAAAAATCCACAGAAGGTATTGTCTTCTTAATGGATAAAAAAAACTTCCTTCAATAAAGACCTTTTGTTTGCTTTTTGCGACAATAACTACGAAGCGACTTGCTAACACCTATTTAAATTAAAATTCAAATGGTTCATTAACATCTCAATGCTGGTTTGGGAGGCAAAAGATTTGAATCGTTTGATCGAGGATTACCTTGTAAAGAAGAAAAGCGAGATCACAAATGGATGGTAACTATTCTGTTATGTCTGACCGAGGTTGCAGCTACCATTTTACAACTGGAGTGTTTCTCACCATCGCCAACATAATCACCACCATACTCGGCACTTTTTTCAACGTTCTTATTCTCGTCTCTTCATCGAGATTGCATTCAGTGTCAAATCTTTTCATCATAAACCTCACTATTGCAGATCTATTGGTTTGCGCTGCTGCTCTGCCGCTTAACTCTGTGTGGACAGTCCAAAAGACACACGGAATTTGCGTATCTCAGGGGGTTCTGTATTCTCGCAGGGTCATTCTTACTTTGTCCTCAAGCGCCTCTCTGCTCATCTTAAGCTGGGTGAGTATTGAGCGTTTTGTTGTGATTTCTAGACCTTTGAGGCACAAATTTTACATCACAACACGGCGCATTCGAATCGTTCTTGCCATTACCTGGACGTGTTCGTTGATGTATGGCGCCGTTGCTGCATTCGACGACAATGCTTTCATTACGATTTTTTCAACAACGGCAACTATGACTTGTTCTGTTGTCGTTACAGCATGTTACTTACACATCTTTGTCGTTGTTTGGAGGCAAAGAAGAAGTCAAACCGAACTTCAGAGAAGTCAGTACCAGAGCCAAGCATTGGAGAAACAAGTGGCTAAGACTATGGCTCTGGTAATCGGTGTCTTTGTTCTCTGCTTCGCTCCCCTGACCATCGCTAGACAGACTGTAACCAAGACATCTCACGGAGCCTTACATGACGGATTGTTGTTGCTAGCGCTGTCGCATTCTGCAGTGAATCCTGTGATATATTTTCTCCGCTTCAGAGACTATCGAGCCGCTCTTAAAAGAATTTTGTACTGCAAGAGCATTCAGGTAGAATACTCAAGGAACTCTGATAAAACTTGTCTGGATAACAATCAAACCGAACTATGCCAGATAGTGTCTTAGACTGCACTATTTACTAAATGACTCGCGCGTTTCTAACTCTGCGCAATAAAGAACAACTACTCTGTTTACCTGCAAATTAAACAACAAAAAAGAGTCGAGTTTCTTTTTCTCGATTAACCAAAATGAAGTAAATTTAGCTTTCTATGGAAAACACAACAACTAGCAGAGTATCGAGTTAGAGGAAAGTTTCAAGAACGGAGAACTATACAGTGGCGCAGTCTGATGCCAAAGATACCGAAAATAAAGCGTGTACAGTGAAGTGGAGTGTACAAACCCCTTAAGCTGAGTTAGGTCACTAAGCTTGCTTGGTTTACGGAACAGCTCATGTTCTCCGTTCACTGATGAGACCTTGAAGGCCGGATAGCGAGCTGAGAGTACAGCCCTCATTGTACTGTTCATATGGGCCGGTGTTGTTAGTTCGTCTAATGACAACAAAGTCTCATGATTGAACATTCATCTTGGTTATGTGTTCGGTTACCAATATCTCAGTAGCCACGATGCTTCATCATGACAGCACATCATAATTTTTAATAAAGGAAAGAGTGGTGCAGGGCGAGGCTCGGAGACCATACCAGCCTCGTTGAACAGCTGGGCTCATAAGAAGAGTAAACTTGTGAGCAAAGGAACAATAAAGAAAAAGGAAAAAACCTAAGAAAATTACCTAAAGACAATGTAAAAACTAAGGAATTCTTCAAGAAATACTTCTTAAAATACCGAAAGCTTCGTAAGTGTAAACAAAGAGATAGCAAATTTTTAGTTCAGTCGTCGAATGAAGCGGATGTTCTTAATTTGCGACGCGAATGGGGCAGAGAATAAAGTCTGAGTTCCATAAGAGAGTTGGATTTTTGCCACAAATTGGAAACACCAAGGTGGATGAGGAAAACCTTTGTCGCGAGAGTGAAGCGAAGGAAAAAAAAAAGAAGACCACCCTTAGTGGTTGAGAACGTCAGAGCTTCCAATTTTGCTGTCGCAATCTCTCTTTCAGAGACCTCGTTCGGTAGAGAGTGAGTGTCTCATATCTGGTAGCTGTGAGACAAAAGTAGTTGACACGGCTACGATCAGCAATGACGAAGGCGTCGCGGTGAAGATAGTTAATTTTGAACCGAAGGAAGGACGCGAAACATTTGCCGCAAGCAGGAAGGATCTTTGATATAATTACTTTAAGTAAACATGTCATCATTTTTCTTTAAATCATAAGGTATTCTTTCGTTGTAAAGGCTCCTCACTCACTCGCGTTGACCATATACATCCCAAAGAACCGATAAAAAATTTCAGAATTACTAAAAATTATATTGGTAGAATGTCTGTACTCCAAAAAAGGAATAGATAAACAAGCCTTTTAGTCCATGAACATAAAACATTATTAACCATTCGTTCGTTTTTGCAATAATTGCATTTCCAGTTGTACCAGGTGTATAAAGTCACATAAACAAAGTTATTAATTCTACGATTGAAAACCTTACATATACTTTAATATGTTAAAACAAACGCACTCGCTAATTACTCCAATTTTGCGCTTCTTATATTAAAGTTAAAACGACCATTGGCGGACATCCCCGAAATGCTGAAAAAGTACTGAAGTTTTAAATGTAGCTGTTCCAGATGTTGGGTTCGTAAAACAAAGCGCGATACTGAACAGCGCCATGGTAGCGGAGGAGGATCGGGTTGCGTAATAAACGAGATTAGTAAACAAATTAAGAGTCTGTAAGAGAGTTGAAAGAAAACCGATTTTGCCAAAGTGGCTCTAAGCGTGACTGATCTCTTACAAGAAATAGTCAGTTCAAATTTGAGCAGAATCAGTTACAATAGACGAACTCTAGGCTGCATGAAATTGTTTGCATGTTCAATGCATATTCGAATAAACAGAAAGATAGCTTCCTGTCTATCGCTTCTATTCAGTATCCTTCAAATTCGTGGAGATCTTTTCTCTTAAAGCCATAATCGAATAAAACTTTTCTTGATTTACGGAACCAAGTAGCTGGACACGTTCCCTTTCAGAGATGTTTTAGAGAAAAGATAAACTTGAAAAATATTGATACCTCAATTGTTTCCGTTTTCATGAAAAAAAGTTCATTCCTTCCTTTTAGCAACTTATGAATGACAAACAAAGCTGTTCGTTAGCACTACTTCACACGAACAAACTTTCCATTAACGTTTCAACTTTAAAACCTTTTTTGAAAAACCTAGATTGGTGTTACTAATAGATAACTGTCTTCAATGTTTTTGCATATTTCCTTTAGCCGTCATTTCATGGTCGAACGTGAACAATTTTTATTACTTACCAAAACTATAAAAATCTCGTAATTTTAGGAATGTTACCCCTATCTTTAAATTTAGGAAAACTGTCGCCAAGCGATCGCATTTTTTCCTCGCTACTTCCAAAGCCGTTCCAGAATCCGTAAATTTACGCTTCCAGACTTATCATAACATAACCAAGAGAACATCAACTAATAGAACTTACCCCCCATACATACCCCTCTTCCAATGATATTTTTTAAAATCTAATTTTAGTGTACGTTCCTGCGGCGCGACTAATTTGAAAACTTCAGCCGATTGGTTAGTGTTTCTGTGGTGAAATTTGATGTATGATGTTTGGCGGCCTGTGGTTTGTGGTGTTCAATATGATGACGTCATGACATCTTTCATCAAGACGATAAAAACACAAGCTGAAAAAGCGTAACCTCTGAGCGCTACTCTTGAAGCCTGAGTTTTTCTTCCCCTGTACTCTTTAAGTTAGGGTGCGTAGAAGATATTTCCTGAAAGAATTCGACTGGACGAACGATATGTCTTGCAATGGCTGATTCAGGTAAATTACCTCCAAGGTTATGCGCAATGGCACAGAAAGCAAACCGGCTCGATCTTGATGATTCCTTAATTTTAAAAATAATGTCGTTCATTTCTGACATCTATGCCTGAGTAGCTAAGTGACTCTTTACCTCCACCCTTGATCTAGAGACAGACTAATTATTTGTAGAGAATTAAACATTGATACAAACTAATTGACGAGGAGCAATAGTTAGGGGCGATTTCTTATCGATTCACGCAACTGTGCCCGACAAATTTATAAAGCTAAGACAGTCCATAAAAAGTAAGTGATCAGTCTTGTAAGTGGCTGGTTTTTTAGTACGCGATTCGATATTGAATGCGACAGCTCCTTAGGCAAGTTCTTACACTAGACGGTTAAAACTCAGTTAAATAGCATCTGCTCCTTGAAATATCGGCCAATGCAAATGTTTTTTAATGAGTAGTACCTTGAACAGCCTGTAGTGATAAGGAAGGAAGAACTCCTTCGGTCGACAGCAACATATTTATAGCTTGCTGAACATCACCAAGACAACGCTTTAGGGCTTCCTTACTAGACTCGACTGGGAAACCCATGGACAAGACCTAGAAAACGAGAAAAAATATCAGAGATTTGAATGATTTAATCAGATTGGAAGGTCGTTGTACAAGGGCGCAAAAGTTTCATTATGGCCTTTAAGATCGCTACGTTATTATTTTCACATTTTGAAAAATTCGGGCTTAATGTTCGAGTTCGTCATTTTCAACCCTCGTTAACTCTGTACACCCTAATATTAGTATGCATATTCTTCATACTGTTCTCTATACATTTCCTTCGGTGTTGACAAGGAGAATTCGTTTAACAATGAAGAACTTTTCAAGTTAGTGATCACTACCTTCATTCTCGGCGTGACCTTAATGTGATTTAGGGCTGATAATGTAGGGAGAAATTAGATGCTAGTCATTCTTAGGGGTTAAAGGTTTTATCTTTCCCATCCTTAGTCATTTTCGTTGCTATTTGGTTTCTTCTATTCAAGGCAGTTTACGAGTTCAGGAATGACGTCTACGGCAACTGGCAGCAAACGGCGAAAATGAACGCTGGTTTTACTTTCTATTCCCAGACAATCCTTAAAAGAGCCCTGTAGAAAAATTGCCCCTGTAAAAAACTCTCTTGTTTACAGTTAGCGCCGATATCCCAATGTAGGTGTCAAACGGCTTTAAGTAGACAGTGTGAAGTTAATCATTGCCGCTCATTGTAAAGGCAATATTTGATTCAATCATATTTTTATATCGATAAACAATGATTGAATTATAATCCACTCACCTGAGCAACTTGTTCATCAGAGAGATCAGATTCACTGAAGGATGATCTGGACCTGACGAACAGTTAGTGAGTTAGTGAAGTACCTTGTGCTGTTTCATAACATTATAGCGGCAGCGCACACGGATCGCTCGCAATGAAAGTTTGGCTACACCACGAAAGCGGCTATTTATCTCTTAACACTTTCCAACTTAACATCATTATGCACATTCTCCCTACTGTTCTCTATACATTTCCTCGGGTGATGATTGGGAGAATTCGTTTAACAATCATAAGAATGAGTAAGTAACTCACTAACGCTATGGGTAGACCAGAATCCGAATCAATAAGGTCAATTGGCATCGACGTGTTTTGTATGCTTTGGAAATTAATCAGCATTGTTATATCCTCACCTTTTGCCAGGAATATCAAGTAAATCTGGATTATCTTGAAGAGCCTGTAAATATTCATTCAGATCAGAAATAACCGTTAGTCAACATCAAATTAATACGGAACTAAATGCATCGACCAATTTGAAGCTTCAACATCCCCCTTGACATTTGAACTTTTGCAGGTTGGTTCGTTCAAATCCCGTCCCGGGGACCAAAATTGTGTTCGAAATCCCTACCCGAGTGCAGGATTTGATTGTTTCTTTTTTGCGTAAAAGGCGAGACAGGGACCGTGGCTTTCTTGTTGACCTATTCTTCAGAGTCAACTGCTCGCGAAAGTAAACTGTTTGCTTTAGATATCCCCATATTAAAAGATAAAACGTGTATTCCGCCGGGCAGACGTAACAGCTCCGATTCAAATTTCCCACCCCAACCAGGCAAGGTTCAAATTCCCTCCCAGTGAGATACGAAACACGGTCAAATGCCTGTGGGTTTCCCGGTTTGGGGAAGGAAGGGGGGTGTTGAAGCTTCGAATCGATCAACGCATATTGTTCTCAAACCCTAATTTAAGAGACAACTTAGCCTCTAATCTTTTCTTGTCGTGCCAAAACTCTCTACTACTGAAAAGGACATGGGTTGCCTTACCTGCAGCGCATTATTGATATCATTGTTCGCCTGTTTTAAGGCCTGCGTGGCCATGCAGCTGGAAAAACCCATCTCCACAAGGAATTTATAAGAATCTACATTGACCCTGTACAAACAGAAAAAATATTAAAAGATGTTACTTAATGAATGACACAGGATTTCCGCAGAAAAAAAATGCGAGTGCTCCCAACAGGAGTCGAACCTATGACCTTCTGATAAGTACTGCGCATGCTCTGCCACTGTGCTATCGGAGACTCGTGACAGGCTTGGCTGTTTAACTGGGTCTATGGTGACAAGCTTCTTGCATACTGCTGGACAGGAATGTCGAATGTGATGCTTGTATGAAATGAAGATGTAAATGGTGATGTGAATGAAGATGGTAAAGTTGAGGCCTGGTTATGTAAGTGAAAGATGACGTTAATCAGTGAACAAAACAGGCAAACTCGGAAAAAAGAACTCAGAGTTCACCCTATTCGAACCTACGACCTTCCGATTAGTACTTCGTATGCTCTGCCACTGAGCTTTGAGAGATTCATCGCAGGCTTAGCTGCAAACTATCGTTGAATGTTGTTCGAAATTTCAAATTCTGATCTCCTCAGGAGTAAACTGTTACTTTGAAACACCTTTTTCAAAGATTATCCATGATTTTATGTCTAAGTGACGTGAAAAATCATTTTTAACGAGAAAACTTTTTAGTTCGGTAAGGCAGAAAACATCTTGGATAATGCACGAAGAAAAAAAAGGATACCTGCAGGCATAAATGATTCAAACAAATTGCAAAGGAAAAACTTGAAAATCTCAGTTAGATTTTCTCGTCGCAAAACCCGCAGCGTCTACCCACCCCCCACCCCCCACTCCCCACTTAGAAGGCTCGTAGTTCGCGCCCGTAATTTGTTCAAATTGTAACTCACCCAGTCACAAGATCATTATTCACATCCTCCCATCCTACCCCACCCCCTCATGCTTACGTTGATAGTTCCCGCGGTGTTGTGTCTCTTACCATTCTCCTGTTCCAGTCTTCCCTAATTTTCTTTCCAGTCGTTTTTTCTTTCTCTCTTCGACCTCTTTCTTCCTTCTTTCTTTTTTCTCCTGTTAAAAGGTCCCAGGAAAAAAAGCGTTATATTCTTACTCAACAGAAAGGTGAGATAATTTTGGGTCTTTCAAAAGATTCTTTATCAGTTGACGCGAAGTGGCCTAGAAACTATCTAGCTGGTTTTCGTATCCAAAAGATACGGGCTCAGGCCTTGACCGTGTCATTGAGCGATGTTTTTGGGCAAGAGACAAAAATCTCACAGCGCCTCTCTCCACCTAGCTGTATCGATAAGTGCTAGTAAGCTGTCTGGCACCATTAAAAGAATTCTCGGGGGTTATGCGTCAAACGATTCGAAGCTTTAACATTCCCACCAGCAACATCCCCGGGAATTTTAACTTTTGGGGATTGTTTCGTTCAAATTCCTGCCCCCGCCCAGAAGCCAAAATTGTGTTAGAATACCCTACCTAAGAGCAAGGTTTGACGTTCAATTTTTTTGGTAAAAGGCAAAATCAGTGACCTTGACTTACTACTCTTAGACAAAGCTTTAAACTTAGACCTGGTAGACCTTTCCTTCTGAGCATGACAACCTTTCTCGGAACAACTGTGCAATGAGCTTAACTCGAATGTCCCATCAACTCAAAGTTGGGTCCTGTTCCCGTCACTGTAACTTACCCCGCGGGATATCTCTAAATACCAAATACCTTGTACCGTTTTAGTGGGTTTAATGGGGTTCAAGTCAAGTCATACTCTTCTGTACGGAAAGAGAACTTACCTGTCTCTTCTTTGTGATATAATCAATAGCCAGGGTGGTGTCCCCTTGGCAAGCTCTTAAACCGAGACGAGCTTCAGATTCTGTAAAACCCATCATCAATACTGCAGACAGAAAAAAAGGCTTTCATGAGATGTTGTTTGTCCTCGCATACGCGTTTACGCTCTAATAAGCGCCCTCCCCCGAATAAGCGCCCTCCCCCGAATAAGCGCCAACCCCCATGGCAAGAAAATCGAACAAGGGCTCCCTCGAAGAAGTGTGCCGCCCCCCCCCCCCTCCACCCTCACTTTCTTAAAAAGTAGGGATACAAGGAAAACATAAATCTGTTGCCATTTGATCCAAAAATTTTAAAGCATCAACTACAACGGAATCAGTACATGTTAATAATTTCTTAAAAGGCGCCCTCCTTCCAATAAGCGCCCCTCCTCTGTGCCAAAATTTTGAGGAATTGCCTTGGCACTTATGTGAGGAAATACGGTAACTTGTTATCATTGATCGGGGTACAATTCTTTTTCAAGTTCTTTCAACAAAAGAAGCGTTTCAGGTGTCTAGTATGGACCTGACTAAAAACCATACCTAGATTGTTTGCACGTTAATTACTTGAGATGAAAGGTAAAACTAAGTAAAAAAGCTTTCATGTTGCTTAACAACTTACTCTGGTTTAATTGATCTTTGTTGATGTGCAGCTTACTTTGTAAATCTTCCGCCTGCAACATAGGAGATGACAACAGACACAGTTAATTTTCATGGTCAGAAATGCGGTTTCTTTTTCACTCTTTGTTGAGCGCTCGCACGAAATAATTCTCGTTACTATGTATTTACCCTAAACTTTATTATAAACAACTGCACTATCCACCTGAAATTTCGAGATCTAACCCTGCTTTAGGCCATTGACGTGGGGCAGAGATTAACAACGCGATAAGAGATACACATGTTGATTAAGCTTGGTTAAAGGAATGTTACCTCCCATCGAACACATTAGTTTTCTAAAGGGCACAAACATCTAAAAGGCGGAATAATACAAGAACAATGAACGAGGATGGAGGTAACACAGATTACAAATGACAAACTGTACCTTATCCAAACATTTTGTTGTACCGAAAATATCTCCTTTATGATATGCACAAACAGCCTCCAGCACATACAGGCGCACAAAAAGGGCCAATTCACCACCACTACTACCCTGTTCGTGGGAGTGATTGCACATAAATTTGTGACTCAGATGTGATTATTACTTGTTATCTCCTTATGACATCATTATTCAATGTCAAGTGAACAGAGGATGAGAATAAACACCGCAATACCGGTATATCAAATCGATAATTTAACCTCAAGATGAGATAAAACTAAATTCTCTAAATAATTTACTAGGAAATGTTTTAGAAGCTAGTGGGGAGAGTTGTGAATTAACTTCTGGGAGTTGAAGAGTTTATAATGAGGGGGTGGAGGAAAGGAAAAAGTCCCCCCCCCCCTAAAAAAAAAAAAAAAAAAAAAAAAAAAAGAGTCTTGGCTCCATGAGGAATTTTATTTACAGGGGGTAAGGCTTTCATTCTTTGGTTCTTAGTGACTTTGATACTCTCCCAGAACATAGTCAGGGGAGGAAAATGCCCTGCAAAAAACAAGAGTCTTTGCCCTAAGGAGAGTTGTTCAAACACGGCACAGTGCATTCATTTTTTGACCCTCTATTGTTAAAACACTTAATATACTTCTAGCAGGGTTCCCCCAAAGTCTCAGAAATAAAAGGAGAGAATCAGTAGTTTACAAACTATCTGAAGAAGAAATTAAGGCTTAATGTCAAGTGTAAGAACATGACCCAAAAAGAGTTTTCCCTGGACATAGAAGCAGGTTTTTTGTTATTGCTGCTGTGGTTTTTCTGTTATAGTCATAACAGTATATATGGTAATAATTCAATTTACTGCCAGGAGCACTTATTTACTTTAGGTACCTCAAGGGAGGGTCCGTATTCAAAACTAGAGGGATGTTGTTACTAGCTACATATTTAAAAGAAAAATTACTGTTATCTACTATGATCCAGTTTACAATTACCCTAACAACAGTCAGCCTCTCAAGGTTTTGGCCATAGCTTCTTTCAAAACATTCCTTGCACTTCTTCAATTTTTCCTCTGGAACAAAAATATCAAGGATCAAGTTGCTCATTAAAATGCTAAAAATCATTTTACAGGAAAACAGTGAATTGTTCAAAGGTAGACCATGGAACACAATTTTCACAGATGCCTTACATTGTTATTTAGAATATCTAAGTTATGATCACAGAGCTGTAACTACAACTGATGTTAAAGTAATGAAATCCCTTGCAAGAATCTAATTTTTCTCCTGTGCAAAATGAAAGACATATTGTTAGGAAAGTCTTAAGGGCTAAATTTACTTAAAGTTTCTCAACCAATCAATCCTTAATTCGGTAAGAGTACTTCATTGTCACTAGTTTTATCATATTGCTCAGTTAGTATGTGTGCTATGATTGGTCAATTTAGTGGCCATATTTTACTGTTATGGCCCACTGAATTAAAAAGTTTGTTTGTATTGAAATCTTCTCCTTGCATTTTAAAGACTTGTTTTCTTGCTCTTTACTGTAACTGTAACTAGGAGGAGGTAGTGTGGCCAAGTGGTCAGGGTACTGGATTTGTAATCTGGTGGGCCCAGGTTCAAGTCCTTCACCCTACTGCTCACTGAATTTGCTCTCAGTCCCCCCGAGTTCAACTCTTTAGCTGTGCTGTGTAAATAGCCAACTAGTCTGACTGCTGCCAATTGAGATTTTCAAGCACTTTATGTACTTTATGTACTTAATTAGAAATATTTGTTTCCCTCTCTTTTTATATTGTAAAGCACTTGGAGGCTGGCAATATGTGCTATATAAATTGTCAATTGAATTCAATTTTTTACCTCATTTTTTTCCACTTAGATTTATGGCCTGTGTGCGTTGCGCTTTGGCCATAAATTTGAGTTGAAAAAAATTTTTTTGTAATCTACAGTACAGACCTACACTCAGTTAGTATGAGCAAGAGGTATATAGTTACTTTGTGGTGACAGTAGTACTTAGCAACAAAACAAGCTTACCTGTATGTTTTTTCTTTTAGTTTGTTTACAACTTCACACTTACCAAATATCACACAATAGATAGCAAGTAGCATAACCAATCAGATTGCATCATTAGTGATAGAAAAATGCTAGTAGGCTTATACAAACTGTAATAGTGGTACACAAAATACTACACTGTGGTTGTAAGAGTAGTGCAGTGTAATTAAATTAGTTCAAGTTGTATAGTGGTAGAACTGTCATGCAACGTCTGTTAAAAAGTAATTTTATTTCTGATCAATCTCTTACCTGCATTAGGTAGATCAACAATACTCTTGAGCCAAAAGTAACACCAGACAATGTCCAGACAAAGGATACCATAATTATCAACAGCAGTAAGAATCTGAGCCCTGCAATGACTGTATGTGGAACACATACATTAAAAAGAATTTTAATTATAACTTCCACATCCCGGTCTTTCCCCACTAACTGAAAATGTCAAATGAAAAAGCATCATCCACAATCCCAAATAAAATACATATAAATGCAACTATACCCAGAAGAATTCTTTTGTAATGGAATTAAGTAAATGCTTATTTTCCATTCTATTTTCTATGGGTGCTGTAAAGGAGAATTTGTTTAACAATCAAGAGCTTCTTTAGTTGGTGATCATTTTATGTATTCTCATGACCTTTATTTTTGATCGCACAACATGATCAAAGCAAATAAGTCCAGCTTCAAAAATTATTTAGTATTATAAAACATTTTCCAATGAGCTGAATTACTTGTGCATTTTAATGAACAATTTTTTTATTCTTTTAAAATTAATTAAAACAAAGTAAATAGATTCAATGTGCTTGTGGTTCTGTTCAGTAATAGATCACACATAATCACTAATTTAAACTTTTCTTACCACATTTTGTAATCTATTACTGAAATTTTCTAATTTTGTAATCTATTACTAAATTTTATAAAATAATCATTTACACTTTGCATTACCTGAATTCCTTTTCTGCCTCAAGGAGTAATAAAAGAGCCTCAGGGTAGTTTCTCTTTTTAAGAACACTTCGTCCTTTTTCGTGCAACGTAAGAGCCAGAGCCAAAGCCTACACAGTAAAAACAAAAGAAAATAATAAGTAACGTTGCAAAATAATGGCAATAATGAAATATTTTTTTGCAATTGTGACAGATTACTAAAACATTGATGAAAAATTTCAAAAATGGTCACAAAGTTCACAAGCTTTTAACATTGTTAATCCACTATACAGGTAGTTCTCTTTGTTACCTTTCTTTCATTTTCAGGCAGCTGAATTGGATGACCTTCTTGATCACTAATCTCCAGGAAAAACCTGTCATCTTTAAGATCTGGCAAAATGTGAAAGAAACTGAATTTATTTAATAAATACAGTGAAGCTTTGCCATCAGTGTAATTAACTTCTTATTAAGACAAATGATGGGTTATTTCAAGTCACAGCAACTTGCAGAGTTTAAATCTATAGTGCCTCTTTCACAGATAAAGTGAAGATAACATGGAACTAATGTAACTTGTTTACAAAAGATTTTGCAAAGTATACTTGCTTTCAGTTCTCTCTCATTACATGGTAAATCTAAGTCCTCAAGATTTCACTATTGTATCAAACTACTCACTGTCTTGTCTATTTGACAATGCCTCAGCAGCTTGTCTAGTTCTGGACACATTTTCTCTTGCCTCATCCTTCCCTTGCCACTGATTCTCCATTTCAGCACTTGACTTTGACAACAGAAGCACCATGATCTGACTGTTGTTCTTCAAATTCTGACTCTCAAGAGATTTGTCTGTTTAAAAAGGGTAGAAGCCCTAAGTCATCGGTGGAAGTCATTATTTGCTGAGAGAGAAGCCAAGTACCCAACATCACCATAGTTTATCCCCGAGATGCTTCCTTCAACCCTTTAACTCCCAAGTTCTGATTTTTAATTCTCCTCTCTAACTACTACACATTTCTGTGTATATCAGTTACAAGAATTAAGTATTGGATCAAGACAACAACTTCTATCTGACCTGTTTGCTGAATAACACATGGATGTTTTAGGGAGAACTTATATGTTAATCATTTCTGAGAGTTCAAGGGTTAGAAGCCACAAGGGGTATAACTAAGCAGTAAGACCTTTGCAAGTTACCTCTAACATTTCTTCAGCCTAAAGTTTGCAGGTTGTAAGAGACAGTGGGTATTAAACACGGTCAATGAGAGTAAGGTCAAGGTCTCACCCATAAGAAAATCAATGATGCTAGGCGAGGCTGAAAAACTGGGACCTTTGGGCAGAGGACCCAGATCACTAACAACAACTGTTTGTCAAAATTAAAAATTACATTATTTCAATCTTCTCAGATTAGCAACTGCATAACTGGTAAGTGACATGATTTTGTGCATTTGACATCAACTCAGGCATCCAGTAATGATACCCAATCAGAAATCTCACAAGTGATAGCACATTTCTAAATATTAAGTGACCTAGACAAGTATAGTAAATATAGTAAATAATTGTTTCCAGTTATTGTCAAGAGTACAATTAGGGTTAGTAAAAAGAGTAGATCAAACTTCTTGCTTACAAGTCTATCCTTGGCTAATGAAAAAAAAAATACATAAAAATTTCCTGCACTAATTGGAAACTTCTTTTTGAAGCAGAAGGTGACCTCCTGGAAATACTCTTGATGCATAATTTCCTGTATTAAATATTTGGCACTCTGATGAAAGACCTGTCTAGTTCAGGAGGTTCCTAGAAAATCGGAATTAACTCATGTAACTCTATAATTCAAAAACAAGCAGCAAGTTTAAATCATACTGTGCTCAGTAATTATGAGCTATACTTTTGTTTCAACACACCATCACATATAACATGTCCTTTACATATAAGTTTCATTTTTTCAGCATCCAGACCAGTTTCTTTTTTCAAGCTGAAAGGAAAAATAACATATCAAAAACATGTATTAATTAATTGAGTATTGGAATCAACTTAAAGCCAGATTTGCTTGTAACATGTAATGAAATTTGTAAATTAAAAACACATATACCTTCTTCTAAAATCTTCCCCTGTAACATGTAAACCAGTTTGTATTTGCAATCTGTTGTTTATCCCTTGAGGAACACTGCCAGTAAAGTGAACCTTGATGGTTGCAATTCCTGATTTAGCAAACCTTTGCTCTGTCTGAAGCTTTGTCACAGCACGAATTCTTAACTGTTCTAGTGCTTCAAAAATTTCTTCTGCAGATTCATTTAGAGCTTCAGAATACTGGTTTATTAATTCCTATAAAAGAAAAGAAAACAATTTTTCCAAAGTTTTTAGATAGAAATAGTAGAGATGGTAAGTTTTTTTTTTAAAACAGAGATGGTAAGCTTTTTCAAAGTGTCAGCTTATCATCAATTTATATTACAAATAAGAGATACTCTGTCACCTGAAAACCAAATTTACCCCAGTTGCCTAAGGGGAATGGGATAATTAAAGACACTACATGAATGGCAGGTATTGCATTAAGCAATCCATATTCTGCTATCCAGTAGATAATATGATCTTTAATTTAATTCCTCAGTAAGTACATGAACTATGATTGGTCAATTTAGCAGGCTGTATTTCTCTGTGTGGCCCACTAAATTTAACAGAGAATATGATTGGTTTAGAAAGTATGCCCTCTACTTCAAGCACGCATTCATTGGTTCAAATATGTCCCTTTTTTCTCGTCTTCTTTTATTTTTGGTAAATGATGATGCGCCATGATGAGTTTGAATGCAAGATAAAGAAATATTCAAGCCAAAACTAATTTAATTAAAACTGAACCACAATGTACAATTCATTCTTCCCCATAGGTCATCTGTTTCTAACATATTTTTGCAAACTGAAATAAGCTACCACATGAGATATCAGTCCAGTGATAATAAGGATGAACTGATTAAAAGCTAAAACGCGTCAAGCGTAGTCTGTAATATCGGACTTTCACTAAGATATTTACCTCCGGGTAGATTCCTGGAAGGTCGTTTGAGACAGTGTAAGGTGGAAGCCACAGCTTTATGTTTTCAGCACGTAATTTGTCTCTGATTTGATCTAAAATTCTATTAAAATGAGGGTTTTGTTCTGCCATAGCACCGTTCTCTTTCAACGGAGAGGGCGAAAGAAATAAGAAAACTAGGGAACAGCCTTACAAAAGATGAGTTCGCAAAATCTTGTTTTGGCTTAAAAGATAAACCGCTGCCAAGAAAGATCGTAGTATACGCCTGCGTGAATGATCGAGCTACCCCTCACAGCTAACATACGGTGGGAGAAGCGTTGATCCGGTGAATTGAAGAAATGAAATGAATCCAAACGTAATGAGATGAACATAAAAATTCAACAGGCTATTTTTCAATTAGAAAGTCGCCCAAGCAACTCTCAAAGTAGTTCGTTGAATTGTGCTGAAAATTGTAGTTCTAGTCTGTTGGAGACATGTTAATTGTGATGAAGACTGCGATAAGTTGATGGAAACATGGTATAAGCTGTAACCTGCCTTTCTCCATGTCATCGATCGTGCTTCTAGTTGGCCAATGTGGAAATCAAGTCGGTCACGAACTTATGCGTTTGATTGACAAGAGTGATGCTCACCCTCTGAGCCACAGGGATGGCAAGCTGAGGTGTGTCTGTGTGGACAGTGAGTCTAAGGTCATTGGACATAACTACCGTGAAGATTCAAGATCCAGTAAATTGTACAGGGAAGGAAACATGATCAGTGGACTGAGAGGACGAGGAAATAACTGGGCATTAGGGTACCATGGTCTCAGTGGGGAAACTGAAGACACTTCATTGTTACACAGGGCTATGGAAATTGTGAGGAAAGAAGTGGAAAGATGTGATAATTATGCAGGTAACCATGAACCATTTTCTGATTCAGTGAGATAAAGCAGTTTACACCCCTGAAAACTTTCTGTTGGCAACTAAATTTACTCTGCATTGGAACAGTGCAATGTGACCATTACATAAGACCTGTCAATAAAATCTGTTTTTCCATTTGCTTCACCTTTCTTGCAGTATAGGAAAGGGATATAAAATAAAGCAGTTGAATAATAAATAACTTATTGGGTGTCTTGGTGCTTAATATTGCCAAGTAGTTTTAATCATTGTCTGCATTTTGACTTGCTCCACAGGCTGGTTAAAGTACTCAATGATACTACACACCAAAATGTCTAATAAAATATATATATATATATATATATATCCAAGAATACAACATAATGACTCAGCATAATGACTCAGTCGGGGCTTGGATCTGGACCTTCCAAACCCAAAGTTCCCCTTTTCACAGATTGACTCATGTACTTTACATAAACTTAAACAAAATGGGTTGGTTGCCCATTAACGGAGATGCTTTAGGAAGGGGAGAAGTGTCTTTTAGGCTGATCATGCATCATGAACACCATAAAAGTGACCACAATGTATTGTTTACAGGGTTTGAGTTTAGCATGGGAAATAATTATCTGAAGTTCTGATAAAAATTCACAACTGTGTCAAAAAGGGGACCTCAATTACACTATACCTGAAAGTAAAAGTATATTGAATCTGTAAATTTGAGTGATTACAGCATAAATAAGGTATGGAACTACTGAAAGGGCTCAGGAATGAAGATTACAACCCTCTGTTTTCATGTGTTTTTTTTTGTTTCTTTCTTTTTTGGTTTTCAATACTTTGAATATTGTTAATAAAGGAAAGTGGCAAGTTGGGGAGCAAAAAGTAAGGGGAAGGTTTGGATTAGCTTTTTGCTGGCCATACTTCCTTGTTATGAACTTTACAGTTTTTCAGCCTCTTTTTTTAGCATAGGAGAGTGAACAAATTTTGTTCACTCTCCTATGCTAAAAAAAAAGAGGCTGTGATCATTTGTTGGAAAAGTTCTTAATCTTTAATACCAATTGAAAGTGATATTAAAATTGGCATTTTTCTTTCAGGCACTATGGTGGTTCATAGTCTCACTGGTGGCACTGGGTCTGGTCTGGGTTCTCACTTGATTGAAACTTTAAGGGATGCATACCCTCTGGCTCATGTCATGTCTGTTTCTGTATTGCCCCACTCAGCAGGTGACAGTCCTCTCCAACATTACAACTCTCTTCTCAGTTTGTCAACATTACAATGGTAAGTAATATTGGCCCGCTCAAACACTATTTTTGCAATACTTTATTTTTTCCTACAACACACAATCAATTACTATCTGTACCCTCGATGTATGAGAAGTAGTTTAGTCTTCCTTACTTGACTGGCTTGATTTCTCACGTAAGTGCAGATCATGGTTTTGATAATGGATCTGCCTTCCAGTTAATGTTCATACTTCAAATGGACCAGCCTGCAATTTCTGAAGCACATAAGAAAGATTATGCTTTAATTTATGATTGTTGGGAAAGACCTTTGTATGTCTCTTGGAAAGGGGGATGGTTGGAAAGAAGGGATTCTTAACATAAATGTATTGTTGTAGATATTGTTATTAGTATGACCATTATTATTATTATTATTATTATTATTATTATTATTATTATTATTATATTTTTATATTGTGGAAAGCCCGTAAACTACTCTTACAGCAAAGCGTTTTATCTATGGTAAATGAACTATCTATTCAGGTGAAAACTTTCCTTGTCTTTCCCCTCACTTTTCAGTCATGCTGATGCAGTTCTATTGTTTAGCAATGATGACATTCTTCATCATATGGCAGCACACAGTGGACTGTTAACACGACAAAACCCATCGGGCTCCATCTCTCTCAAAGACATGAACCAATACATTTCTATGAGCCTTGCTGGAGTGCTTCAACCTTTGGGAAGCAAACCCAAGCGTTTAAAAGGAAAGCTTAAGGAGAGGGGAGCGAAGGAAACGATCGGCAGCAAAAAAAGAAGCGAAATATTTTACAAAAGTACAGAAACATCGTGTAAAATGGACACCATAACAAAACAGCTTTCGTTTTCCCTTAATGAATCTCATCACGAATCTGAAGTCACTCGCCACAGAGCCGTCTTTGGCCGTAGTCCTGGTTCCGCATCATCCATGTCGTCTAACGACTCCATTTTTAGTTCATATTCGTATTTAAGCGACACTGACAGCTTAACAGACATGTCAAGACAACCCAGATCTACTGCCTCAGCGCTTTTGCGCTATAGAGGAATCGTAAACCCTCTCGAGAAGAGAACTTCCGAGAGTGGTGATAGTCGTCAGACTGAAAATTCTCCACCAGCAGTTGATGTACCAAGTGGAAATGAGCCATGGGAAATGTTCCGATCAATTTGTGCAGAGCCATCAAAGAAGTTTGCCACAGTACATCATATCGCCAAGTCGAAAGTTTCTTGGGAGAGCCTTACTCAGTCCCTTATTCACTCAATTCGAAGATATGATCGAAATGGTATGCAGTTCTCAACCTTAGCCTCATTGCTTGTGGCTCGCGGGGACCATGATGGTTCTTTTGCAGAGGTTTGGCCAAAGATTGAAGATAAACTGAGAACTTCGCTGGGATTTGTGGACTGGAACCCATTTCCTATTGATTTCTGGATTAGTGAGTAACCTTTATTTTCAAAGTAACTTTTTTCGCTTTTCCAATCACGAGGGAAAATTTTAAAGATTAAGGGAGTCGAATTTTTTTTTCTCAATACTCCAGGTGTCAACAAGTCGAGTGAATACTTTCTCAGCGCTTTCATGACTTTTCTCAATGGAAACAAAAGAAAACACAGGATTAAGGAATTGGAGAAACAGAATTTCTTTCTCACGTCCTGTGCATGTCACAAAATCAGCTTGCACAAGAAAGTAGCGCGTTTATCACCCGCTAATTTGAATATTTCATGCAAAGTTTCCTTAAGAATGTGTGTTGTACAAAGTAGTATTATCTTCATTTGTTGCATCTTAAACGTGTTTTAAGGCGTTGCAAATTCACTCACAAAATGTTTCACACCACAGCTAACGTCTCGTATCAAGACAATTTGGTTTTATTATATAGATACTATATATATACCATTGTACTAACTGCGTCTTCGTTTATAATACGTTTATATATTCATATATATATATATATATATCACAGGCCGGTATAACCCTGTTGGTCCCAAAGACTCCCAGTCTCTTACTCTGTGTTTAAACTCAACTAAGATTGTGGAGACTTTAGAGGACGTTATGAGGAAGGCAAGAGCGATGTACGGTGCAGGTGCTTATCTTCACTGGTTTACCAAACACGGCTGCTCTAAGGTAACAACAGGGTTAAAAGCAACCCATGAACTTGCTGAAAAAGTAAACGTTCCCGTATTTTTGGATATTTCGAGAACCGTTTTGAGTCGCATGGGGTAAATAACGTTTTTAACTAGCGGTTTAGTTTCAGAAATGGCTGAGGACATGGTGTGCACGTTTTTTTTTCTGAATGAATTTTCAGACTTATAGCATTTGTTGGCTACTTCATATGAATACTTGTTAGTGATAAATTATTTTGACCATGAGCCTGGAATAAATATGTCATTTATTATCCTCGCACAGTACCCTTTCTTTTTACCCTCAGACTACTCTACTCGCTCCACTAAAATGCTTTACTTATGAGGTTGTGGTATTTGTTTTAAATCTGTTCGCAACTCTTGATCACTTTAGAATGACTTTCTGGATGCATTTGAAACGCTGGAGTCTGTTGTTGAGGAATACAAGCTTGGTGTAAGGTGACGTGAACACGGATCTAAAATGTGGAGAGAGCCAAGATCAATAGACTTGTGAAGCAACTGAAAGGAACACAATGGAACATTACACATGCCTTGACAAGTATTAAGGACATCGATTCATCGGTATTCGTGGCCAGGAATTTTTTTATGAATCGACTTTCCGCTGCAAAATATACCGAAAATGTATATAACTACTGGTAAACCGAGTTTCCTTTAATGTGTGGTTTATTAAGAAAAAGATGGAATTTAAAAAAGCAATGATGCAATGATGCAGGAAAGTAGTGCTTAAGCTCTCATTTGAATAGTAACAATCTACGGTCGCGTCCAAGTGCATCAAACTGCCATATGATAATCATGCAAAATGCTTCACATTGTAAGCGTCGTTTTTCCTTGAAACTGTTTTTAATACTTTAAATAAATGTTTACTTGTTAACACGGATCAGTTATTGACTGTTAACAATTTTGTTCAACAAAGTCCCGAATTAAATCGCAAATTGTCTTTCCTACAGCGATTTACAAATTTTCTTCTCATTATGGTCATTCGTATTTAATTCCTTCTAGTGATGTCTTTCTTGGCAGATCCGAGAATCGAATCAGGCATCCGCGAAGCAATGAACGTCATGCCTACATATAGCGCTCTCTCGCTAACATTCTCGTTATCTCCAATAATCAACTTGACTTGCACGTGGTGAAACTGATAGGAAACCGGAAAATCCTGATTAGAAATGAGAATAGTGAATGTCGCCTGCTAACTAAGCAGTCTTCTTCCTTTCGAGAAGAGAGTATAATATTGTGTTAACTTGTCATAGGTCACGCTTGCACCGGAAAAATAAACTTCAGGTCTTTCGAGGATGTCCAACCAAGGTCTTCACACAACTCCTAGGACATGCATCGGCACGTTACGTCATTCGAAAAGGTCATCATCAGCCATAAACTCGTCTAAAGCTTCCAAGATGTCGGGTGTCACCATCTGCCAATTAACCATAGAAAATCCAGGTAAAAGAGCAACAAAGACTGTGATATTGTCCATGGACTCGGCGTACAACGCGCTCTTAACAAGCCTCTCTGCCAAACTCTTTGCTAGAAGACGCGCTTTTTCCGGTCTTGTTAATCCTTTTACTTCGCCGCCTTTGAGCCAATTAAACATTTTAAAATCTGGTAAAGAGAATCGGTGATGACGTGTATATATGGAACTGACGTCATCGATAGGTGGGGGATCCGTTATGTGACTTGTATGAATGGGTTCTCCTTTAGTGTTAAAAGAACTCGTGTCTCTGTTTGTTTCAACGCAAGGGTTAATTTGGTAGTGTGCTATCAAGTTACTCAAGTTGTCTTCGCTTTTACTGTGTGCCAATCCTCCAGCAACGTCGTCCGGAGGAAAAACAGATGGCGAGGATGTATTATTAAATTGATCGCCGGCCATCTTAAAAAAAAGCTTTGTTCTGTACTCTGCGTTAGACAGATGTTCATTGTGTATTTCAGACACAGTTCTATCAACTATTTCTCCTTCAATAATCTTTTGTTTCGCCTCCCTTCTTATTTGTCCAAAGAAGCCGTTGACAAGATGAATAGTTTCTTCGTAGGAAAACATCTTCCAAAATCCACTAGAAGCTAAAACTAGAAGCTGATCTGTAGGATCTAAGGATATAGTCCTGACGTCAGGCTCATTAATGATGCATCTCTTTAAGGCCATATCTCCGATGTTCCCAATGCCCCTTGTGACACTGAGGGCCCCGTTTATGAGCGCGCATTTTTCCGTCTTCACTATGACCCCGCTTGACTTCTTCACACGCTCGCGTTCCTTCTTGTTGTACAAATCGTGCTTGTTTGTGAGTACTTTAACAACATCGTTGTCTCTTACCAAAATAGCGCCCACATTCCCGGCATTTGCGATAAAACACATATCATCTGTCAAAACGCATGTGACTGCTGAGCAACCACTCCATCTACTTTGCGACCGCTCCTCCTCTGACATGAGTAGCAACTTCTCAGTTTTTGCAAAAGAAGAACGGAAGGCTGAGGAGACCTCTTTTTTCGACGGCCTCGTGTTTGTCTTTGTTACAATAGAGTCAAGCTCCTCTTTCAAATACACGTGAAGATGTCGGCTGCACTTAAGTGCAGTGGTTTTACCGCTGTACCCGTCATAGATCGCAAAAAAAGCGCTATTTATGTTGTTCAAAAAGTTGTCTTTATGGATGTGCACATCCTCCATGTTTTTCCACCTTTTATTTGCTTCCTCGCAAACTCCAGCTGCAATTGAGCAAGACAAATCGAAGCTCTCGCCAGTTACTTTTATTTCTGCAAATTCAAAAAACAATGGCCAATACTTCAGTTGCACTCGAGGCATTGAAATGCAAATGAACTCAAACGAGAATAGAGAGAGCAAACAGGCAAATGTCTATACAACTATCTTATGTCAAGTTCTTGCCAATCTTTTGCATCAATCAAACCTAAGAAGGTGCTAATGAAAGAGTTGACAGTGTTTGGTTTTTTTTTTATTCCCTCGTAAACACGTAATCTGTCATTAACACGTTTAACCTCGGCATGGTAGAATTTTCTAAATTTTTTACCTAAATAAAATCATGCTAAGGTCAAAAGAGCAGTTTGTTTTATCATCTTAATTACGCAAACATAATGTCATGGTTTAAACTAAATTCAGTGTATTGTACGTATAAACTAAGAAATCTGAAGATTTAACTTAAAATTTAGAATCAATTTACTTTACAAATTAGTTAACAATTTTAGGAAAAGATAATATTTAAGACGCTTGTCTGATTTTTCTTTGTGTCACTTTTTCTCACAGCGTGTAATAATCATCACGAGATAAATTACGACTCCCGAAGTTTACGGATGATAAAACATATGATTTGAGATGTTGGTTTCCTTGCATAGATATTTTATGTCAAAGTGTCTCTAGCTGTTACTGAATTGCACCAACCTTCAATTACCCTTTCACTAAGATATCGCAAATCTGTGGTTCCTTGAAGTTCTGTTCTTAGGAACTCAAACGCCGTGTTTAATTTATGCAAATGCTTGTCACCAAAGGGATCTTGTCGTCTTTTTGAACTGGCATCTTGTTGCTGTTTTATCAATAGTTTCCTTCGCCTGACCAAAGCGCTGATGTTTTTTGGCCTCTGATCCTGTGCGTACTTGAGTGTTTGTAACGCGCAGTGCAAATTCCGGTGACATGGCAGGCGACATATGTTAATAACATCATGACACCTTGTACAAGGGATTAAAATATTCGGTAACAGAACTGCCTCTTCTGACACCTCGCTGGACGATTCTGTGAAGAAATCAAACGATTCAACATCGCTGTGGTCCTGATCTTCGTTTTCTTCGTCATCTCCACCGGCGGCTTCCCGTTCTTCCCCCTCTGGGTCCTCGCCGATTTCTTCCATTTCTTCATCACTGTTTACCGCTCTTGTTGAAATTAAATTCACAGTTACCGCGGCGTGTTCTTGCATTTCTGTGTTCCGGACTGCATCTAATCCTTTCTCATTCTCTGTACCTTTCTTGGTAACGCCCATAGCAAGGGACCTTCTTTTTGTCTTCAAAGCCGCTCTTTGTGAGCGCTTCGGCTTTGCGGAGATAGGCGGCCTCCGTGACACAGTACTCGTCATGCCCGTTTCTCTCGCTGCTTTGGGCGCCTCGTTTAAATTGAACCATCTTAGCACAAAACGATTTGTTTGCGCCCAACCGTGTTTGGATCGGAGGTAATTTAGGCTGTCAGCCATTTGTTTCAAGGGTAATTGAGGTCCAAATATTGGAACAAAGGTGCGAGAGGCTATTGTCCGATACTTGTCTCGCTAAGTTAGGTCTCAATTATCTGTGCCCACGGGCCCAGACATCACTATGGTGACCTATTCCCACTGCGGTATACTTTACTTATTAGTGGTATTATTCCGCATTTCATTCAAGTTAACACTAATCTTGTTTTCTTTCTGGAATTGATATTTCACAATCTGCCAGCTTACTTTATGCAAAGTTACATACATAAAATAATCCGTCTTAAACAGGGCAAGGCTTACGGTTTGAGCTTTGTAAGACTGAATGTGATCCGGAGATTTGCTGTTATAAATAACTTAATGTAACTGAAATAATTTCGTTTTCTGTACATAATACCGACTAATGTAAAGTTTTTTATTGTTCAAAGACATGTGTATGTTATCGGTCGTGAAGGATACATTTTACAAGTTGTGAAAGAAGTGGAGACCTGCCATGAGCCTTCTCAATATAATCCTCTTTTCTGATTGGTCGTTAGCTGATGGTTATTCGCAAGTCGATCGTATCGAAATTGTTGCTTCGCTCAATACAAGCTTTGTTGTATTCAACAATAATATTGCTTGTAGGACGAGAAATTGTTTGATTATATGAAACGTTAAGGAACAAAATCCAAGATATCTTAAACAGTTATATTAAACTAAGAGCCTGATTTGTCATTCCAAGGGCTTTCAGATGGAGGTTTATTGAAGGGAGCTAATCAAAGAGAGAGGGTTTTCAAAGAGTGGGGGCACAATAGAGAGGGGGCTCATATATAGAGAGACTTCTCAGAGCAGGGGGCCTCTTGGAGATGGGTTTATAAGAGAGGGGTCAATTTTAGAGAGGGAGGTTTATTAGAGAGAGGTGCTCATTGGAAAAGAGGTTTTATAAGATAGAAGGGGGGCCTATTAGAGAGGGGTGCTTTTTAGAGAGGTGGATTTATAAGATAGGGGGCTTATTTGGGGTTTATTTGGGGGTTTTATAAGAGAGGGGTAATTTTTAGACGGAGATTTATTAGAGACGGGGGAGCTTTTTAGAGAGCGGGGCTGATAAGAGAGGGGCCTCTTATAGAAGGAAGATATTTACAGTTGGAGGCCTATCAGAGAGGGAGTTTTATTGGAAAGGAGGATTTTCAGAGGGGGAGAGGCTTCAGAGTATTATTTAGTATTTCAGAAAGTGATTTAAAAAATTCACTTGCCCATAACTCGAGTTATTTCTTTCGTGAACTTCAGGTGTCCATTACCTGTGAACGTTCTTTCCACATGTTTTGGTTCATGAGTAACAGAGCTGAGTATATCGTATAAAATTCACACCACTAATAGGCAGGGGAATACAGTATCTTTCTGAACCAGGAGCCATTAAGTACCCTCTAAGTAGTTGGTTCCTGTCTGATTAGCCTCGATGAAAATGTGAACCCAGTATGTTCGGTCTCGGTCCTTGATAGTTTGTTTCAATGTTTTCTCAGTATTATGCCAAACGAGGCTCCCTGAGGTTGGTATGCCGCAGTTCATATAATTTGCTGAATGAATCGTATTTTCCCTCCCTTCCCCCCATCCCTTCCTCACACCACGGGATATTTGAGAGACCAGTCCGTGATCGGTGACGCTGTCGTCGATAAGAACGTCTAGATTCTCTACCCCACCCAGGGAGAATTATTTTGTAGTCACGTGCCATTCGTGACGTATGCGACTGATGAAAGCGCGGGAATCAATTCCATTACAAGGTGTTGTTATTTAGATGCACCTTTCGTTTGCAACGCCATCTGCAGTCGTCGCAAATTTCCGTCTTTCTTTCCGAACTCTTGACTCGTATTTTCTTCGTCCCTTTCATCCAGGTTTAGCTTGGAAAACTCTGAAACTTGTAAGCATGGCGAACGAACCTCCGTCGAAAAGGATGAAGAAGGAAATCGCTGAAACAAACCACAACAATAGCACAGAACAAACCACTCTGGCAAAATTTATGGAGAAAAGGAAGAACGTTTGCAAATCTGTAGCAGAATTCAAATTCAATAAGAAGAGAGTACGACTTATATCATCGAATACAGACATGCCAGATTCTTGTAAAGGAATCGCCTACTGGATGTGGAGGGAGCAGCGAGTACAAGGTAAACTACGACTCTTAGTTTGTGGAAATATTCTCGATTTCGTTACCTCTCACTGAACAGTAGCATCAACTCAAACCAGCTAATTTCAAACCTTAATGATAGTAAACATTTTCTCATGATTTTAATTTTTGGGAGAACCAGCCGATCAATAACTCTGAATCGCCTCTCAGTTGTCTTTACAGTAAACTGTGGTTCTGAACCATTACGTAACATCTACGATATTTAAAGTGAAATTTCATTCGCTTCGTGTCTGGAGCAGATTAGAATAATTAATTTTTGATGTTATGATGTGATCTTTCAAGGAAGAATTATCCTGAAAGCACTGTTGTCGTTGACATTGACATTTCCAATACTAAAGCTGAAGTCTCTAACAGAGTAGGGGTGATAAAGATTACATTCCTGATTATTATGCCATTGCCTTGTCTGGTTTTCAAAGTGACCGACACTGTCAGCGACAGCAGCCCTTTTCAGGACTTTTCTTATTCAGATAAACACTTAACTTAATCAAACGGTACTCCTGTATTAAAACTTATCACAGCCTCCCAACATTAATGATAAGAAGACACTGGGGAATGCGTTTCTCAAAATGTGATTGAGTGAAACAGGAGAGATTGAAGAGAAAACAAAGGTCTTTGTTATCCATCCAAAGACTGCTAAACAAATTTTTTTTTTCTTCTAAAAGAGTCTATCAAACACCTTTTAATTCTTACTCATGGCAATTAGAAAATAAACTCAACCTGATTTTCCTCCCAAAAAAAAAAAAAAAAAAAAAAAAGGGTGTCTCTATGGCCAATTTTTGTTGCCTATGAGTATCCTTCTTTGTTACCTGGCATCGATCCAATAGAAAGTCACAAAGCTTGTTTTACTCCTTTCAAACTGCTTTTACCTTACATAAAGTTCTTTTGTTGGGGTAGTTCTGCTTGGGTTCCCTTAAAGCATTCTGTCTGTACATACCTAATTTTCGCTGTTTGAACTGTGAGTTATGGGCCAAGTTTTTGCTACAAGGTTCTGTAAGTTACTGTGTGGACAGGCCCCCATTTAAACCAGCTTGAAACTGAACTGGGACAGCCAGCATAAATATTGCTAATAAATATATAAATAAATAAATAAACTGAGAAAATGAGGTTAGTTAGATATTTATCATATATTTGGGTTCAATTAGAGAGGGAAGATTTTGATTCAAACAAACTTTTGAATTTAGGGGGCTTTAAGTAGAGATATGGTTAAATGAGAAGTTGCAACTTCCCTTGATTTCATCCAGTTCCTAAGATGAAACTTTTTTTACTATTTACAGACAATTGGGCCATGCTCTATGCCCAGAGAATGGCACTGAAACAACAAGTACCTCTCATTGTCATCTTCTGTATGCCATCTAATTACCTTGACGCTGCATACAGGCAGTACAACTTTATGATCAAAGGTTTACAGGAAGTGGAAAAGGTAATTAGTAAAGGATGAAATGGTTGGAATTCAACCTACCCACATTGTTAATGTTCATTCTCCTCAAGGAAAATTCAGTCACCTGTAGGTCGTAATTTATTTTGTGAATCTTGTCTTTTGACTGTCTGTTTGAAGGTTATCCTGTAAGGGTTTGTTGTTAAAGACAGGATCATGTCAAATTAACTAATAGGTAGTGAGCTAATTAATTTCTTATAATTAGAATATGGTTAATATTTTTGATAATTTGGATGGAAGGAAGTTGGCAAAAAGTATCAGAGAAGTGAAAAAGCCTTCGTAGCTTCCTTAACCTCCTTCTTAATCTTGAAATATCCATAGCTAAACAAGTTGCAAAGCACTGAAACAAACTCAAAGAACATTTTGGTATTTATTTGTGATTGATACAAGCTATATCCAAGTCATCAAAACCTACTCAGTTTTTTGAGCCATGGTGTACTGCCTCAAAGCTTCCTGCTAAGGCTTGAACTTAAACTGACATGGTGTATTTATCTGAGTAGAGTACTTGTAAGGAAGAAATGAGTACTTTTTGACTTTCATCAACCAAGGCAGCAAAGTCAGTACATTATCACCTAGAGCCAAATCTATTCTTGTCACCCTGACATCACAATCAGTAAATCAGAGCATTTTGTTGTGCGATCACTGCTCTTTCTCTTTCTTCCTGTCTTCTTGGAATTTGCATCTCATGGGGTGGTACATAGAGCTCTGCAGCTTTTTACAGCCCTGCTTGTGCCTTGCACTGGGATTTTTTAGTAATATTTGTCAATGAAAGGGCATACAGGGCCATCTCAGTTCTGTGATAACAGTAATTGTTCCCTTTCCTTCACAAGTTAACCTCTCCCCAGGGCACTCCTTTTAATATGACCTTCAGATGTAACTGAAGTACTATTTTATTCTTACCACTTATGGTATTTCATTCTAGGAGCTGACAGAGTTGAATATTGCTTTCCATGTGCTTCTTGGTGAACCAGACAAGGTCCTTCCAGATTTTGTGAAATCCAAAGAAATTGGTGGTGTTGTGGCAGACTTTACACCTTTAAGGAAACCTCTTAAATGGCTGGAAGATATTGCCAAGAAACTGCCAAAAAATGTTCCACTTTGTCAGGTTTGTTTGTGTTCATCAGGGGCCTGTTTCTTAATGAGCCCAAAGCCATATTTTTATACCAAATTTTAAAAAATAGAATTAAAGGCAGGTTCTGGCACCCTAACCAATCCAGTTTGTTTCTTTGGCTGTTAGATTTATTGTATGGTTTTCAAAACTTTTGAAACCCTTGTCTTGAATGAAAACAGAACAGCTTTACAAGCCAGTTAACTTAACAGAAACTTCAAGAAACAGGCTCTAGGATCTACCTGCAAAGCTTCTACTTATTGTTATTACAACTTTCCAGAAATGCTTAAGGCTCCCATGTTATGGACTCACATAAAATTAAACAATGTCAATTCCTAATAAAATCTTCATTTCTTTGCCACCTAGGGGCAAATGGCAATCAGTTGCTTGGGAAGGGGTGGCTGCTTAATTGGGGCTCATCAGAAACTAGCTGGTGTTTTTCACCTTTGGTGGCTTGAGTTGTTTCTCCATTGGCTCAGAACCATAGCCCTTGAACATAAACAAAAATACAAATCAAACTGCTGTTTGCTGCAAATTACGTTAACTTGAAATCAATTAATTTTGCAACAGCTGTTTGATAGCCTTGTAACAAAATCTGCCAAGCCAGAGGACTCAGTAGTAATTATTTTTAGTAATATGAACAGGACTGTAATGCTAGTAACTTAGGGTCTCTTGGTTTCTGAATCACTGTTTAGTCTCGGGGTCTACCTAACATTATAATTGGCATTGTTTTATCTCTTATTTGCAGGTAGATGGCCACAACATTGTGCCCTGCTGGCAAGCCTCTCCAAAGTTGGAGTATGGGGCAAGAACCATTCGCCCTAAAATCCATGACCAGTTAAAGCAGTTTCTTACGGAATTCCCACCAGTAATTAACCATCCACATGCTGGAGATTATGACATAAAGGTGAGGTAGACTTTAAGTAGTACAACATTTATTACTCCCAGCACATTCCAGCATATTGTGCTGCTCTATGGCAAGTTACTCTCTATTCTTGTGTCTGCCATAAATTATGTTCCTTCACCTTTTATCTTATTCCTTCATTATATGATTACCAGCTATGTAATTAAGACCTGTGTGTTTTCCTCCATTTTTTAGTATTCATTCCATTTTACATGTTGTCACAAAGATGTAAAGAACAACAGTGTTCTCATAAATTATTCTAGCAGTAAAATCTTTCAAATTGTGTTGAGAAAATTAAGAAACTTATTTCGTATTTGAAGGAGAAAAGCATCCCCTTTTAACCAAAGTTCAGGTCCATACTTAAACTTAAAGACATTAAATTGAAAAAAGAGATCTCCAACTGACAGTATGGATGGACATGCAACTTTGAACATGCAATTTGTTGTCTCTATTTTGTGTCTGATGGGAGTGGAGAGCAATGTCTTTTCACCCTAAATGGCTTCAAATAACTGAGGCATGTCCAAAATAAATTACTCAATCAATTTTAGTTTGTAGATGTAAGCAAAGTTTAACACAATTCAAAGAAGACAAGGATTTGAAATTTTATTGGCTCATTAGTAAACTATGGGCCATTGGGCATAATGCATCAATCAGTTGGAAGCTCCAACATCCAAGGCGTTTCTCCTTTTGAAGATTGGCTTGCTCAAGCTGTACAGCCAGTTTTTCTAGGTCATCTATATAAGTAAATTTTCCCAGTTTAATTATCCTCAGTGTATGTTTGTAAAGGTTCGTTATCTGTAACTTTCCAAAGGCAGTGGATTGGGAAGCAGTGGATAGTTTCATTGATGTTGATCGTGCTGTTAAAGATGTTGATTGGGCTAAAGCAGGAACTGAGGCTGGTCTGGAAATGTTGGAATCATTCTGTAACAGCAGGCTCAAATATTTTGCAACAGATAGGAACAATCCCACAAAGGAAGCTTTAAGTAACTTATCACCATGGTTTCATGCAGGTAATTGAAAAAATTCAATGTAATAACTTAATCGCTAATTAAAACCATGAATCAGTTTCTGCTTCTCTTTTGGTCAGATGTTTCCTTAATTTTAAAATTTTAAAGGTAGTTTGATATTATTTTCTATTTATTTTTTTTGTAAATTGTGTTAATCTGAAAAACTGGTCTCTGCATCTCCAACAATTTTAGTATAAGCAACCTTTCATCACTGTTACACAGAGTCAGGAAATGTTCATTTAAGGTGTGAATCCTAAATTACAGAAAAATTAGGTTCAATGTAAGTATTGAGCTGCTCTTTGGAAAATGAGCTGATGCTCCTCATCACACCTAGGTCTGTCAGATTGGATAAAATTGAAAACCATTTTCTATCTGTAAGAGGAGGATCTGGGTTGACTGTAACCAAATTCCACTCCTGAATTTCTTGTTTTTGCACTTTCCTCTACAGGTCACATAAGTGTCCAGAGAGCAATCCTCAGAGTAAGAGAGTTCCGCAGCAAGGCTAAAGACTCTGTTGAGGCTTTCATCGAGGAAGCAGTTGTTAGGAGAGAATTAGCTGATAATTTTTGCTTTTACAACTTGGAGAATTATGACTCAATCAAAGGGACAAATGCGTGGGCACAGAAGACTCTGCATGATCATGCACAGGATAAAAGGGAATATTTGTACAAAAGAGAAGAGCTTGAAAATGGGAACACACACGATGACCTTTGGAATGCTGCCCAGGTTTGTGGCTGATGAATAATCTTTATGTGGGTTAAAAAGAAATAATTTAAGTACTGACTGGGATTTAAAATAGATAGTGATATTGTGTACTTAATTGTAAAGACGTTGCTATTTTTCCCTAGCTATATGATTAGAGCTATTTTCTTAGTCTGCAAAACAAGGAAAAGCTGTTGGAAAGTCTTGAATGGTTCACCAAGTGTAAAGCAGTAGCTTGTGTGAAGTGATTCAGAACCACAACTTACATTATTACGGTAACTGTTTCCTGAAGTTGATCACTTTGCAGCCTGGTGCAAGTAAAAGCTTCAATTTAAAAAATTACTCTGAAGTACCTTTCTACAAAAAAAAAATTGTCTTTTGCACTTAAGCTTCAGCTGGTAAATGAAGGCAAAATGCATGGTTTCCTAAGAATGTACTGGGCAAAGAAAATTCTGGAGTGGACAGCCAGCCCTGAAGAGGCCCTTGAGGTGTCTCTCTTCCTTAATGACAGGTTCAGTCTGGATGGCAACGACCCTAATGGATATGTGGGTAGGTATTAGTTATTACGTTCACAATGTTGCATTTAAATGTAACATGTGGTATTCCCATGGGATAAGTAAATTGTAATGACCAAGGCAAATGCAAGTAAAATTCACATCTGTGCCCAAGTGATATGACTGGGTTGTAAGTGTCTGAGCCGAGCAGGTTGTTTTGTCTTACAACTTGATATTTTAAAAGTTTAAAATGGCTCCTCATTCTCCTAAGCTTATCATTATCGCCCTCTTTTTGTCTTGAATTATTGCTATGTTGTTGTATAGGTTTGATGTTCCCTGGGGCAAAAGCTCTATCCTGTAGGCCTATTGTGGAGATGTTACTAAATGTTGTTCCCAATTTGCTTCAAGGTTGCATGTGGTCAGTATGTGGAGTGCATGATCAAGGTTGGGCTGAAAGACCAGTGTTTGGAAAGATACGCTACATGAACTATAATGGCTGTAAGAGGAAGTTTGACGTTGGAGAGTTTGTGAGAAAACATGGCAAGAAGAAACAGGACACTACTGGGGGGACTGAGAAAATTTTGAAGAACAAGAAACGAAAGGCAGCAGGAATAAGCTGAACATGCTTTATGTTGAAAACATGCTCCAGTTTTTAGTTCTTTGCTAAATAGTTGTCAGTGCGTGTATGGGAGTTTTATTTTGACAGCCCAGTGTCCATTGAAGTTGAGCTCACTGACTCTATCCAGGTTAGCACTTTGTTGCAAAATTCAATGGCAGGGTCTAGTCATGTCTGATATTTTCAAAAGGGAGATAGAGAAGAGAGAGAGACTGGCTTCAGTCATTCAATGGCTGGATAGTACTATCTGTTTGAAAACAGTCAACAATAATTATATATTACACTTTCCCTGTATAACAGTTTATCCAGTTAATAGCATTATGCAGCCTTCATATAGCTATGGCCATTTTAATATGTCAGGTGTCTGCATACTCTTAAGAGAGACTCCAGAAGGTTAAGGGAAAAGAAGTCAATTGATAGGTTAGAGTCTGTTGTAGTTATTTAGAAAGGAAAGTAGTTGTGTTATAGTGCAAGGAACAGCTAGATTTAAAGGAAACATAGGAAAATTTATTAATGTGGTTGCTGTGCTTATGCACTTCTCTGCTGCAGGAAATATTTGCTCTCTATGGACTATGAGTAGCCATACATTGATTGCTTTGAAAATAAAAATGTTGTCAAACTGCATGCCTACTTAGGAAAGAAAAGTGTCTTACCGAGTGAAGTTCTTGTATTATTCTGTCACTGCACAATCCAGAAAACCCAGGTCGAAAAGGTCAAGTTATGTCTTTCTGGTGAACTTCTGTGATCTTCACAAAAAGATTCAGGTCTGTATGGGATGACTAACACCCAGTTGGTTTGGAGAAAGATATATTTTTTTGTCTTGTCACGAGCGTGGGACAAAGAAAAATTCAGAGTCCCCATGAGGAATCGAACCTCAGACCTTCAGATTCTATGCTTTGATGCTCTAACCAATGAGCCACAGAGACTCCACTGTGAGCGAGGTCTATTATGACATGCATCCTGCATACTGCTAGGATTGGCAATGTGGAAAGTGTAATGTTTGTAGAAATAATTAAGAGATATGGTAAATTTTGAGCTCAGTAAATAAATAGAGAAAGATGTGTTTTTTCATCTTGTCATGAACATGGGACGAAGAAAAAATTCTGAGTCCCTATGAGGAATCAAACCTCAGACCTTTGGATTTGCTCAGTTGGTAGAGAACTGAACCAGTACAGCAGAGGTCATGGGTTCAAATCCTGTACAGGACAGAATCTTTTTTGATACCTTATTTTCGCTACTGGTAAATAGTGTAAATTACTATAAAAATCGCTTTCATTTTTATTTCTTAAACTGCAGTTCATGTATATGATTTTCATATATTCACGGTCATTGACAAAACAAAACAGTTGTAGAAAAAACAAGGGTTTTCCTTTTCATTCCTTCCTTTACCCAGGAAGTTTACCATCTGGACCCAGTGTTTTAGCTTGTGACCAGAAGTGTGAAAAGTTGGCTGTTTGCTTAAAGCACAACAAACTAAGAAAATAAAGGAAATCTTAAGTGCTCCCTGTAAGATTTTTACTTGACTTTTGTTGTGTCTTGAAAGGACTGAGTGATGATTGGTTACAGTCAGAGCTGTTTTTATACCTTATATATGCAATACTTTACCAGCAAGCACCTCTGCTGTATTTGATTTTCACTTCTTTATCTCTTAAAGACACAAAGTTGCAACTAGTTTTAAAAAGTGTTTTACCAAAATGTCTGATAGAGCTTCTATATTGTAAATGAGCTGGAATTTGAATGGAGCAATGTCTTTCAAGTCGATGTACAAAGAATTCTCCTATGTTTCTCTTTGTTTAAAAATCAATCACTTGTGTCTTAACAAACAGGGAAAAAAGAAGAATTTGTTTCACGAAAATGATATTGCTTCTCTTCGTGAGCCTACCTATTAACAAATTACAGTAACATTTTAAGAACTATCCTCAGTAACTGTTACAACTTTCAACACCTCATTAACACTATGAAAAGGGTAGTATCATTTGTGTATCATTTTCATAACATTGATGTCAATTGTGACACAACCAAATTTTATTAACATTAAAATTGTGTTGTTGGTTGTAATCGATTGTCATCAATTGTGAATCAATTTTCATTGAAAGTTTTGAAACTTATTTGTGCATGGGACTCAATAACAAACATGAGGCTAGAATGTGCCAGTGGTGACTGAGCTTCAAGCAGACTTGAAAAAGACTCTGGCTGAGGACTGCCCAGCTCACCTACAGATATTACTGTAGCTCAGCCTACACAAAGCACATTTTTGAAATCACAGTGCAGCAGTTCACAGTTTAAAGGACTGTCTGAAACAAATGATTTCTCTGCTTTTGTCTTAACTTGGGGAGTAAACCTCACTCCTTTACAATTTTCCACAATTCCAGCATTTAAGGCTGATGTTCCCATCGTTTCAAGCACAAGCCGGCAAAAGTCACCGACATGTGCTGATGTGTTTCAGCTCTGTTGCCAGTGACTTGATGCTTTTGAAATTCATCTCCACAAAGCCAGTTAATTTCCTGGTGTGAATAAAATAATTTTAAACTAATCTAAACTATGTCAAAACATATAAAAACCACACAAAACTATACAATCAGTTTCACAACTACAGGTAAAAAAGAAAAGCAACCAATAAAATATTGTCATATTTTAGAAAACTCCATTTATCTTTATTTTTTCTAGGTTTCCATCAATCATTGGCATTATCAAAAAAAAATCCTATTCAATAAATTTAAAGAATTATTTAATGTTGATTAAACCATTTCCACCTTAGAATTAAATAATAATTATTCCTTCCTTCCTCAACATGCTCAAAGGTCTTGTAGTCCCTTGCTCATAAAACAGAATTGTCTCCAAGAATCAAGTTAATTTTAACACCCCCTTAAGCAAAAATGCCATCAAGTTTATCTTTTAAAAAACAGTAGCTTTAAATTTTGCAGTCTCCTTTCCATCCCGTCCCTGTTTGAAACCATTACCTTCTCTGCCACACTAAGAAAAAGAATCATTCCTTCTGGTAGGTGAGAACTTTTTCAGCTAAGTCTTTTCTTCCAACATCAACCAAAGCAGTCACTAGTTTACTGCGAGTTACATTTGCTCCCTGCGCATGTTTCCATGCATTGAACATGGCAATAACCTTTTCAGCAATTATGGTATTTTCTTGATCAATAGTGGCAACATGATCAGCGTTCAAATCCAAATAACTTGCCAATAGCTTCCATTCCTTAGGAATTTTTTGAGAGAGGTCTGCAATGAGGGAGTCAGGGACAATTTCTGAAACTACAAATAAAAGAGAGTATTAAATTCAAGATGATATACTGGTTAGTTAACCTACTCCTCTCCATCCTGCAAAATAATTTGCTCTCAAACCTTCCAGCCACCCCACCAACCCCTTAGGACATGATATGCTTGTAAACTGTTGAGAAATTTCAGAGCCTAACCTTACCAAACCTAGCACCAAAACAATTGACAACAAAACATCTAACCCCTTAAAAATTTTGGGAACACCAAAGGTCCTACTCTACAAAGGCCTCAGATCTTCTGGCTTGACTGTAGGGGTATCAGGTTAGAAGGGGCAGGGTGCATTCTATCCTAGGCTCCTAAAGTGTAATGCCATAAAAGAAGCAGTTGTCTCAGAAGTGACTTCCTCATTCTAAGGAAGACATTAAGTGGATCTCTTAAGTCTGTTTCATAATTTTTCCAATGCAGCCCAGGGTCCAGTTGTTTGAAGGTAGATTAGAGTTATGCTAGGGTTTCTTCATTTATCCATTCAAAAGTATTTTTGGAATACTTTCTTCTTTTCTTTTTAGAGCATCCAGTCATCAAATTGTAGACAAAAGTAATTAAACTGAATTTTGATTTAAAGCTTTCGGATCTGAAATGAAATTTCACAAAGATCCTAGGTTGTCTTAAACCAGCTTTGAACAATGTGGCTTAGGGCTGTAACTCAGGCTTATCAAAAGTGGCTGGTAGTACTATAATTCACCATCTATGTACAATATTGTATTTTGTGTTTTTGGCAGGACTTTTGGTAAAAGATGGGATAAAAAATTTACAGCAACTTAAAAAAGTTGCCAACTTAAAAATTATCTGATAACCTAGGTAATTCTATCAATGATTAACTTGTTGACAACAAAATTATATTCACATATTCATACACAACCCAAATCAATGCTGTTTAAATTTCAAGGTTTTACAATTTATTATATTGAGGGATAACAGTGCTCTAAATTGCGCAAAGGTGACATTTACCTGGCTTCGGAAGTTGTAGCCATTTAGAATCAAGTAATTGATTTACAATGTCTGAAAGGAAACACGAAATAAATTACAAACAGTTTCTCAAGCAGACCAAGTAGGCAGAGGGGGAAAATACTTAGCTCTCCATCATGACATACACCTTGCTGCACTTTAAACTTATATCATGACCAAGAGCCAAATACTTGACTGCTGGCCATCCCTCTAAGTCAACAAGTACATAGCACTAAATTGCATGATGTAATACTGTACACAAGACTAGCCAAATACTATTACAGATAACTTGAAAAATTGCTAACTGATTTTGAATGTGATTCTTATCAAATTAATTAGATGAATTATTCACTTAATAAAAATAAAACAAATTTAACAGAGTTGATACACCAATAATTTCAATCTGTACTGAAGACCTTGTTTTGAAGAATTCCTAAATACTTGAAAAAATTGCTTTGCTACTTCATATAAGGGAGTAGTAGTATAGCAGTGGAAAGTTCATAATCAATACAATTGATTTGCCTGACTCTAACATTGTAAGACAAACAATTGAACATTCATTTTTTTTTCTCCTTTTACTCTCCAATTCGTGTACTCCACTTGTTCCTTTTGATGAAAACACGTTGAGGAATTTGTGTTTTTGATTGGATGAAATGCACACATCAAGGAGATTTTGGCAGGCACACTTTCATTTAACAGCTATCTCTTGTACCAAAAATAACTTTTATATTCCACCTTTGAAAAACTATTAATAACTCACCAGGAGGAGGAAAGATGAGGTTGGCATCAAACTTTTCTCCACGGAGGATACCTGGCCCTGCATTGCATATCTTAGTGGTCCGAGGCCAACTGTGCTTTCTTGCTGAAGCAGAGCTCATCCAGTTGCATTGGAAGAGACATGGGTTGGCCTTCTTTTTCTGTGTACATGGTGGGCACAGAGCAAAACGCTGAACACTCAGTCTTTGCCATTCAGTTAACAGGGCATCTGTCTCCTAAAATGAAATTATCAGTTTTGGTACTGTGTTTGCAATAGTTTCCAATAGAAAGCAGGCTGTAAGTTCAAAAACATGAAAGGGAACATCTCATGAAATTTCTTTCCCAAAAGAAGACAAGAAAAGTTTTTAATTTGGACATTCACCCTCTACCTTCAAGAAGACTATGCCACCTATTCTGTTACATCTAGCCAATTATTTTTTCAGGAGATACAGAGGCTTAATGGCCAACACATACTGGGGTTTAAGCCTTGGTCAGGGTGATAATTAGAGGGCCTTTCTCCTCACAGAAATGTGACTGGTTCCAGCAAACTTTCAGCAAAACCTAAATAAATACTGTAAGAGGGAGGCAGTTTTGGTATTGGTGATGCATCATAATCAAATCAAGCATGAGAGTACCACACTGTTTGCTTAATGCTTTGAAAACAGGTAGAAGGTTTGACAGCTGTGCAAAGTAATTTCATACGCAGACTTTACCTCAAAAATGTTCAAAAGAATTTTCCACAGTGAATTTAATTCTGCCTTTATCCCTCTTCCTTTGATGTAAATGGCTGGTGAGCTTGAATCAGCTCCTGCAGGGTAACTATGTTTATGAATCAGGATTCTTTCATTATTCCCAAACAACAGCAAGTGATCTTTCCAGTTGTAAAAGTCGAATACCAGTGAACAGCAGCGAACACGTAAGCGATCAAACAAACCAGGGGGTAAGTAGGACATCATAAACAGCAAGTTGATCTCTACCTAGAGACCAAAGAACATATGATCAAAACACACATTTCATCACTAAGCAGCCATTGCTACAAGGGGGACAGTTAATTAAAATATTAAAAACAGATATTAAGAATGGAGCTTGGTTTTCAAAAACAACAGAAGCACTTTATTTTACCATTAAAATCTGCTTGAATGTGGGCACCTGCATGTGCAAAACCTTCAGGTCCATATATTTATCAATCTTCTGATGGACTGTTGTGGTTAACCTAATGCTTAACCCTTTAACTCCCATGAGTGACCAAGAAAGGATTTCTCCTTACAATATCAGTACATATCAAACAGACAAGTGATGAGAATGAAGAAACATAAGGGATTATTAGTTGATCCAATGATAATTCTCCAAACTGACATCATAAGAGTTGTATGGCTAAAAAAATTATTGAGATCTTGGGAGTGAAAGAGTGAAGTTAGTGAAACTAATGAAAACCAGGGTTGAAAGTACCCTAGTAACAACCACCTTATACATTCTTCCATTTATCACTCCAGCTACTAGTGCACAAATTCTTTGAATTCATAAATACCACCCTGAACAAGAAGTCAAGCCTTCACCTTATCATCAGTCAGGTTTTCTGACAGACCTTCAACTTCATCAGGATAATCAGTCAAAAACCAAGGAACTAAAAGGTCAAAGTTGTCAGGATCAACTGTAGGTAGATGACATGCAAGACCAAGATGATGAAGAAGTTCGACCATCTGGAGAAACATGGCTTCATCTAGTTCAATCTCTGCCCAGAGACATCTGAAAAATCAGACAAGACACATCAAATGCACTTTTTTTTTTTTTTAACTGGCAAGGTTGTTCGATAAACAATATGAATAACTATAGTACATAAAATGCAAAACTAAGGATACAGCCCACACTTTTACAAGTTAGGGTGTTCCCTTTTCCTCCTTTCCCTCTAATATTGTTTATTGCCAGAAAATCCTTTAGCCTGCCAAGCAGACCCCTTTAAACTATAAAGGAGAAGCAAGAACTCAGCAGGAATAACATGAATGTTTGAAGTGAAAGGGACAATAAAAACTAACACTGTGAGAGAGGAGGAGGGGATAAATATGGAATGACAAGCCTGCTGTTGAGGGCAGACATTTTTTCTGAGCGCTGTGCATCCACAAATTAAAGGCAATGAGGTATTATGATCAGTCAACCAATTGTCAATGAAAGTCAATGATGTAAACAGATAAATTGGCAGTAATTCAAAGGTCAGATAAGATAAAATGAAACCATTCACCCTATTGTTGAGATGAACATTTTTTCTACCAAATAGTGACCCCTTAAGTTTTTTTCTGATGATATGTAATTTCTCACCATCAGAACTTAAGGTATTATTTGTATAAACAAAGGATGGGGAATTCTTCATTACTGGCTTAGTACACATTTATAAGAACAAAAATCATGACTTTTTCCAGACTATTTTCAAAACATTATTTTCATGTTCCAGACTCAAGGTCATGGGTCAAATGATATGGCCTGAGCAGAAATATTTATCTTAATGGACATAGAACAACAATGAAGTCCCACAATTTATTCAGTTGCAACCTTTCACTGTCCAAACCAAACATAGAAATATGCTAATTTATGACATGCAGCCAATAATAACATCCTTCAACTCAACAGCATTACATCTTTTTCAGCAAAAAAAAACAAAGTCTTTCATTTCTTCTATGGTTAGTGTGCAAAGAACTAATTTGGCAGTGCTTCAAGTTTCTTGTCTACTGGGTCAATGATAAAGCAATTTTACAAGAGATTTCACCCAACATGCCTTCGGTCTGCAGTTTTTGTTATTATGACAGGAAGAAAGGCATTTAGGACCATCAGTTATATTTTATTTCCTTAACAGTAGTCTTTTCTTCTCCTTTCCTTCACCTGCTCTTAATGGTTTGCTAAAAAAACAATTGAAATTGAGTGAGAACAGAACAATTTTTTTCCTTCTCTTAAGCACTTATAAATAGATAGTTACCTCAAGAGAGCCTTTGACAACTTTGCTTCCTGAATAAGGTTTTTCTTGAGTTCATCAAAATACCCACGAATCATCCCAAACCTTTGAAAGCTTTCATCAAAGTTCAATGTCTCCTGCAGGTCATGTCGGAAAAGGCACTTCACCAATTTTGCCAGCCATCGAAGATCAATGAACACATTCTTGTGCAATGAAGGAATATCCTTGTAATAATGCAATTCGCCAATTGAATCCAGATATGTTACTGCTGAGCGCAATCCCATCTTAGAAAGACCAGTGTGTTCTCTGGCAAACTTTTCAAAATCTCCATAAGACATACAACGAACCTGTAAATTTTAGAAGAGATCACTTCAGAATAAAAAAAAGTACTTCACGATTGATCTCACAGCATGTTTATAGACTTCCTTACATAAAAAAGTCAGTATATTACCTTCAATGTGCCTTTAATATCTCTATAGATTTCAAATTAAGATAGCTTTCTTTCCCCTTAAGTATAACTGACAGTGTATGTTATGTGGGAAAAAGAAGAAGATTTTTGACAAAGCCAAGAATGGTGGAACTCTCTAATAGGCGAACAAAAACAAAAGGCTATGTGTAGTTGGCTTGAAATGAAAGACATTATTCATGGAAAATATTGCCAATTCTTCCAGTAAATCCTTGTCTTTGTCAATATCTTTTATTACCATTTTCATTACTGCTGAAATCAGTAGGAGGGAGTAATAAATGGGTTTACAGTAACTAGCTGTTCAAGCCTACATTGTATCATAATTTTTAATAGCGGAAAAATAAACATTTGAACCTGGTCATTTTCTCTACTCTTCCTCAATGCCACTTCAAGTTTGACCCACTCTTCAGGCAAATCTCTGCCAACAGATGGAAAGAGTTCTCTATCTTCAGCAATACGTATGATCTCATCTTGTAACGCATTTATCCCAGTTAGCTCACTGACATTACTAACAGGTACCATGGCGATGTAACTTGTGTTGCAAACTGGCTCAGTTGGGGGTGGCTCCTGGAGAAAGCACAATCAAATTGAAATATACTGTTCACAAAAATAGTGACCAAAATTAAAACTTCCCAGATCCAAACAAATCGATTTATGCCAAGGCCCCAGTAAGCATCCTCTATTTGACAAAGCACATACACAAATCTAAAACAATATGAATAACCATAAGTACATTAAATATTGAATTAAATCAAGGTGTCATTTGACCAACTGGTGAGGATTTGGAAAATGTCTCAGCTATGTTCCTAATGAAATGTAGTTTAATTGACAGCTGATCTATTGTCCACTCAAACACTCATGTTCATGCACGTTATTTGTGAGTATTTTACCTGCAAAGCATCATAAAAAGCATGATGTAGAACAGAAGAAATAATTGGAGGGTTGTTTATCTTCCACTCTGGGTTTGAGCCTCCCTTCAAAGGATTCTTAAGGCCTTTCTTCCTTTTTTCTGAAATTTCATACTCAATCAGAGCTTTTTGACCTTTGCAGTAATCTTGCACTCGCTTCAAGATGTCCTTACAGCAGCAAATAACAGTGCTGGTATCACTGGGGTCAAACTTATCCAAATGAGTGGGCACAATCATTATCCTTGGCTTCAAGATGCGTGATGTGACCAGATCCAGCCAATCACCAACAGTCTTCTGAAAACAGCTTTTAGTTGGTTCATACTTAAAGAGATCCACGACCAAGATATGTAGGGCCTCTAAAACGGTAATGAAAAGAAATACAAGAAAAGTCATTACATCTACATTCTGGTATAAAACTAAAAGAAATATACTGTATCATTGAGACTGCAGTTTTACATCATGTTGGAATGCTACAACATTATCTTTAACACAGTACTTTTCTGACTATCAGAGTGATCTTGAAGTTCCCAGTTACAAAAAACTACTTATAATAAGCAGTAATGAAAATAATGCCTGTAAAATATTCAGGCCTGTGCAGGAGTTAAACCTATGGCCTCTGCAATACCAGTGCAGTGCTCTGCCAACTGAGCTAACAAGCAAATTGGGAGATGGTCACTGTGAATATATAAAAATCATATAGTGAACTGCAGATTAATAAATTCTTTGCAGTAATGAACACTACTTAGGCAGTAGTGAAAATAAAGCCTGAAAAAAAATCAGGGCGGATTATATCTAAAACTTAAGTAACAGTAATTATCTTTACCTGAGGACAAAAAAAATGGATGTGTCAACTGGTACCGCCTCTGCCCTGCACAATCCACAATATGAAACTCTATGACACTGGCAAATGGTCTCCAATTAAAGAAATCCACTCCCACTGTACTGTGTGCTTCATTATCTGGGTGCAGAAGTGCTTTTGCATGAACAAGAGCATAGGCAAGACTTGACTTTCCAGCTCCTGATTCACCCAAAAGGACAACCTCCAAACGCTGTGAATCAACTGTCTCTGTATTCACATCCTGGGCATCTAGGGTTTCGAAATAGCCCCTGATACTGTCAAGGCCGCGAGAGCAGACATCTAGAGGTGGATTCCGCAGATTATTGTTCCCATCCACAATTAAAGTTTCAAGCTTTGGCATTTCGATGATAGAGCGAGGAAGATATGTAAGTTTGTTATCAAACAAATTGATATGGATGCAGTTTGATAAATTTCTGATTTCTTCTGGCAAAGTGATCAGCCTGTTCTCCATAATCAAGAGAAGTTTCAAAGAATGAAGCTGGCAAATGTTTGGGGATAGCTCTGATATCTTGTTTCCTTCAACACTGAGTTTACTGAGTTTGGGCAAATCAAACAGTTCATCTGGAAGCTTAGTAAGGTTATTCTTTCCAATTCTTAAGCCTTCTAGGTTCCTTAATCCTCCTATGTCTGAGGGAAGCTCGTTTAACTGACAATCTATTAAGTATAAATCCTTGACATTTGGCAATTGGAAAAATTCTTTTGGTAAACTGTCAGGATTACCAAAACTGTTATAGCTGAAGTCCACAACCACAAGACTTGACATGTTCTTAATTTCTTTGGGAATCTTTGTGAGAGTGCAGTTATCCATGTACAGTGTCTTAATATTGCCAAGGTTACAAATAGGCAAAGGAAACCCCTCAAAGTGATTTCCAACTAAATGAAGCTCTTCCAGGTGAGAAAAGTAGTTAAAATGTGTTGGCAGTCGCAAAAGACCATTGTCTGGTTTGATGGTACTACAACACATAAACAGAGATTTAAGGTGGTGGTTGATCTCAAAAAACTGTTCAGGAATTTCTTTGAGGTAGTTGGAGAAAAATCTCAAATCTTGAAGATCCTGGATGCTTGAGAATTCAGGAAACTCTTCAGAGGTTACCGGATCATATGATGTCAAGTCAACTATCACCACTCCATTTTCTGAGGTAACTGGTAGCTTCTTTGGCACAATATTTATAAATTCAAATCCTCCCCCACAAGCCATCCTTGTTTGTTATCTCAACTGAATACTTCTATAGCTCAAGACCATCACTAACCATTGTGTTCCTTCAAGAAAGAGCAATAAACAATTTTTAATGTTTAGAGCTGTACATGTACATTCAATGCAAAGAATAAAGGGAATTTAAAATCTAGTAACTCTATGTATGGGGCACTAATTCTGATCAAAAGAACTCTATTTGTACCATAACCACAACAGATCTCCTAATTCTCGTGGAGAAACTCAGTTCCTGGTCTCATGGTCTTACACCTAGAAAGCCATAAAGTTGGAAAACCTGTCCATAGTCTTAAAAAGAACTGATTATGCTTCTGTAGTTTTAAAATAGCTTCTAATGTTACTGCTAAATGTTCTTTGTTTTTAAATACTTTTTTTTCAAATCTTAAGGTATAGAACCCAACTTTCAAGCTGTTTTAAAATATATCAGTATCTACATCTGGTTTTATACCTGAGCCTAGAATCAGAGCTCCACTTATTCAATTCTTAGTGCCCTTCACTTCAGGATGACATGATGTTTTGGTGATTTCAAACATGGTTGTCTAATGTAGGAATAGTGTTAAATAAGGTTGAATTCTTTCAGAACGTTATAAGTGGGTGCAAAGTTGAAAAACTAAGTCAAGCGATTTAGATACAACAACTAGCAGAGAAAGGAGCAGTTCCCTTAATCTTGGCAAAGCACTCTGAATATACACAAAATCAAATGATTTTACAGTATGTAAAATCCCTCAAATGATTGATTTGATGTGGTTAAATGACAATATTATGCGCTGGAATACTGATCGCAGTCCCACTGAGATATAAACTATGAAATCAAGTTAGGAAAAAGAGACCACTGTAAAGAGTTAAAAGCTGACGTTTCGGGCGTTAGCCTTTTAACTCTTAACGGTGGCCAATTTACGTTTCAAACTCAGTTGTTAACATCAAATTACCTGTTATACTCTCCCACCGACGTACCACAGTTTCTTTAGAAACTTAACCCCTCTATTAGGAAAAAGAGAGTTGAACCAAATTAAATCGAGAGCGAGAACCCTTTATGAGAGCAAGACCCTTTATGAAAACCAAACTGATAACTTTCAAAATTTCGACACCAGTTTCAACTTAATTTCTCTCAGGAGAGGAGAGTGTTATAGAAAAGCTTCCAAATGGGTACTGAAACTTTTTCAATACATACCGTGTATTTTTCTTCACCGGTTAGTTTTAGAGTTTTGTCCACCTTCGGTCTTCGGATCCGAATCGATCTGTCCAGTTCACGTGAGGAATGGAACAATCTACTGGCGAATCTGGAATCTACCTTAGTCATTAGGGCGTTGATTTCTTGGTTATATTTTCGGCAATATGACTTCCTATTCCGACATTTCGGGGAAATACCCTACTCCTCTCCATCAAAACATCCTAAGTCTTCCGAACAAGGACTGGGCTTGGTTGCCGACTGCCTCCAACAAAAACCCAACAAAAGCATGAACTAAATAAGCTACTGCTGACCAGATATCGAAGCTGAGCCGATGCCTTAGCTTCGACCGCCATAGCAACAACGTCGCAGCCTTCGGGTGAAAATCGCGATTGCTCGAAAATGGAGGTTGCAGGGAGGAAAGTTCCATCGCCGGTAATGTCTGACCGCTGTAACGAAATTATTCTTTTTCTACTCTTCTGTACAGCTGGGAGGGGAGCAAATATTTGTTTATATAGACTTTCTTGTGAACAGAGCGATGAGGCATAAATTAGATTGTTCTGAAAATCTCCTCTCAGTACGTACTTGACAAGATACATAGTGAGTTTGAAACCAGTTATGAAAGGTATCATGTAATACACAGCCCATAACCCAGTAAACAATACAGTGAAGTGCTAACCTCGCAAACGAGGTATCTTGTCACACAGAAAACGAATGTGATTGAAAATGTTCTTAGTAAGTATAATACCATATATAACATCCAGAGATTGAGCTGATCATGTAATAGAGTGGCTGTAAAAAATCCGTCCATGGAACGAAATGAATTGTTATAGATCATAAAGTACATATTGTTTTATCATTTGTTGGCAATAAAATGTGTAGAACTAAAAAGAATTAACATTTGTTGAATGTCAAAGGACACTCGTAGCCAACTATCAGATCTCAAAGTAATATGCTCTCACTCAACTCTCCCCTGTTATTCCGAATTCAGTTATCATTCTGCTTAGCCTTCACTTTCACCGTTAGGGATGTACTTGAGTTGTATAATAAGTCGTGAAAGGGCTGAAACCAAGGACGTTTTGGTGTAACTGCTTTTATAGCTGCTATTTTGAATGTGAGACAAGAAGCTCAAAGATGGGGGTTGGATAGCAGGGGGGTTTCCCTCCTCCTCCTCCTCCTCCTCCTTCCCACCCTTTTTTTTCCACACTTTCAAGACTTCTTCAATCTTGCCAGTCCACAATGGTGTATGAAACATTCAATCATATCATTTTAGCACCTCCATGTTTGAAGTAATTGAAGCATTTTTTTTTTCAGGCAAGAATTGAAGGTTAAAATATGCTATCTGTCTATAATCTTGCACACTCATTGTCATCATGGTTTTATTTAAAGTATTAAGTAATTGTTCAATTTAAGTTTGGAAGTGAGAATAGGATATGTCCTAAGAACTTTTGTGAGAACAATGCTTTAAGATAAGAGTTTGTGTAATGATGTGAATGATTGAAATACAATTTTTTTAAACAACTAACACTTTTTACAGACATGATTTCATGGTAATGAATATTCAGAATAATTTTTTTAAAGAGGGAACTCATTTTTGTACTTACTAGATATTTGCGACTAAGGATAATCCTGCAGCTGATCCCCGTCAAATGAGGAGGATTATAGCTGAAGATCCTGACTGGTTAGTCATTGATTTAATCTGTTTTGTTAGTCCATAATTATGTCTGTTTGCAATGTGAGGTCAAGGAAATACATTTGATATTGGAGCAATACAGTTTGGTAGTTTGGTTTACACTACTCTAAATATACAGAATGAAAAAACAAAATATAGAGCAAAATCAGCTGGACTGGATAAAACACAACTTTGACTTGTTTTGGTCCATAGCACTTGACTATTGGCATGATAAACTAGCAACAAGATCAGACGACTGACATATAACTGAAGAATAAAAAGGAAAAAGAACTAAACATAGCTTGTTTGGGTGTTTTTTTCACTTGAATATTCCATAAACAGTTGATAGTTCATTCTCACAGGTACTAGAGAAGGGCAACCTTAACAATCAAAATCTTTTGATAGTGGAATACATATGATGCATATCTTACATTTATTTGATTGTGGGATATAATTTTTAACATCTGTAAACATTTGGCTCCTAGTTCTCACAACTTTTCACTGTTGTAATATGTGCTCTGTATTCTAGGAGTCTAGCCACTGTTCCACTGCTTACAGAACTCTGTGTGAAGCACATAGTGCAAAATTTTGAAGGTAATACATTTGCCAATGTTATTTTTTTATTTCTTGGGATACATCCATGTTTGTACATATTTTTTCAGTTTACTTTTAACATTAAGAGTCCTCAGTACAGTATTTATACTTAGTATTGGACATGTAATCTCTTTCTTGAATGAAAAATGAGATCATACTAATTAATGCATCAGTGTGTTAAGTATACTCTTGACATCACATAATTATGTGATTGTTTGAGCACACCTATGAGGCTATAAAAATTGGCTGGTGTTTATGCAAACTCTTACTCAGTAGAAAAATTATAAAATAAAATTTATATGTCATGTATGTGTATGATAAAGGCAAATTTCACTTTTTTGACAGATAACCCAGTTCTTGATGAACTCCTACCAAAACATAAGTTCAAAGTACTTGAAGCCTTGTCAACGGAAATTGCCATGAAGTATGTGTAAAGTTTTGTCCAGAGCTTAATAATTTTTCCAGACACTAAGTTAATGTTCATTTATGTAATCTCATTGAATTGTTTTAAGTGGTCCAGATTTGATTTTTTATTCTTGCGTATGTAACAGAGTTACTGCTGGACTGGTTTCTGATGAAGGATATTGGAAAAGATGTTGTAAAGCACGATGGGAAGTTTGTGATATCAACAAGAATGGAAACAGTTGGAAGAGGATGTACTTTGAAAGGAATTTAGAAGGTTTGTACTTCTACAGCTGAATAAATCAGCTTTTTGATATTAACAATATAGAGAAGCTGTTATTTGTGCAGCAGTAACAGCAGAGCATTGCATAAGAATAACAAGTGGTGTGTGTTTAGAACAGTAAGATTTTAGGGGGACTTAAGAGCCATTTTATGTTTTCCTTTCTACCCTCTCTTCCATCCCCATTTACACTGTCAACACATTGGTGAGGGTGTCTGAATGTTTGAGCTGTAGGGATTGCAAGGCTAGAGAGCAGTTGACTGTCTTTGGGGTTAGCAGTACACATAGAACATCCCTGGTACCTGTCATCCGTTATCATTCAATATAAAACTTGATGCAGTTGTCCATCGGCATCTCTAGAAGCTCCACTACTTGTACTCTTTAATTAAAGCATCATGATATTGGTGCATTAATGTTATTTAAATCATGATCATGATACCAGTAATCAATAATGGCCAGATGATTTGGTTAATTTGAAAATTACTCTGTTTCTGCTTATTACAGTAACTATAAATGATTTGAACTTGCAAGAAGGCCATTGAATTACACTGCCTGATTTGATTTTCACTTATTTTCAGGTCTCATTGAAAATTTTGTCCCAGAAACCACAGACCAATCTTTGGTAAGCTTTTCTGGCTATTGACAAGGGAGGCTAAGCAATAGAAATGCAATAATTTTTTAGCAATTTAGGTTGAAACTTCTGTCATTTTGTGTCCATGACATGAAAAGCATTGTAAGATCTCCAGTTGTGATATCGGAATATCTATGGGAAAAATGTTGACTTTTGGATAATTCTTGCAAGCATTAAAGTAATCCTTCAAACAATGTTGTCACACTATGCTCTACTGTATGTACAAATAGTTTTTACCACCACCAATTGGGATTTAAAGCTGTCCAAAGTTGGAGGGCAAATACTCAGCCAACATTCCCACATTTGATTAATGTTGCATAATTGCACCAGTCAAAGGATCCCTATAACAAAGAACAATCATGTGAAAAACCCCAAAACCACTTGTTTTCAAGGAACAATCCAAGATTAAAACCAAAATTTTGTTAATCTGAATTGAATGTAGCTGGCTATGTTTGGAAAGAGCTATTCCTTTACCTGCTTTGGACATGTCATGGTGTTAAATTAGTATTTACTTGGATGTATTGTTTTCCTTCTTGAACAGTTGAATGAAACCCTTAAGTTGTCAGCCCCATATGTGAGAGGATTAAACATCAAACAACTTCTTCCTCCTGTAAAAGAAGCTTTAATCAAAGATGATGACACCTCGGATGCGTAAGTAGAGAACTATGAAAACTTGACTTTGTAATCTTTTTACTTGAATTATTTAGAAGTAGTTATCCCTAATTCATGTTGCTCTAGCTGATGTGTACACAACAACTAGGTAGTAAATCTTTGTGTGGCCCATCACTTCAGACTGATGAGTAATTTTTGAAAATACAGTATATCCCGGAATAAATGCCACAGGCCTATTAAAGTTTTTGGGCCATATATTAAATGGTAGTTCTTATTGGAAACAGTGGCGGCATCATCATTAGAACCATCAAAATGCAAGTTCAGGGCACAGCTTGTGAAAGAATTCTTGGAATGGGAGCCTCATTGAGACCACAGCATTTATTCTTTCCTAAATGGGGTGCATATTTGAGGGAGGTGCTTATTTCATTGTCACACTTATTCTTACTAGTAAATACAGTACAGAACTAGAAACTTCTTCCACCTTCCTTGCCTCCCTTCTTTTTCTTTCCTTTTTTACAATTTTTTCTCATAATGTTTACCCATTTGACTATTTAGTGGGAGTGATGCTGGACAGGATGGTCCAAACATTGATCATTTTGACTTTGGCCTTATAACACCATCACTAATACATCTGGAAGAACTTCATTTGACTTATGGGTAAAGATGAAATATTTTTCCTTTTGTTAGCCTTTACATTTATTACAGTGATATGAAAAGCAGTGATAAATCCTTCCTTTATGTAAGCTGAACATGTATTATATTATGCCTCACAAGTTATACATTTTTAAGATTCTTAGTAATTGCAGAAAGAATATTGAGTTGTATAGTTACATACTCTTGATTTGCCTTTTTTTTCTTACAGTGTTCGTGATTGTGGAATGAACTTCGAATGGAATTTATTTCAGTTTACTGCCAGAGATTGTCTTCTTCTGGCTAAGGTTGGTGTTGTGTTACTAGGATCTTTGTACACTGTGTATAAAGATGACTCCAATTTTTGTCGGGTCCCCAGAAGAATGTAACACAACTGATCCCACCCAATGCTTTGCCCAACTTCTTCATGATCTGGAGTCTAGAGAGCTACCCTTAGGCCACTAAATAGATATTAGACTACTAGATATTTTTTTGGAAATGAGGTAATAAGGAATTGAGATCCCCAGTTTCTTTTCTCCCCCATTTCAAAATTGCTTTATCTTTTACACCTAAATAAACCAACAAACGGTTTTTATAGAACAATAGCACATTGAACAACACTGAAAGAGGGGGAAAGAAACAGTAAGGGTAGGGGTATCTAAGCCAAGCTTAAAAATAGAACTGCATTTAGCTTAAGTTTTACCAACATTTTCTTGCAAAATTTAAGTTAAAACTTCTATCTTCCAAGACCTGATTGATAACTTTTCCTTCCCACCCTGTATGTCATGGACAGGGAATGTGGTGTTGAATCAAGAAAACACCCTCTAGCTAATATTTTTGTCCAGTTTCATAACACCAGCTTGCTTGATATTGAGAAAGATGTTTTCATCTTGTTACAAGCAAGGAACATAGAGAAAATTCTAAGTCCCTATGAGGAATCGAACCTTAGACCTTCGGATTCCGCGCTCTGATACTCTAACCACTGAGCCACTGAAACTCTATGGTGAGCGAGGTCTATAACGAGGTTCATATGACACACGTCCTGCATACTACTGGATCAGCAATGTCGATAGCGTCATGTTTGTAAATAGAATAAGAGAGATGGTAAGTTTTGAGCTCGGTATTGATATTGTCATAACTGATTTTTGGAGGAGACGTTTGACGTTAAACATTGCTGAGAATTTAAGGATTTCGCTGTAAAATGCAGCTTTGGTATTCCTTGATTTTATCATGTAATTTATTCCTTAGGCAGTGAAGGCATGTCACACATTAAAAGTCTTCCACCTCCACAGAAGTGGTGTGGATGACGAGAAGGTGCGAGTTTTAATCAGTCATGTATTGGACCATCCCTCTCTTCTTACTTTAGGTTTGTAAAATGTCAACAACATTCATTTTATAATATTACTGGACAGTTCCGAGAATAACAAATATAGAATTTCCCAGTTGCGAGCAGATCCCAAATGAAACGAGGCAACAAAAATGACAGACGGGAGCCAAAGTAGATAGTTTTGTGACTCTGTGAATGTAGATTAATGTTCAATTTTTTGTTTTGTTATCTTTTAGTGGTTTCTTTGAGAGCCTTCATATTTATTCCGTTTGGCGCAATTCCCTTGAATTGCCAAATGACACATCACATGTAACTTGAAAGGTCATGTTTGATTTACTGCTTCAGATCTTTCCCACAACAAGATTGAAGACAGTGGTGCACGAGCGGTTGGTAAGTTACTGAATGGTCGATGTAACCTCACCACGCTAAACCTTTGTGACAACAAAATACGATCGATTGGTGCTGCCGCCATAGGACACGCCCTGGGGAAAAATATCACGCTAACTTGCATTAATCTCAGACTAAACAGGTAAATAATACTCATTTGATTTTAGTTAACTGAATTTGAGCAATGAAGCCTACACTTAGGTCCTGTTGTTTTGGTTGAAGCAGCTAAGTCCTTATTGGAACACTTCACCAACCGTTTTTGGTTGAAACGCGGTAACTCCTAGGAATAATCATTTCTAGTTTCCCCCGCGGCTATCATGTAGTGGGATTGCTACTACTTAATCACTATTTTCCACCGATTTACACGATTATGAATTCTTCTGCTTCTTGGATGTTTGGGTTATTGAAAGAGTACGAGTTACTTACCATTTTGTTTTTGTCAATAAGGAGAGTCACGGCCAGGAAGGGCTCCCAATTTCGGTTGATCACTCTACATAACCTACCTTATATATACCTAACCTTTATAGAAGGTTTTTTTTTATTGTAACTTTGGAGTTTTAGTGTAGGTGGGATAGACAGCGTAGACTAAACTTACTAGAAAATACAACTATTTCAAATATTTCTGGACATTCAGAGCGGAAATGATGCACTTTGTTTGGGTGGATTATGGTCCATCTGTTCTGCCTCACTCTAGCTCTAAACTACCACTTAAGCACTCAGTACTGACTTTTGAGAAAATACTTTTTTTGCAGCGGCCTACACTACTTACTGCATCCGATGTATTGCACTGCACGCTTCCTCGCTTCACTCATAAAACAGACAATAATGTCTCTGTTTTTCTTAATATATCTTTGTTCAGTGTGCATCTCAGTGATAATTATCATACGATCCTATATTGCATCCGGTATATTGCACCGCACGCTTCCTCGCCTCACACATAAAACGGACGATAGTGTCTCCATTTTTCTTTATATATCTTTGTTTAGTGTGCATCTTAGTGATAGTTGTAATACGATCCTATATTGCCGCCTCATTTATTTCTCATTTTGTAATCCATTCATATAATCGTTCTTCATTCTTCCTTCCTATTCGGGCGCCTGTCAGTTGGCCAACACTTTTCTATTAAAAAGAAAATAAATCTTTATTGCTTAATCGTTTGTGATTTACATTTTGTTTTTCATTTGAGAACTTTCTTGCTAAAAATTTATGACACTGGACTTAAAGTTCCTCTTTGCACGTGGTTGTTGTTTTTCCCCCAGATTGGGAGATGATGGTGGTCAAGCAATTTGTCGTTCTCTGTTTAAAAACAACACCCTTACGCATGTTCATCTTGGAAGTAACGATCTTGGTGAACCAACAGCGGCTATTTTGTCACAGGTATGCAAAAACATAATTAAGACAAGTTCCGTTCCTGCGCTTTTAGATTGATTGTCGTAAAATCCGCTTGCGTAGAATCAAACTGAAAGGTACATGTAATCGCAACAACCTATTAGAACAGCCCTTTCCTCTGATTGGCTATTATGATTCCTAGATTAAGCCGAAACCTTCGAATGATTGTACGCCGCGGGCCTCGACATCGAGAAAAGGTGTCTAAAGAGGTTGCAATTGGTTTATTTTTGCATTTGATTTGCTGAAAAGGAGGCGCAAGATTTGTCAACCAATCACAGAAATCAGTAACTTCAAACCAATGCAATCAATGACCCCTTTCTACACGTTAAAAGGTGGGTTTTGTTACACACAACCGTTATGAAACTTAACCCTTAACTCCCATGATTGACCAAGACAGAATTTCTCCTTACAATATCAAGCAGACAAGTGATGAGAATAAAAAAAATATATCATTTAGGGGATAATTAGTTGATTCAATACCAAACTTTCCAAACTAACATCATACGAACTATATGGCAGACAGGAGGGAGAATTACTAATGAGATCTTGGGAGTTAAAGGGTTAACCCCGGGAGAAGAGCTTTGGGAAACTTTCGAGATTCTCTTTCAGTTCCTTTTCAGCTCTTGAGGGATAAAGCCTTGTTGCTCAGGATTGAGTAATCAAATTTTCCATGGCTAGTACATGTTTATTTTCTCTTCTGGACCTTAAAGACACTAACTCGCATCTTTTTGTACAGGATTTTGCATTGTAGTATGACTATCTTTATCATGAATTACTTCACAAGGTTTTAGCTGCTAACAAGACTTTGGTGGATATTAACTTGTCGTGCAACACAATAGGACCGGTTAGTTTTTTATTTTGCTTTCTAGTTTCAATACTATATTTCATAAGTGAGTAATAATCACCAAGATTTTCTTTGATGACACAAATTCAAGTATAATGATGTGAAATGTTTGTGGTACCATTTCGTATGATATAAATGACTGTGCCGATAGAATCTGAGAGACAAATTATGACCGAATTTCAGTTGGCTTGAAACAATTTTTTTGAGACACCTACCGACTATGTTCAAAGAGCTGAAAACCAACTTTCACTCTTTGCAGTCGAACCAATTTTACACATGTGTTTACCAAATGAAAGAAGTTTGAAATTGTGGGCGTGGCATGGCAATCGCTGTTCTTATACAATTTTTTTTTTTTTTCTTACTCGATAAGCTGAAAACCACTCCGCTTCGCGTCGTGGTTTCCTACGCTTATCTCGTGTTCTCCCAACTTCCGCGTGTTTACATCAGGCTATGTAAACACGGAAACCATTTTACATTTCTTCAATAAAATTTATTTTGTCAGGATGGAGGAAAGTCATTACAAGAAGGAATGGAGGAAAATACCACGATACAAACCATGGACCTAAGACTAACAGAAGTAGGACAAGAAAATGAGTACTGTATAAACCAATTACTAAAAAGAAACAGAGAAGAAAAATACAGACAAAGTCAGACAAGTTAATTTAGTTCTTGGAGAACAAATGGAGTTTGATTCGCCGAATACGTTTAAAATTGTGTACGGTCACATGAAGTGCTCATAATACCTTTAGATATTTATTTCTCAAACGAAAAGCTCAGAAACTACATATCAGTCTTAGTTTCATTGTTTTTTTTTTGTTTTTTTTTTTCATTCGGAAACTCTAAGGTTTTATTTGAAGGGGTACCTTTTGTAAAATACCTGTTTAAATAATATTAATGTTGTAGTATGTCAGAGTGACACAGTGCTTCTTTCATGGCCTAAGACGCTTAATTATTGTAAATAAATAATTTTTTATCATATCCGATTTGGAGTTGTTGCGGAGAAAAACGCACAAATCGCAGTACACTTCACCATCCCTTGTTGGTAAATTTCTGTTACATGGCGTTGAGCGAAATCAATATGACAAGGGCTAAAGGTTATGCACTAGTCAGTGGAAAGCCCCGCACCCCCATACCCGGGGAATAGCGGGGCATTAGACCAGGCGTCCCAACTAAATGAAGCAAATTCCCCGCTATGCGGGGCAATTTCTTATGTCAAAACCTCATTTTTGTACTCCGCCCCCAGGGCAATACTTGAAAAATCCCAAATACACAACGTTGACCAAAATTAATTTATTTCAAGAATTTATTTAACTCTTACAAAAACTTTTTCAATGTCTTCATAAAATAGATGAAACAATCATGGCTTCTTCTACTCCTCTTGGTAAGACATAGTTCTGTAAACTTTTCTCTGGACGTGTAAATGACTAAACTGGAACATGGTGATTCAAGCAACGCATCAACACAAAACAAGTTAAAGATACACCCGAAATTGTAAATTTGGCAATAACTTCCTTTAAGCATGAAAAGAATGGATTTTAAATCGTACATACCTTCTTGTTGGCGGCCGCCATTTTGAGATCATACGCTTTCCCAGTGTTCTTTGCAGGCCTATTCAAAAGCGAAATCCCCGCCAAAGCCCCGCTAGCCCCGCTAACGGTCCCCGGTCGCTGTTATTTGTGTCTAATGTTGTCGAACACCCCGCACACTAGGGCAAAGATGACCACTAAAAACCGCTAAAATCCCCCGCTAATGACCCGCATTCCCCGGGTATGGGGGTGCGGGGCTTTCCACTGACTAGTGCATTATGAATATCTCTTTTCTAAATCCTCTTGTATGTTCATCTAAGAATATTTCAGTCACTTTCATAACTTACTGAATCAATCATCTCTGGATGTTAAGTATCCGACATCAAACAGTTAACGAATAGACTCCACGTTGCTGTGCGTCTGTTTAGTTATAGATCACGTCAAAATATGGTAAGAATGAAAACGTGCCTTTTTTATAATGATTTTTGTCGTTTAATTTATTGTCAAAATTTTGCAATAACTATACACAGGAAAAAGCTTTTTCAAAAGCTTGTGTTAAAACCGTCTAAAATTTGTTTATCGTAGGGTGCTTTCTTTTCCAATTGTGATATTTAAAAACTAAGAATTTAAGATGAAGTCGGTTGAAAAATGAATTTTCCTTTGCATGGTATGGAACTACAATTTGATGTCGGACCGTCAAAATCTCGAGTTCCTTTCCACTTTCTAAACCCCGTTTGTTTCATCAAATCGGACGGGTAACCGGTACCCATTTGTGTTAGGTAATGCATTTTATCCAATAGGATGGGATGGTTCAGTCATGTTTTAGGCACAGAATGTTACCCCATTCTCCAACAAACAAAATCAACTTTTTAGTTTAACTAGGGACCGATCATTACTTATCACGGGGGTATGGGGTCGGGGGATTTTAGTTGTGCCACAATAAAATTTACCTGATCCCTCCCTAAGGCTATGTATGTAGTTTTCCAATGACCCCCCTTCCCCCCCCCCCGCTTTAAACTCTGTTAGCGGTGGCTGATCCTACGTTCCCAATAAAAACCCCCCTTTCACTTGTCTCGAAAAGCGGAAAAGCCGCCTGCTTCATACATCAACGGTTCACTCATGCATATAATAAGCGTCAGGGTTCTTTTTTTATAACAACAGTAAAGAGGTTATTTAGAAAACTGCTAGATGCCAGATGTATTCTAGTTATGCATTCTTGTTGCTAGTTAAGTTGCTCTCTGAAACTGTATCTACAGTTAAATCATAGTGTATAGGTAATTTGAAACAACACTATTTCATGTGTGATTGGTAAACACATTCTTCCAGTGTACCTTGTTGATCAAATTTTCACTGATGTATATAATGAGGTGAATGGATTTTAGAGAAAAACATCGGCGAGTGTAACTTAGGTGACGTAAAGTGCCAGGAGCCCATTACTCATGGGCTCCTGAAAGTTCTGAATTGTATGTGAAATGTTATTAAATGCAGATGTTACAGGCAAATTAATTAAAATCTCATTTAGTGAATTTACGACACGTTGACTCCTGTTAAGCATGTTTCTCACTGAATTTCAAAAATCCACATCCATATCATTGAAATTAAACATATTGATTTTCTCATTAGCTGAAAATGAGGCTCAATCGCAACATTACGTAAAATAGTAATAGTTTTTTCCGTGTGATGTGTTGTACTTTTTTTATTGCTTACAAAATCCTCACGAGACCTGGAATTAGCCAATCAGGTTATATGTAAATGACGTATTATTCTAAACCCGGTTGTACAGAAATTTGCATACGCTGCACACATAAGCGTCCTCCCACTAGACTGATCATTTACGTTTCGCAACTTGCTGAAGACGATTTTCGATTTCGCTGGGTAAAGACACTGAATATCAAAAATGGCTCAGGGTGGAATGGTTCTTGTCAAATACCTATTGTTTATCTTCAACTTTATCTTTTGGGTAAGCTAAAGCTGTCTTGTTCTTTCCCTGATGACTCTAGTAGTCCTGCTCAAATCCATATAGATGGTCCTAATGTCAAACAAGTAGTTTTGCATTACGCATAAATTTAGCTTCACTTGTGATTTGCTCAAAGTTTTTATCGCGTCAAAGTGTTAGTTTAACTTTCTGTGAGAGTTGTCGTTTGTTTCTTTTCTCAACTTTGTGTGAAGTTTTCACAATCGTTCATGGTGATACGAACCACTGCTCTTTCGTTCGAAGAAATGTTCCTTTCGTTTTCGGCCATCGATTATGGTGAGCTTCATTTGAATATTTTGTGGGAGGAACCGTTGGAAGACAGACACCTTTAGTAAATTAATGGTAGAGCTGCTTTCATCTGGTTCACAGGGTGACCCAAAAGAGATGCGGGTGTCCATCTTTCCGTCCTTCATGTCAAGCTGAACTTATAGGCGGAGATAAATAATTTCTATTTTGGCTCGTAAATTACTACAATCTCGGTCGGTATACCACTTAACTGGTGTATCGTTAATTTTCTAATACTCGTTCTCAATTTGTGGCTGAAAGAAATTTGTAAAAGTCTTTTCAGCGAATTATTGCGAGAAATTCACTGAATTATTGATGTAGAATTTTATACAGAAGAGATAGAAAGAGAGAGGGAAATAATGGCTAGGTGGCGGTGGAGGGTGTGAATGATTCAGGAATCTTCTTTGATCTATTTACAACTGGCGCAATGTTGCTGGCGCGTGTAATAAATTGTACTGGACTTTGATCGCGTTATCTTCCTGAAATTAAAACCATTGGCGTAAGTTTATCTGTCGGACTAAATGTTTAATTCTCATTTACCGTATGCTAGGGATATTTAGTTAGGAATTTTTTTAGTATACTACCAATTCAAGTTTTATAGTTTGTATGTTGTGCACCGCATACAAGAGATGAATTATTTTCCACGCCATCGAGTCATTTCGTAGTTATTGATTTGTGAAACTGTAGTATTTAAATACCCAAGACGCTTTAAATCCAGGGGTCAGAAGTTTTAATTTTCAATATAAATTCTCTTAAAACAATGCCCCCAAGTGTTCATGTTTTGTTGACTGCCAAATTTTTTTGGAGTCTCCCAGTTTATCTACATAACAGCCTCTCTTCTTATCTGTTTTTAACACATCTGTTTTCTTTCATTAATGGTTTCCACACAAAATGTTTAACAGTTTTTGTAAACCCATTGAGTAGAATTATGCAGGTTTATTACTAATAAAAATATTTGAAGGAGAGAACTTTTAAAATGAAATTCTAAAGCCAACCTCAAGTGAGCCTTGTGTTTACCATTGGTTTGATATAAACTTTTGTCACACATAGCTGTGAATAAAATACTAACATTACATCTGAAAGTCCAAAATTTGTGAGGATAGACTCCTCTTAAAGGAGCTAGATAGCAATTGTATTTTCCAATACCTCAATTTTGCCTTTCCTGGATCATACAGTACATTTACTCATGACTGAATAAGAGCAGATCAGAAAAAAATATTGTACCTGTCATAATTATTTGATTTAAACACATAATTTGTGTTTTTTACTCTGCTTTGATAAATGTTTCCCACAAGGAGGAGTTTTCTTTATTATCAAAGGAGGAAAGTTTCTTTCTTGTACCCCAAGTGACTAGCTATAGAACTTGGTGTTGGATTACTGACAGGATCTTTTGTTGCCATGGTGTTTTCAGCAGACTGATTGAAATTTTAAACCATCCTTTTAATATTTTGCTCTTGGACCCGTAGAAGTGTGCATTGTTAACCAAGTTATTTATGCACTCCTAACAGTGTTTCTAACTGTAATTTAAGATATCTAGGGAAAGTTGCTTCAGACATTGTACATTGCAGTAAGTGTCTTGCAGATTGCCACTTCTCCAACCCTTTTATTTTTAATATCTGACAAGTGATTCTCCCTTCCGGTAATTGTGTATTTCCCTGTGAAGGAGTGAAGGAAATTTGGTTATATATCACTGACACTCCTAATCAGTTTGTTTATTCCCATCATTCTCCTGTCTGCTAAATGTGTTGAAATTGTGACAAGGTTAAATGTTCGTCTTTGGGGTTTTCAAGAAGTGAGCCATTTATATTTTGGGGAAGTTGAAGTTAGAAACTGTTGTTGGACAGCAGATGTCTCTGTTTGGTAAAATCAAGCATTATGATTGAAGCAGCTAGCTGAAGCCTTCAGAGTATGCGGAGAAGAATGCCAGCTGGCCTAAATCTCCTGGTGTCTTGAAAAATTGCCTTATTTATCTTCTGTTTCATGGTGGAAGAACAACAAAATTCATGCATACATTTCATTACAGCAGAATTTAATTGTTCATTTAAATTTACTTATGGAGACTTTCCCAGCCATTTAAAAGTTAACAGAGAGAAACCTGGGTAGATAAATTGTTGTGGGAGTTGTGGAAAGGCAAAAAATTCACAATTACTGCTTGATAGTAGATCAAGATGGTGTGCTGAAGTGTTACTGTTATCCTTGAATAGAGAAAAGATGTTTACCTTTCCTATGAACCAATCAGATTGCAGAATTTGTTACTGAGTCCTACAGGAAAAAAAATACCCTTTGTTTTTTTCTAAATCTGATTCAAGTTTGCATTTTTGCAGATCTCTGGCATTTGTTTGATTGCTGTTGGTGCTTGGATCAAGGCAAAATACAAAGACTTCATTGAGCTAAGTGAGGGTAGTAGTGCAGCGACTGGTGCAGTGTTTCTCATCATCATCGGTGTCATTGTTGCAATTGTTGGCTTTTTGGGATGTTGTGGTGCATGGAAGGAGAATTACTGCATGGTCACTACGGTATTGGCTCAAATTTCTCCTAACAGATTATATTTTTGTCAACTCTTATTACTGTATTTAACAAGATATAATTGTGCACACCCATGAATAATACTCACCTCTAGTAGAGACCAAATTTTTATTGTAAAAAGGTTCTTACAACAAAAAAAACAAATCAAATCTTCGAACAATTATTTGTATGTCAGTATTATTTGTATTATAGTAGTTATTGGCTACATGGAGTATGACACAAAATGATTCAGTCAAGTTTTAACTAAAGTTTACTTCATGATCTTTACTCCAGTCATGGGCTAACATTCAAAAAAGCAGCTTCTGATTTTTTTCCCATTAGTGTTATGGATAGTTTCAATGACTGTAAGCTAAGGAGTCAGTGAGTACAAAGGCCCTGAAAATATCTATTACAGTTTAGGTAGAGGCCCCCTTCCCCAAAAAAAAAGGGAGTTCCTCTCACAACTTTTGTCCCTCCTCCTTTCTAGCTCTTCCATGAAATATTGATCACTCTAACATAAAAAAAATCCTTATGCTAATTAAAACAATCAATTTCTTCAAATTGGAATATGCAGTGCTTTCAATAAGGTTTGAAGAAGGTGGCCACCTCAGTGAAGCACCTGCCTGAGAATTTCCCTCTTGGTATCCCATTACTTCCAATCACAACAAACTGGCTTCAAACAGATGATCATTAAATATTCATCTCTTTTATAACAATTGTTTAATTGATCATTTTATTTCTGATCAAAATCTTCCATTTGCTGACATGATCCCTGGGTTTCACACAAGAAGTCCTCTGACAGAACATATGGTTAATGGTGACCAAAATTTGATTCAGCTTTTTCTTGGAAACACAAAATCTTTTTTTGCTGGAGGTGTATGAAATGTATGCTGGATTATACCCACTGGAGCTTCGGCAGGTGCCTGATCCTATTGAAAACACTGAATATGGTGTCCAAAATTTGTGCAGGCATTAAGTTAATTTTGAAAGATGTGTGGTCACATGATTGTAAATTTTTGTGAATGTAGTATATTGGTAGTGCAGGTTACAGTTTTTGATTTAGTAGCTCTAAATACTGTCTGTAATGTCCTTGCAGTATGCTATTTTGCTGGCCATAATTTTTATCCTGGAGATCGCTGCTGGTGCTGTGGCTTATGCCTACAAAGGAAAAGTATGTTGAAATTCAACTAAAACTCTGGGTATCAGACTGAATATTGTATACAGTGGATATAAGGCTGATAATGATATCAACTTAAAATGGCTGAGCACTTTTTTTCTGGCATTTTAAAAGTGGGCAATTCTAAGGCCCATTTTACCAGTGCAGATAACCATGCAATCAGAACTGTATGTTCTCTTGATCTTGGTTATTCACCATATTGCCACAGAAAGGGGCATACATACTGAGTGAGGTTAACGTCTAAAGAAACTGTGTTTGTCCTCACAGAGAGCTGAAATTCTCTTCACTTCACCACTCTGCTCAAGTTAAGATTTTCAATGCTCACCTGTGTTGATTGACTGCCCCCGTATTTTTTAGTGTATTTATTTTTAAAGAAAATATCAATAATGGGATTACTAATTGATCCAATGCCAAATTCTCCAAACTAACATGACAATAAGATTCATTAGGCAGATGGTAAGGAGAATTACTAATAAGATCTTGTGAGTTAAAGGGTCAAGTTTGATTTAGTTAAGATCAAAGAATGGTTTCTTGTAACAATTAATTGTATAGCTTTTTTCAGTCATTTCCACAAAGTTTGAGGTAACTATCAGCAAGCCCTTGGGTAAGTTAGATTTCTATAAGTCTTGTGTTTTTATGGTTTTTTTGTATATTTTAGCTGGAGGATTATACCAGAAAAGCACTTGATGATGGTATTGATAAGTATCTTGATGGTGACAAAGATGCAATAGATGCAGTAGACAATATACAGAAGCAGGTAATTAAGTTATTCTGTTGTAACAGAACTTTACTTAGAGTAAGGCAAAGAAGCAAAATGGGATGGAATTGGAAAATTAGTTTCTTTTAATTCTGGTAAAAGGCTCGTTGCATGACGAGGAAAGGTTAACAGTATGTCTGTGCAGTGTTGTAGGGATAATTATATGAAATTGATAGGACTCTTATTAATACTGGTTATTCTGTTCAGCCACCATATAAACATTTGATTACACTCTTGTCAACCATAAACATGCTCAACATCCATACACACTGGGCTCTTCTTGCCACATTTTGATGTCACGTGTGATCTACATTGTATTACTATTATGCAATCTATTTGTGAAGCACATTTGATTTTGGTTAAACAATTTTTCAATCTGTTCTAAGTTATTTTGCTAAATTTGCTGAGGAACTTCAGCTCAGCTGCAACCTGATACTGTAAATGGAAAGAGCTCTAAATTAATGTCTAATGTAATATGTTTGTTTTGGTTAAACAAATAAAATTTTCAGTCTGTTTAAAGGTTTTGTGTTATATTTTAGACAAGTTCCTTCTATCAATAAGGAACTATTTACAGCTTATGAAATCAATAGGATTTTTTTAGAACTGATTAAGATACTAATCCAAAATTAGGAATTGTGTAGTAAACAGTATGGAGAATATTCATGATGAAGTTAGAGTGTTAAGAGTTCATTACACTTGCACTCTCTTCACAACCACATAGTAAAATTTATGGTAAGATCGACACTGATCCATCCAAGTATGGATAGCATATATACTCCTTGCAGATTGTCTCTAAGGCTGTTAAGATTTTACTCAATACTTTTTTGACTGATTTGTGCATTTCAAAAAGTTTATTTGTTGTACACTATTTTAAGCAATAGCTTTTTTTTTTGCAGTTTAATTGTTGTGGTGTTGATAGTTATAAGAACTACCTTAATGCTTCTGATGATAAAAAATTCCCATCGACATGCTGTAAGAATAAAGAGGTTTGTCCTGGCACTGTTGGGGATGTAAAGAAACTAAATAAAACAGAACTGGATGATGAAATCTATACAAAGGTAAGAAATATCTCAATTTAAGGTTATTTTTTGAGGCAGAAAAAAATTTCTTAGTCACTTACCTCATGCATGCAGTCAATGAAAGTTTATACATGTATATCAGGGTGTGTAATGCTGTTGTGATCCTTTTTGATAATGTGAAAGGTAACAGTGTTACTGTTGAAAGTTGTCACATGAATTTTCAAAGTTTTAAGTATCCCACCAAGATGGGTCAAAAATTAAATTTGAAAGGGTTCACTTACCAAGTGTACGTAAGTACTTTATACTACTACTACTGAGTGATGGAGCTAAATGGATTTATTAATGATTCACTTAAAGTTTTAGACAAACATTCTAAATGTTACATTAATTTAGTTTGAATGTGCAGCTCCAGAAAAATGTCCCCTCCTTAGTAAAGTGCTAGTTTTACCAAAAAAGTTAAAAAAGTAAAAATGTTAAGGAACCTCTGGAAGAGTTTGTGTTTACAAAAATTGTTTAAGTTATATTAACTTAAATTCCTGTTTTTTGTTTTTTTTTTCCTTATCTTATTCCTTATCTCACTGCTCATCACTCCAACATTGTTAATTGTGTCCAAATATTTATCTATGATAGAAATTAACATTTTGATTTTTTTTGTTAAAGGGATGCCTCACACAATTCGAACAGTTTCTTCGTGAACACATTTTGATTGTCGGTGGAGTTGGTATTGGCATTGCTTTTGTCCAGGTTTGTATTTAATTTTCACAATTAAGTTTGAGTTCTCAGTGCCAATAAATCTCTTTTTTTTGTGGGCTTTATTTACTTTCACAAAGCTGGACTGGAGTCAATTTTAGGGAAGCTATGGTTTAGTAGGACTCACATTTTTCCAGTTCACACATAGCCCTATCTATGTAACATCCCATTTTCATCTTAATGGAGGCCTTGATCCAGTATGGAAGAAATTAAGGGGATTGTAAATTTAATTAGTTGGATTACTAAATGAATGAGTGATGTCTGGTAGAGTAGTGCCATACAGTTAAATCCCTCCTATTTAAAATGACCAATGATAGCAACTTTTCCCCACCTACACGTACTTGTGTGGTGAAAACAAATCATAACCAACATCCTTGTATTTCAGATGTGTGTCAGAGCTCTAATGTTTACTCTTAATATTTTATTTTTCCTCAGTTGATTGGCATTTTGTTTGCCTGCTGCCTCATGCGGTCCATCAAGGCAGAGTATGAAGTAGTGTAATGTTGCACTAGCCAGCCAATCAGCAGTACAGCCAGCAAATAATTTCACATATATCCAGCTATAGTGTAATTCAAATGTAGTGTGATAGATTGTAGTGTGCTGTTTTATGTTAAAGCTGGGTTAGTTGAAAGATTGTATCTACAAAAGTGTGATTCAGTCGCACATTTTTGTTTTCTTAATATGGTGCAAATAAACAGGGGAAAATTTGCCATTTCTATTTTATTTCCATGCCTGCAACCTTTAAAATGTAATTAACAGCTAAGGTGTGCCTGGTGTTTTCTTGTTTTTTTGTCATTTTCCCCAACTTATATTCTACAACCTTAATTATGTGCAGTTACATATTTTGTGATAATCAGATAGTGACCCCTGGAAATACAAAGCCAAGCTGTTACTTGTACCCAATGTGTATCTAGACAAGATCTGTTTCGGATTGTATTATGGTCATGAGCCCTTGAAGTTGATGGGTATCTGTTGTATAATACCTTTGGTGTGCATATCTACTGCATGAGCTTTTCAAGGATCAAGTCAATAAACTTTGGTTTATAACATAATGAGTAAGATACCTCTCCTTTCTTCATAGGCTAGGCCATAAAAACAGGCGTAAGGGTAGTTAGATTGAGGGGCTTAAAACTGGCAATTCAAATTGATATCCAGTTTAAACGTTTAGGGCACTCAGTTCTTAGAGTTGTAGCCAGTAAGAAGACTGAAGGAGGCACTGTGGCAAGAACAGCCAAACAGCAAGAAACAAGGTAGAGAGAGTAGAGATGCAAGGCCCCTTAATTACTTTCTTTGTAACTGGCAATGCAATGCTAATTTGAAAAAGAAGAAAAGGGGAGAAAGCATCCCATAATGAAACCAGTATATCTGCACTGGAAGGAAAAAATTATGCATTACCTGATCCTATGTTAGGAAATTTTGAAAACTTGTTATCTCAGAACACTGCTTTGGGCAGTGTTAAATGAAAGACTAATTTGCAATTTAATTTGCAAGATCAGCCGAATGCTATCGCAGAACTTGATGAAGATTTACACAGAATTAGTCACTGGACTCTCAACTCAACTCCTTATAAACCCTTATAAAACTTAACTTGATTTTTTTGGTAGTAGAGTTATGATCTCAAAGACTATGAAAGATTATTGCCTACCGTAATGATTCTTGCAACAGCAAAGGACCTAAGAGTTCTTCTACACTTTAGTCTAACATATACATGTAATAATTACGTTGATTGTGTCCACTTGCATGGTGCGGTTAGGACTTATAAGAGGACTGATGATTCAAGTAAACATGCCTTTAACAGGGGAACTCTGGCTGGTCTTTAGCAATTTATTCTATGGTAACAGCTCTACTCTCTGGAGCAATACTACTGAGTCCAACTTTAACAGGATTTAAGCCATTCAGAATTTTTGTGTGTCACATCATTAGCAACACAAGAAAATATGATCATGTTTTCTCCCACAGTTAAAGATCTAAGGTGGATACCAGTGAGAAAGCATTTATACTATTTGATGTATGACTGGAAGTGCACTAGAGACCTTGATCTCTAAATATATCCAAAGAGCTGACATCACATGTATCATAATGATACATATAATACTGCAGGGCAAATTAAATTTTGTTATAGGTGTTCAACTTTGGAATTCATGAGACCCATAAGTAAGTAAGAACAAACATTGAAAGACATCCAACCTTGCTCAAAGATACGATAGATTTCAACCCTCTTAGAGAAATTTAATTTCTTATTTCACATTAATTTTTACATTTATTGGTATGTAATTATGTGTGTCCTAATCATAAAAAGTTCCTTTATTCTGAAAAGCCCTTCGACATGATTAACCTATGTCTGTACAATATAAATATTTATATATTTATGGAAGTTAAGCATCATTTATTGCAATTGCAGTTCACATGTAGTATCCACACAAATATTGTCCAAGGTGTGTAATATTTGGCAAACTGGTGTAGCTTTGCAAAAATTTTATTAAGTTAATGCTAGCCAAAGATGTTTCAATTGCATACTTAATATTGAAGAATTCAGATATATGGTCCCCTCCATGCTCACAAAAGACAGCCAAATGGCATTAAATTTAAAGCTTCATTGTTTTCATCTCTTGAATTACAAAAAAATTAAAAACATCTAAAAAGTAACTAATTGAAACTGAACAATACTCCTTGGGTTTAGATAAATGGTCAGTATTGTTCATTGTTTACCATAAAAACAATGAATTAGAACTCCCATGTGCTGCATGCAAACATACCTTCCTCATAATTTAAAAACATTAAACCCAATTCAATAAGCAGTAATATTAAAAACTGTTGTTGTATTTCTACATCAATACTATCTGGTCAGTTCAACTAATTGAGAACAAAGTATTAACTATTGGTTTGTACTGCATGATCTCTGTCTTGAATGTCAGCATTATCAATGGAATAGTGGTCTGCAGCCATGGCTGGTTTTCTAGTCTCCCCTGGAAAATCCACCGGTACTAGCACATCTTCATAAGGAGTGTTCCATGACTGCTGCTCACCACTTCCAAGGAGTAAATAAATAAACCAACCAAAAACAAAAACTCCAGCAGATATGTAAAATACTTTCTGCCACTGTGCTCTTGTTGGCTGAGAAACAAACCAGCAACAAAAGATTTAAGTAAAGTGACCTGGTCCTGCTAACATTGAGCTGCACTAGCTAGTAAAGAGGAAGGGGGAATATGGTAACTTTTTTATTTTTGGTGACAACTTCATCAGTACCCCACACCTTTATTCCTAGACAAGGTCCACGTCCTGACTTTGACAAGGATCAGTTTGTAAAATTTAGAGAGGAAACTCCCTTATAAACCAAAGTTGGTACTTAAAAGTTCTGCAAGTGCTCTAAGAACATGCAACAAACTTAATGTACCAGTTGAGTAATTTAAAGATTGTAGGCATCACAGCCTGAGAGACACTCTTTATGTAGCAGTGAGTATCATCCTAGGAATTTCACAATATTCAAGTAATCAAGTTATACCAGAACAGTCAATGATTTTTCAGGGGAGGGAGAGCAAGAGGTAGACCAAGAGCAAGAAGAACTGCCCTTTCCAACAAATACAACTAAAAATTACATGTAAGATGGCAGGAATTAAACTAAAGGCAAACCAAAAAATTATCTGCCCTGCTTGTGATTTTTATTATTATTATTATTATTATTATTATTATTGTTAGTACACAGGTTTTATTCAATTTGTAATTAAGGATAGTGCCTGCACTCCTTTCCAATGCACACCAATCTCCCATCTGTTTTCTAACAATAAGCTTTACAGCAGAAGAAAGGACAACACTCAAAAAAGAAGAGTTATAGTCTGACAGGGTCCCGTATTACAGCTCTACTACAATGATCAACCACTGAATTAGAAGTTGGAGTACCAAGGTTCTTGAATAAGGGAATTCCTCATTCTGTGGTGATTTATTTCAGGGACTAGGAAAAATTATTCTAACATATGGTTTTAGTGAGGGGAAGGGGGGGTGGGTGGGGTGGGGTGAAGAAAACCCCTTACAAACAAAACACAGGACTCCAGATTGAAAGTTCCTCTTTCAAGATTTGGCCAGGGGTATAATGGTTCTTGAAAACAACACTTTTAACTCTCACAGTGCCTCTTTCCACCAAAAGGGTAAAACTATTGGTACTGGCAAATTGAGGAAGGAAATATATGATAAAGGGGGTGTGAGACATGATAAAATAGAATAGAAACTGGCATGGGATAATCTACTTCAGAGATGTGGGCCACTTGCCTCATGTTCAAGACTAAACCTTGCAGAAGTGGGTTAAAGGGGGGAATCCACTATAATGTGTATTAACACAAGGAGGAATCACCTATTGATAGCTCCCAAGACTTGAAGGTAATTGTAACTGAAAAGACTTCCCAGTCCACACCACTAGATTGACAACATTGAATAAAAGTGCAAACAGATACTATATATAATGTTATTAAACCAAATGAAGGTAACCAAAAAATTTAGATGAAATAACATTACCTGATTATCTGTAAGATATCCTATGATATAGGGACCAACAATACCAGGAACTGTACCAAATGAGTTGGTTATCCCCACCAGAATACCAGCAAATCTGGGTGAAATATCCAAGTGATTGACAGAGTAAGAGGCTGAGTTGAAAGATTGTACTCCTAGTGCAAGTGTAAAGAGAACAACAGCAAGGCTGGTGTTATCACATCCTACGTAGCTTGTGGACACCAAAAGAAAAGCTGGAATCAGGAAACCTGCAGATGGTGACATGTCACGTTTATTTAAGGTGGTTTAGAAGATTTATCGATATGTAACATAATAAATTAGAAGAACATTTAGTGCAATTCAATCTGTTTTTATTTGATTTCAATTAGTTTTTGATTATCAAAATATGCAAGAAGTAATGTACAATATATTATTTTATTATAATTGCTCAAGACAGGTGATTATAGATATGCACTGGCTCTGATTGGTTGGAGACTGTGTCATATCTTGCTATAATCACCTCATGCAAGGTGATTTTACCAGGAGCACCAAATTTCAAAATGGCTCTTGCTTTTTGTCAATGTTTCTGAGGAAGTCAGATAAATGTAATAAAGGAAAATTCAATTGCAAAAAGCACAAAGAATACCACTGAGTTTGGTGGAACACTTTTCAGTAGAAAGATATGAAGGTTTTGTTGATTGAATTGAATGAACCTGTTAAAACTGCTTGCTAATCTTGATATAAGGAGTCAGTGCATTCAGAAAAAATCATGTTCAATATTTTCTTTATACTTACATAATTTACAACAGAATTCAAAAGCACCTCTCCAATTATACCAAAAGAATTTTTATGCCTCAGGCTTATTTAACATTGTTGAATAATACCCACCACCTCATCTTGAGGATAATTAAACAATTATATTCAATTTCACCTTTGGCAAATAATTGTTAAACAATGCATACTCATGAATAGAGCCAAAACTAACAGCCAATCTGAACTTACCAGCAGTACCAAATACTTTCCTAGCTTCTCCAGTTGTTAATATTCTTTTGTAACGTAGCCAATCTGCAAGTTGGCCACTACCAATAGTACCTATGAAACTCAGTATGTATGGGAGAGCAGACACAAAGCCATTCTGAAACAAAAATGTATCAACTATTTTCCACTAAACCAAAATATGATGAAGGTTGAAGGTGTGTGGAGTAGGAATTTTTTAATCAATGTTAATCCTACATGCCAACAAAGGTACCTGATTGAGCCCTGATTTATCTGACTGCTGAAATATCCCTTAAGCTCCCACCTAACTGCTTACATGAGTGGAAGTTAACCATGCCAGAGGACTTGACTCTTGTACATGCATATAGTTCATCATATAATTTTTTAAAAAAGTAAAACACCCTTTCACCCCACACATCTGTAATTGGCAGGGATGTATCAGCACTGTGAATCAAACAATTGTCTGCATGTTTCACCTACAGATCTACAGTGGAGAGGTTGCAAGCATACTATATACTCTGACACTGGTGCTTCATTCTTTACTGCACATAAATTACCTCAACATGCTCTCTTTTGGTGGCTCATTACTTTGATTTGAATATTACTTTTTTCAAGACTTATTGCTTGATGATTAGATGCTACCCCTATTGATCCTTTCTTTCCTTAAAAATGGAATCTAACAAATGCCCATTTATTGCTCAAAAAGGTTTGGTCATTTCTTTTTTTAAATAATAGATTACCAATACTTAATTCTATTAGAAAAGCTCCTAATATCAGTTTCATTGCAACATGGCTCTAAACCTACTCCTCAACTTTTTAGTAACTTTTTGAAGATATCATGATCATTGAATGATTAATTCTAAAAATAGGGGTTACTGACAAAACCTGTGTTTGAGTGCCATACAGGCTCCCAAAAGCTAAAATTAAGGGTGTTTTTTAAGACACTCATAATTTGATTTTGCTATGGCAACCATGAGCTCCTAGATTCAAGAAAATGGCATCTGTTGTCATGCAATGACTGGGAATTATATGGTGCTTTTTTTTAAGCACCCAATTAAGAGTCATGGTCATTATCATTCATCAAATATGGAAATTGTTAAAACCTCTGCAATGTCTGTAATTGCAATAATTCTATAACCAGTGAAATGATTTCTGACTGAATTTTCTAAATGATAGAGATTAATGTGTACCTCTTGAATTGAAAAATTGAGAACCTCTTTAAGATAAGATGGTAAACCAGTGAGAAAAGTGTAGAAGCCCCAGTTGTCACAAACATTTGCTACAACAATGGCCCAGACAGCTGGTGATCTCCAAATCTTCAACCAAGGAGTTTTATATTTCTGAAAGAGAACAATGGAAGGAAGGGGTATGTGATAAAAACAATTTGGCTAAGGGTGCAGTTTTGGAGAGTTCCCTAGGTCATTATAAGCTGTCACTAAGTACATTCCTCCCTACATTATGTTGTGAAAAATAATCTCTCAGAGGCTAAATCTGAGTTATCCTTGATTTAGGTTCACTTTTTTTTCCTTGGTGTAATATTTTCCAAACCAATCCAGTTTTTATTTTCCTATTTCCCACAACAATTATCATATTCTGAAAAAAGGAAAATAACCATCAAACTTATAAGAAGAATTGAAAACCAAGAAAACTTTGAATTAAAAAAAAATAGGCATTTCAGTTAATTAAATTAATTAATTAATTGAAACAATTTCTACAACTTCTGAATGCAAGCATGATTGATTAATCCTTAATTTTACTCGGCCACATGTAACTACTGAACACTTTTGGTACATAACATCGAACAAGTTAAAATACATGAAAAGGTTTTTAACCCTACCCTTGCGTGAGCATCATCCCCAGACCCTATACTTGACTGTATGTACTCTTTTTCCTTGGCTGATATTCTGGGGTGGTCTTCAGGTCTGTTATGAGTTAACATTAGCCACATAATAGCCCACAAAATACCTATAGCACCTAAACATAAAACAAAAAAACTCTCATCAATGAATATATTATCTAAGATTCCATAACATTCATTAAATGTGTTAGTACACACAATTATAACTAAAAAACTATGATGAGAACATTGAGAAGGAAGACACCTTATAACCGCCTCCCAATTCAACCTTTTGACTCCCATGAGTGACCAAGACCAAATTTCTCCTTACAGTATTAATACACTATCAAGTAGACAAGTGATAAGAATAAAAAATATAAATTAGAGGATTATATTGAGTTTATCCAACACCAAATTCTTCAAAGCAACATCATAAGAATGGTATAGCAGGCAATAAGTAGTATTATTTAATTGATCTTGGGAGTGAAGGGGTTGAAAGTAAACAGCTCATAACCTATGCATACAGTCAGGCTCACAGCCAAACATAGCCTGGCAGCTTGAAGTCCAATTTGATGGCCCATAGAGCATGCAGTAGGCTGGCTGTTAATAGCTTGTTGCTGGTGACTCAAACAAGTCAAAGCTAACTTTTAAATACAAAATACTCACTCAGATGTAACTGTAAAACAGGTAAATAATGGATGATAGTGACTCTTGTACCACTCCTTTCTTAAAAATAAATCAATCCTTCTCGAAATTAGTGACAACAGAGAACATTGGCACTGTGGTCATATAATCACATTGCATGGAAAAGTAACTTTCCAGCCTCCTCCTTTCATCATGATGTCAACTCACCAAAAATATAAAATACTGCTGGCCATCCTCCCCAGAGATTTGATGCACACAATAACCCAGATATTGGCATTGCAAGTACTGTCCCCAGGCTAAGGCCTTGGATGAAATAATAAATATTGAAAAATATCTAATAAATGAATAAATTCAAACTAAACTTTAATTTCACAAGATGCCGACCATGTTTAAGTGGGATTCAGCCATTATTGTTTTACATGGAAAATAATGAATTTAATGCTGACTCTTCAAAGTATAGGTTGGAATGAATTAAAAAATAAAGAGAAGAAAAAGAAAGTCAACGACACGGGATATGATGTGAGGTCATCCATTCCACTAACGACTCCCCCCCCCCCCCCCCATCAGCACTTTACTACAGAGAGAAGCCCACAAAGGACATGACTCATTTCCACATCTGACTATGACAGCCCTCCAGAAAATTTTTATTGTGGTCTGCCATGGGCAACCAATATAAAAAGGGAGAGATCAGGAGCATGCATTCTATTGAAAAATAATTGAAAAATCACAAACAAAAGAAACATTTGCTTAATATATCACTATGCAAAAATGCACTTGATTTTCTTTCCTTCTCATTCTTTTATCATTGTGACTGTGGTATATGATATTGAAAGTTACAGTTAATTCAGAGGATAAATGATGTTTACACTGTAAAGTAAAAAGAGCTGGCACAAAAAATTCAAAATTCAAATTAACCCTTTAACCCTTAATTCTAATTTTCCTCTATTATGTCACCCCTGAATTACACATTAACTTCATAAAATTGAAGGAAATGATGACCAACTAAATAAGCTCTGATTGTTAAACAAGTTCTCCTTGTCAGCACCTTAGTAAATGTGTAAAGAACTGTATGGAGAATATGCATACCGATGTTAAGGTGTAAAGGGTTAAAAAAAACAGTTTGAATTTGTTTTGTTGCAAACCATCCAACAAAAATTGTGTTGTATTAAATGCATTTTGTTTTGTAATTAAGTAAAGAGCAGAATAGTTGTAACAGGTCTGTTTCATGATTATTATGTGTTTCATTAAATTGTACAAAAATTCTTTACAAACAAAGGAGAGAGACTTTAGTTTGGTTGTAACAGGGACTTCAATAGGACAAAACTCTACTTCATAGTTAAAATTTTCCTGACTTCCCTCAAGGAGGTTTTATATTTAAAGCAGTGATTACCTGCATAAGAAATAGTTACTAATTTACTCCTCTCTAAAGGTGGAGCCCAATAACCCCACATTGCTTGCATAGCTGGAAATGTCACACCCTACAAGAAAAATCAAAATGTCAAATCCTGCAAAATATTTTTAACACAATTAACTTAATATTTACCACTACATTTTTTATAACTACTCTTTTACTTAATAGATAAATAGGGGCAGTGTATAAAAGTATTTAAAACCAAAAACCCTCTGTGAGAGAACGCAGTACAGTCAGATAGCTTCCTCAGGGAGTTTTTCACTCAGTTTCATGAAGCAAACATCTGCTTCACTTAGTTTCATGAAGCAAACATTTGCTGTTTCAACAGAATTTTTTTATCAATATCAGCCCAAACTGTTTAAAAGATTCCAAGGACTGATTCTGTTGATGAAGCCCCATTCAGGAGGATCTGAGTATCCCATATCCTTTAAGTTTTTTTTAACCTAAATATCCCAGATCCTGTTGATTCCTTTGGTTTGTATCCTTATAATTCCTGTTTGACATCCCAGAATCTCTAATTTAAATACCCCATAACCTGTTTATTGTTTCCTCAAGAATCCTGCCTCCCCATAATTTCTCATCCAAATATTGCATGTCTCAATAATCCCATAATAGGGCCTTGTGGACCTATAGACTGTTGTGAGAAACTTAATCCCCTCTCTGAGTTGTTGTGCCAATTTTTATTTCAAATTGTACACCTATACTTTAAAGAAGCAGAACTCAGTTGAGTAGTGAAAAAAATCATAGTTAATAACAAAGATGCAATTCATTTAGGCTGATAGAGAGACCAATGTATTTCACTACCTGTCCAAGACCTTCCACCACTCTCACCAACATTAAAATTGCAACACTGTGATAAGCAGCAGCTGGAGTAAACAGTGCTGCCACTGATGTCAAAAGGACTCCACAGCCAAACACAACCTTTCCACCATAACGGGATGCTAACCAACCACCTGGAAGTTGTGTGACTATGTAACCATAAAAGAATGCACCCAGGATAAGCCCTGTGAAGGAAAAAAAGGTAAGCCATAGTTGTGAATTAAAAATTTCAGATTGATATATTCAGCTTACTTTTATACATGATTTTCCCATTATATTTTACCTGAACATCCACAGTAAATATTCAACAATTATTATGAAAGAGGAGGTGGCTAGTGGTGGATATTTACTGTGCCAGTACAAAGCGGCAAGGTTACTAATATCCAATGCTAGTCACCAACAATCTGGTAAAATAAGTTGTTAATTGTACTATACTAAAACAGTGAGATAATATAGCACAAAAATATGATTTTAACTCATTCATCTCAGCAACAATTACAATCTTTTCAGGTGAAACCTAGTGTATGCTGCTTGGAGATGAATAGCAGAGGGTTTTCAGGGATTGAGTAGCCAATCAGAATACATCTTGAATGCTTTTCACTGTTTTATACACATGTATTACAAAGAGTTATCCAATTTCAGAACAAGCTATAGTTGACTTCTCCACCAATGTCTAACCAAAGGGTGTCAATACCCATACTTGCACCACAGAATTTGCATACTTAATATTTGCAGCCATTACAATAGACAGTGCTCCAGGTTGGGGAAGAAGTAAATGAACCAAGGATTTTATTCCTAGTAAAACTTTTGTGTGGAAGTAGACAAAGGTTTATACAGTCAGGTAGAAATGAAGATATACTTGAGAGAAATGACATCACATGATTGACCAAGTTGAAGGTCAAGATGCTGATGATGATAATGATGATAAGGGGTATTAACTTAGTAGAGTAAAGAAAAATATTAAAATCAAGACAATTACCTTGCATCTCTTGATCCCATTTAAATTCTCCATCCTACAAGACACACTTTGATAATGAAATATCCCATGTATTTAAGGCAATATATTATCTTTTAATCAATCAGTTTTAATTTGTAATCCTTATCAATAAGTTATCTCTCCACCAAACCTAAGGTTAGACTTAAGCAGTAGCAATAGAGCAATGGCTGGGAGAGTTCAAGAGAGTTATACAAACCTGACATACAGTACAGGGTTTGCTTAACAACAAAGAATTCTCCCAACCTCAGGAGTGTTCAAAAGTCATCTATGCTTTTATAAAATATTCAGAAAGCATAATGTCACTTTGTCATGTTTACCTAGTCTCATCTAAACACATTTAGGGAAGGGGGGAGGGGGAATGGTGCAGGGTGAGAGCCCTTGCCTCCCCCCACTGTGGCCTTGTTCAATTCCTGGACCAGGTGTTACATAAGGGTTGCGTTTGTTGTTGGTCCTTGTCCTTATTGCGTGGGTTTTTCTCCAGTTAGAGTTACGTTTCTAATAGCTACAGAACTCAATTGTAAATACTTCGCAAATTTTTCTCATTCTCATTTTTGAAAGTACTCCTTAAGACTCCTCATATACTTCCCTCGTTTAATTTACATACGATGATTTAATACTATTTTTATTAGGATAGATCTTCTCCTTTCTAGGGATACCCTATCTCACAATAATTACTTGATCGCTTAAGAGCCACTTTCAACGGTCACTGTTCGTCAGTAAAATGAATCCTTTCAAGTACTTCTTTGATCATATATTACCGTCTGTTCAAAACAAGCCAAAGGTATGAGGACTTAAAAGCTTACACAGTACCTTAACTCGAGTCACGTTTGCGGTATTTCTCTGACATTCGGGGTTGTTTGCGGTAGCTTTTGCATCCGCATAAGTTGAATTAACCATCGCAACCAGTGCCACACTCAAATTAACCCTCAGAAGATACACAACACAAAATCCTGAGCAAGACATCCCGGCAAGCACATACCGGCAAGATAGATAACATCTTTCAGAATCACGGCGAGGAGACCTGTGGCAGCAGTTATCCATGGGGGAAATGGTAGGAGGTGAGTCGTCCGCCATTAGAAAACGAAATCATGTAAAATACCTGTAATAGAAATTGCAACAGTCGAAAAATAAATTTGCTACCTGGTGGTCTAAAGGTTTCGGTTACACAAATGTAAACAGCCGTGCGTGACAGCGAGGGGTATGGCCAGAGTGTGGTAACGTTAGGTGCATGGATTGACTTACTACGAATTGAATTTTTACAATGGCACACGCATGATACTGCTCTTCCCTCTTCTCTCCTCTTTCTCATTTCAGTAGTGTTTTTTTTCTCCATATTTATTTGATAAAGGACGAATTATTGTTTGTTATCTGAGGGGGGAGGGGTAGGGTCCGCAGGATTCTGGCTGTGTCACGATAAAAAATACCTGATCCCCAGCAAGGCCAGTGGCTATGCACCACGCTAACGCGTTTTAATTGCCAAATTACTTAAGCATATTACCGCTTAGGAATCTGTGCACGTGTTATTAGCAATCAAGCAAGTAACAAGCTTCTAAGAAAATTTCAGTTTCCCTCCCACCCACACCAAAGACAGTTTTGATTGTCTCTTAATCTGATTACTGGATCGTTCGTTTAATGTATTCCGCCGTCAAATATCTTTTATGTAATAGTCTAGTGTGTTATTTACGTTGGATGTATTCATTTAATAAACTGTCTAGTTCCAAAACAAGCCTCTGTCTGTTGTTGTGTTTAGTTTCGCTCAGAAAATACCGAGCACTCACTCGCCAAAATTAGGCCTGTAATGCAAGCTGTATGACCCCATCGTCACACGATCATCACTCTATCACATATTACCCCGGGTTCAAACCATTTACTGTATCCACATCATGCCATCATGGCAGTTACTTGGCAGTCAATTTTCCATGGTCCCCTCAAATTGCCACAGTCTGCTTGCGAAGACTGATCTACTCTCTGTACCCGAAAAGGAAATGTAACAGCGACTCTCAGTGAGAACCTAAACTTAACGCAAACGAACAGTGGCTGAAACGAGTTTTGATTGGTTTAGCCGCCTAATCTGAGTACATCTGGATCCTGATTTCAACACTCACGAAACGCACTCTGATGTGTGTCGATGTGTGAACTTCACCTTGACGCCAGTATCCCGATGTTCTCCCAAAATGGTCTGCTCGGATGTTTTAATGAAGTTAGACTCCTTTAAGAAGTAGTGTCTCAATATACTGAGTTCTTTTGTAAAATAATGTAATTTTAGCTGTGTACAACGCAAGAATTTTATGACTTCATAAAGGACCCAGAGGCAATTTTAAATGTCCGAGGAGCCAGAGAAAAACTACAAAGAACGACAATAATATAATATAATAATAATAATAATAATAATAATCATAATCATAATCATAATCATAATCATAATTATAATTATTATTATTATTATTATTATTATTATTATTATTATTATTATTATAACTTTATTTAAGGAGGGTAACACATAACAGTAATTCAACTGATGAACTAGTGGCCCTTAAGGATTGTCCTAAGGGTCGGCTATTTACACGAGGTCTAACTCAGACAGTAGTTTTACGCAAGCAGTGGGCCTCAGGGATCCTCTATAAGGGGGTTGATTTAATTAAATAAATGTCCGTCCACTGCAAGCTTTCCGCTCTATTGACACTGTTCACAATAATAAATTCAGATAAAAGGTTCTGCTAAATTTAAGATGGCATAGAGCGCGATTTCCTTAACCAACGGCTAAACTTTGTTTAAATAACCGGCCGTAAAAGTTTAGTGAAGTGAAGCAAATTATTCAGTTATGCGAGAGTTGAAAAATATCTCAACGCTTAAGAATTGGCCAAAAAAACACAGTCAGAAACAAAATACTACGTTATCGGGTCGAAAGTTCTATTTCCTCTCTAGGCTTAACAAGGCTCAAGGAAGTTCAAACTTTAGGATACTGAGGACGAGTGCCCAGGTGAGAGTGGACTAGGCATTATGCTGTGATTAAGGCAGTTAATAGTAGATATGTAGTGTAACAGAGTCATTGTATTCCTTACGAAAGCATACATGGACAGGCCAACAAATTTGACCTCGGTTCAAAGAGAGGTTTTCTCAGCTAATTTAGTTACCCTTGCCCGCGAGCTTATGGTACAGCGCTGCGCGCAGAGCACCGCATACGAGCTTCACAAGCCCGCCACGTAAACATAGGACTTTTTGGCAGTCACCCTTTTACCCACCCACCGATTGACTTCAAAATGAGTTTTTTAAGACAATTTTTCCCAACTGTGCGCCTAAGTTATATTGGTCTAATATCAACACAAGTGTTCACATGTTTCACACCTTTATTCAGTGTAAAAGTCTCAATTTATTTGTGGGCGATATAAACTCTTTTCTCACATAAACTGCGGTGTTATACAGGGATTTCTGGTACTGAGAAAAGCCGTAACAACACATGTGAAAAAATATCGTATTCTTTCACGTGTGTTGATATAGCCAATCAGGTGCTGACACGTCACTCGCCTTTGGAGCCACTCGGTCAGGTTGATGAATGAACGGCAAACCCTTCACGATTCTTAATACAAGTTGTTTGTCGGAGCTTCCTCGAATTATGGCGGCTAAAACACTAAAAAGTCCGTATCGCTGACAGACAGTGAGGTTCAAACTTTCCTAGAAGGGGAAGAAAACCAATATACTGAGAGAAAAACCGACAGTTACGTATTCGGTGGCTTTGGTGTTAGCATTTCCCTCGGCTGAGAATGAAAATCGACAACTGCCAAATGTTGCTTAGAATGATTAGGGAAGTTTAAGAGTCTAACGACTGGTTTGGATGCGTCCTTGTCATTCTTTTCTGCGTCACGAAAGAGTTCTCGGAATCGGTCGACTAGTCTTTCTGTTTCGTCAATGTATACCTCTTGGCATTGGCGGAGGTACAGGTGAAATAATCAGTAACATTAATTTGTCGCTTAGGTCTCCACGTTATAATGTGGGCACGTGCGCAAGGTACACTATGAGCATCGCTTTCATAGCGCTTAAGTAGGGTGTTAGTTCACTACAACAGTTTTCTTGAAGACGCACCAAGGCCGTATTAGTTTTATCCACTTAAAGTTCGTTTGTTCCAATTTTTTTCGTAAAGCGAATGCTAACAATATTTTTAGTGGGCAATACAAACTGTTTTATTTGATAAAGGAATCGTTACACTTTGCTCAAACTTTCTTTCAACTAACATAATCAAAGTCACCAATCATGGTTACATTCTTTACTCGCATTAATTTTCCAAGCAGAGCTAAATGGTCAGGACTGGGCTCTTGATACTTCCTCGATCATTATTCGGGATACAGAATTCCACCCGGTTTGAGCGTCACCCAGAGTAAATCCCCTCGGACATTGCCCTACCCATAACTCCACCGTTATCCTGCCCTGTAGGATGTTTTCACAGTATCCTTCAAATGATCGATGATGGAGCAGGTTGGGATTACCAGATGGCCAACTGTTGTAAACAACAGCCTCGATTGTCATTGGCCCACCGCATTCATTGCCATTAAATTTGAAGAACCAGCGACTGCACCTATTGTCGCCAATGACTCGCATGTTTCCCTGGAATGAGACTTTGATGGCGGTATCTGCTTGCAGCTTGTTAAAGAGGCAATCCTATAGAAACAAAAAGCAACAAACAGTGTTAGCTTAAACAAGAATCACTGAGATAGCGAAGTACTTGTTTTTGAGTGCCCCTTTCCAACCTGAACTTTCTCTAAAATATCATGCAAAGAAAGATCTTAATGTGCTCGCCGGCAGAAACTTTAAGAGTAGCATAAAGAATAACTCGCTCTAACCATTTGTAATGGATCGGTTTTATTGTCATTGAGACTTCCTCAACATTGCAGTTACAATTTTACTCTTTCGAATCCTCTTATCAATATCTTTGTCATACCTTGATCTTACCGCTATCTCTGCCATCACTAGACTTCCACACGCACTGTTTCCAGTTACTTTGTGACACTACACTGATCGGACTTTCTCCTTTTTCTCCCTTGTCACCTTTTCTTCCTTGTAATCCTTTGATTCCCTGCTCTCCTGGTTTTCCAATGATCCCGCGCGAACCTCCATCTCCTTTATCTCCTTTGATTCCCGTCATTCCCGGAGCTCCGCTTTTCCCAGGTGATCCTTGCTTGCCTTTATCTCCCTTTTGACCCATCAATCCTTGTACCCCTTTGTCACCAGTCTGTCCCTTTTCTCCATCCCTTCCCTGTTGGCCTTGTAGCCCCGGAACGCCAGGCACTCCCGGCATGCCATTCGACCCAGGAATTCCCGAAAAACCATGGGAAGGGGTTAATTTCTTGGAAGAAGACGAGGAAGAGACGTATTAGATATTGTCTTAATCTAAGCACAAATTACCTCTTTTATATCGTATATCAAAGGTTGATTTGTTTAGCTGTTTAAAGCTTTGCTGATAATTAGGACGTTCGGAAAAAAGCTTATTGTCTAAGTAGATTGTATCTCTGACGTCAGTTGGTCGTATTTTAGCTCTTCTTTTTACCTCAGAGAGGCCCAGATACAAAGAGCTCCAAACAAAAGTGTCGCACAATATTCAAAAGGAGAGACACGCAACGGAATCATTTTACTTCCTGTCTCCGCATGTATTAACGCGTCAACAAGATCAAACATTTTTGTTGTATTTCCCTCGATTTAAACATCCAGATGCTCTTCAACATTGGATAAGTCAGGTATTCCCAAGTACCACATCAAGATAAGGCAAGAATAGTTGCTTCTTGTAGAAAACCTACTTGTTTACTTTGGGCTTCTTCCTCACGGAGGAAAGCTAAATATTTGTTTGGTTTGTTAACTGATGAGATGTCAAGGAAGGCGGTTATTTGCTTTTTATGAAACAACATAAATTCAACAGCATTATCTTCGTCATCTGTCCATGAATTCTACCTTTGTACTGAAAGCTTTAAATCCAATAAAAATCTCCTTTAATACATATCACGAACCATTACAGATGGATGAATTGTAAATTACCAACTCAATTCCCCCCCTCTCTTCAGATTTTCGGATTTCTTATCATTTAATGGGACGCGTTCGAGCTTGGAGAAAAACAGCTAAACGGGGTTTTGAAAAGGAAACCTATCTGTTTTTGTCAGATAATCTCACTGCTTGTAATTCAGTTTGGTAGAAGTCAAGTCCAATAAATAAAGACAAGTTGTTTTTTATGTGTACCTTACAAAGATCCATTTCATTGTTCTCCTTTTGAGGGCTGACAGTCGTTTCCACCGAGTCACCCTTTTTGCAAAGAACCAAGAAAGCGGCGAGATACAAAGTTATCCTCATGCTAAGCTGATGAGCTTTGGTTAGAAATTTCCTCGCAGAACTTACACTCCTTGAGCAAAATACTGTAGGAATACTTGAGGTACATGAAATTCGTCTGACCACGTGAAAATATGCATGTGCATATATTTGTAGGTCAAGTCTTTTAATAGGATTTTTCAGTAACATTTGATCCTCCTGGTCATTGCAGCTTACCAAACATTTAATTACTCGACATCTATCCTGAAATTGTCAGTTCTGCCAATACGTGTCTCCTTTTATTTCGGCCACGATGTCGTTTCGGTGGATTAGACGGTGTGTCATAAGTTTCCCTTGAAGATTTCTCAGATGATATCTTTATTGCCTTTTGACCGTACATTTAGATAGGGTTTACTCTTCATTGTTAGAGAACGGTAGAATGTACTTAACTCAGTTTAATGTCTTTATTTAAAAAAAAAAACAACAGAAAAAAAACACCACAACAGATGTTAGGCATGTGCATTACATAAGTAACAGAAGATCACATCTTGATTTGCTGCAACCGGATTTTGCAGGCAAAGTTCGGGTAGTGTAATCAAGGCAGTTAAAACAGCACGACCAGCACTACCAAGCTGAATCGATGGTGAAGAGAATGTGCGCGGCTAGTCCTGAGACCCCTAGTATATCCCGGGAACTGCGACAAGGGAACTGATACCCTGTCTGTGAAAGATGAACTGGAAGCACAAAGGGCAATTAAAAACCCGTCCTCAAAGATTTTGAACCTAACTCTACTGTTCAAATTTGATATAGTAGCAGTTCAGAATCCCGAACGAGCACCCCTGACTTTCATCTACGCGTTCATCCTCTTAATCTCTTGATTTTGTTCGATCTTGGTCGTTGAGTTCATAACTTATGGTCACTGTAAGCAGTTTTTAAAGACAAGTTTAAACCGTTATGTTAAAAAAGTTTTACCAACACAATCACTTTCAAAACCTTTAGACAAAGACAACTTTCAAAGCGTCCCTAGAGGATCTTGACCTTTGAAAATATGATTGTAGGCCCTGAGAAGTTGGTGATGATCTAATAACTGTTTGATTTCCACAAATGTAATGCCTCTTTGATGCAGGTTGATGTCTTTAGTATATACCCTATTTCGATAGTATAAAGAAGCCACACCTCTTAGAATAAAAATTGAAGAAAACCAAATAAAATCAAATAAGAATAAGCAGTAAAATGTATTGAATCGAGTCTAAGGTCACCTCAAAGTCACCAAGTTTATTGATCAAATTTCTCAATGTCGTTTATTTTAATTCGATTTTTTCCTGTGAGACGGTGAGTGATCATTTTGAGACGTCAGGTGTTCTTTATTTTTGGCCCTTTTTTTCTCTTGCTTAGTTCTTTCGTGACAATCATCGATACACTTGTGAAACTTTTTAAAACAATCCTCTTGGCATTCTATATACGCGATGTCCTTTTCCTGTTTACATCCATTGCCGCAGGGAATCAGCACTTCCCCTTGACATGTCGCCGGACATGGGTCCATACGTGCATTGACAAGAGGTGTAAGTGTGAGACATAACAGTAGAGTCACTTGAAAAGTCATTGCAATGGAAGTTTTCATCTGAAAGAAAAATTTAACACAGACGAATATATAAGAAACATTTCAAAAACAATGCTTTCGACAAATTAAATGATGCAAACTTTCTTTTGAATTACGGATGAAATTCAAGGAAGAAATGATCCTCACAGATGTACTGCAATTTAAGCGACTACAGAAAAAAAGCCTGAAAAACGAGACGAGATTTGAACCCGTGAAAGAGCCGACAAAAATAAGCCTAGCCTCCAACAAGTGGCTTAGTACAACCAGTATCAGAGAGGTAGAGGTTCCGATCCCATCGAACTTCCTTATAATTTTTTCAAGCTTATTTTCTTAAATTGCAGCTCTCCTACGAGAACTATTTCTTCACTTGAGAATGCTGTTGGTTAAAGAATAACAGAGATGGAGTAATCCAGTACTATATTCTGAGTAATTGGTGGGATTTCCCAGAGGGGAAGTCCCTAATTAGCGCCTTTCTGACATTTAGAAATTACAAAGTAACGATAGAAATTGTTACAGTAGACGTGAATTTTCTTGACTAAGCCCAACCTTTACCCTAAGCAACTTGATGACTTATCTAAGCGCCATTGCTGTAAAGCCTCAAAGAAGGTGAGAGGAGTGAAGCTGCTCAGATCATTAACTCACTCTCGACAAACAGCTCAGTACGGTTGTGGCTTTAACTTTTTAGGAAACAGAATTTTCATCAACTTATACAAACGCTGTATTGTCCCTCTTGGATCGCTTAACTTCATTTTGATCTGACATGGCCTTACTCGGATTAGAAATAAAATTTAACTCCAATGAACGTCACCAAGACTTTGCATGTACAATTGACAATGCATGTCATTATAAATGCGAATTTTTTTTAATGTAAACGAAGGTGTATTAATGCTGTATGATGCTCTGAACCGTAATCTCCTGCAGGTGAATACAAATCTCCTCATAATCGCTTTCCTTCATACTTCAGCATCAATTACCAACATATCTTTCCATCTTAAGGCTATCCACAGAGTAAATTCTCTGAGAACTTTAACATCACCCACAGTTTCTAAGGGCCTGTTTACATGGAGATGGGGGGGACCCCAGGTAGGTGAGATAACCCGCCTAGGTGAGGTAACCCGCCTGTCCATATAAATTCTTATTTTATCTGATCACGTTTACGTGATAGGTGGGGTGACCCGCCTAGGGGCATTGTCCGGTCTGCCAGGTAGGGTAACCCTGTCAGCCGGGGTGATAATTTGCCATGTAAACGTCTCAAGGTGGGGTAACTCGCCTAGCCGGGGTCGCTTTCATGGCAAAAAGCTCAAAAGCGAACACGTATGTTTTTAAACTTTGTACATTTCCTAGCTATCTCATAGCAGAAATCAACCTTGTTTACCGACATTTTAGAAGCTCACGCACAGTGAAGAAAGATTAAAATCAAGTCAAGACCAAATCCTTATGTCACTCCTAAAATCCGACAGTTAATGAAAACTCGTGATACGTGGCACAAAAGAGCCATTAAAACTAATGACCGCCTGTGTTGGAATGCATACAAATTTTTCAGACAAGAAGTTAAAAGTGAACGTCGACTTGCTGAAAAAGCGCATGTTCAATCTCAAATTATTGATGGCAAAGGGAATACTAATGGATTTGGAAAATCATCAATCGTTGTCTAAACTAAGATCTCACCAAAAATCTGTTGCAATCCGATCAGTCTGGCTAATAAATTTAATGAATATTTTACGAACGTAGGAAGCCTAACGACGCAGAAAGCCCTCGATCTTGCTGTGGAATATGATTTTCACTCTGCCGCAACAACACTACCAGCAACACGGAAACATGATGACTGCCCTGATGATTTTCAGTTTCATGATGTCACAGAGCAGGATGTTGGAAAGGTTTTCAAGGGCTTATCTTTGAATAAAGTACCCGGCCATGATAAAATCACTACTAGTGTCCTTAAGGACAGTTTGCCGACCATACTATCAGTTATTGTATGCAATATGAATAATTCATTTAGTACCTCTATATTTCCGAAAACATGGAAAATGGCCGAGGTTGTTCCTTTGTTAAAGTCAGGTTGTTTTGAAGATCCATGTAACAACCGGCCTATCTCATTATTGCCCATACTATCAGGTGTCTGAGAAGCTAGCCCGTCGTTAGTTCGTGGACTATATAACCACCAATAAGAAGTTGTCTGAGCACCAGAGCGGTAATCTTAAACTTAATTCTACAAAAACTGCTCTCCTACATGTAACGGATGATTTTCTTATGTCCATCGATAAGAGCAAAGTCTCTTCTCTTGTACTCTTGAATATGTCTAAGGCATTTAACAGTATCCCACACGATATTTTGCTTCAGAAACTACAACAAATAGGTATTACTTAATCTAGCCTGGGGTGGTTTCACAGTCACTTGTCTGGTTGTAGCCAAAGAGTACGAATTATGGACGCTGTTTCAGCCTCTCTCCCTCTAAAACATGGAGTTCCACAAGGTTCTATATTGGGACCTGTGCTATTTACCGTATACATAAATGATTTCCTCGCTGTTTCCGCCCATTGTAAGTCTGCAAGTTACGTTGAGGACAGTAGACTATACCTTTCTTTTCGCTCAGTAGACAGAAGCTGTGCATTCCGCCGTTTGAATGAAGACCTAAGAGAAATCTGTAGACGGTGCTGCCAAAATTCTCTACTAATTAATCCGGAGAAAACCAGAGTCTTGCTTGTGGGAGTGCCGCAGTTACTGCGTAAATTGCTTCCAGTGTCACTCTCCCTTTTAGGAAAGGAAATAACACCAGTTCCCGTGGCGAAGGACCTTAGTGCCTTCATCGATCAGTCCTTAACTTACAACGATCATGTTGCAAAAACTACCTCTAATCGTCTATTTAAATTAATACAGATTAGCAGGATGAAACACCTTCTGGACAGAAAGTCTCTGATATTGTTGATGAACGCTTTCGGTTTTAGTAAACTGTTCTATTGCTCAACTGTATGGGCTAACACTTCTCAAGACAATGTAAAGAAACTCCAATTAGAACAGAATTTTGTTGCGCGTATCGTGTTAGGTCTTAGGAAATATGACCACATCTCAAAAGTCATAAGATCCCTTAACTGGCTTACTGTTAAGGATAGACTCCTTCTTAGCGATGCTCTAATTTTATTTAAATGTCCTAATGATTTAGTACCAAAATATCTGACCAGTATATTTGTACCTCTTTCTCATATTCACACTAGGACTACGCGATCATACAATCTTTTACACATCCCTCGTTGTCGTCTGTCATATGGACAACGTTCATTCACGTATCGTGGATGCAAACTTTGGAACTGTATTTCTAATGATTTGAAAGCTGCGGACAGTGTAAATAGCTTCAGGCGTCGTTTAGCGCAGAAGCTATTAAGCGGTGAACATTTGTGTTGAATGATATTCTTAGGTCTTTTGTAATTGATTCTAGTCATAAAATGTATCACTTACCTGTTATTCCTTCTCCTTTTTAACTTATATGTATTTTAAAAACTGTAGTTAGACATTGTAACCGAAAATAAACGTTAATATGTATGTATGTATGTGTGTATGTATGTATGTAATCACTAGAAACCGCAACGGACACATTCCGGAATATTCAGTGTTTTAAATCGACCATATTTTAAACTGTTCCTTATAACATATTAGGTCAACGGTTCCTCGCGTAACTTCACACCGCCTAACACAACGCGTAATGCTTTCATGAACAAATACATACTTGTCCGAGTACGCACGTGTCCCTAAATGCAAGCGCAACAACAGCCTCAAAAAACCTCACCTCAGCACCCCGGGGTTGTAAGATTGTATGTAAATGCGTTTTATTTTTCGACAACGGCTAGGCGGGTTACTTCACCTACCTGGGGTCCCCACCTCCTTGTTAACAGGCCCTAAATTGGAATCTAAATATTTTTTATATGCTGTGAACACACATAAAAGTAAAAAATCAGGGATTAGATTTTAAACTTACTCTCTTTAAGGTAAAGGAATTTTTTTCTACCCCAAAAGTCGTCCTCCTTTGAACTTCAGTTCAGAAACATGAATTGAATTTTAAATTGTGATATCTCAACCGATGTGACTTTGTGAAATCTTTTAACCTGCTAGTTACCGACGGGAGAGCAACCCAGCTCTTATTTAAGGCCTACAAAAACAGCAGGTACACAAGACAGCGCATAATACTGTTTCTCACCACCACTACCTCTCTGTAAGCGAGGGATTTTACGACGTTCCTTACAACGACAATTTAAGCCAAAATTCGAAGCCAATCGATTTGGTTTTTGAAACAGCAATGTCAATGCGTGACGACCTCTAATCTGTGTGTGGGACAGAAAAAAAGGTGACCTCGTGCGTAAACGGCCGCTTTAAATCGGAAGACAAAGAGGCTCGGTCAAACATGAGACACTAAGATGACGTTCTCATGGTACCACTAATTTGATAGTGCAAACGGACTTTCCATGCACTAATTTGAACCCAATTTAGGAAATTTTTAGAACTTGTTCGGATACAAAGCATTCCAATTGTTTCATAATCCTGAACCTCCGACCAACCATCACCCATAATACCTTTCAGTATTGCTGTGAGCGCCGTCACGCTTTTGTATGAAAATTTCTCTTGAGACATCTGGGTGTATTTACATGGATCGCGTTAACAACATTTTTAGACGGCTTTCATATAAAAGTTAATTGATCTGTTTTGCGATCGTCTTGAAACTATTTTTTTACAATAGCAAACGAAACCAAAACTATTCTTTTGACTAAATCGGACTCGATATTGAGAAAAGATGGGAGTGAACATTTCACAGTTTTGTTGGGGCGAATAAAAGGGAAGTTTTGCACACTCAAGGTTCCTGTAAGGTGGTATATTTCCTCCATCTCTGATCAAGATCACAGGTGTCTATTGGTGAAAACAGAGACCGCTAGCATCCTATGGTAGAATATTCCAACTTTGCATTGCATGCTCACCTAGGCGTTCTTTTTAGAGAGCATAAATTAGCAAGACCACCCCCCAAATGGAATTTTTGTCCGTCGCCGACGTTAGTTTGTGTAAGAATCCAAGATGACACAGCATTTTAAGCATTTGAAACTAGATTTTATTGATATAATATCAAGACCTCGTGAATATTTTTTGTCAGCTCACGCTCAGCGACCTCCAACAATAGATTCAATTCAGATTTTGCAGTATCGTCTTCCGTGTTTAATGTTTTCCTTAATAGCCCATATCCATACTCATATATTCCTCCTCTTCCTCTTCCTCTTCCTCTTCCTCATTGTCTCCTCCAGGCCGATCCATGTCTCCTCTCTTGCATCTATTAATACATCTCCTCCACCTGTGGCCACGGACGTTAAGGCAACCATCGAGGCATTCTTCGTTGTCAGATGATTGGCATCGCTGTCGACACCATTCCTGACACCGCCACATACAAGCATCTTGGTCCTGATGGACTTGTGAATCAAGCATGTTTTCCGGAGGTGGCATTTTGTCAGCATATGCATGTTCTGATCGAGCAGTCAATCGATGACTCCTTAGGCCCATCTTCTTCTTCTTCTTCTCCTTGGGCTTCTCGGCTTGTGGATCAAATAGGTTGTCCAAAAGGGCCTCCTTTTCTGGTTTTTCTGCTTCTGCTTGGGAGGCCAATCTCTTAGTGTTCAAAGCTTTACCTGGCTCAGGATTTTCCGCTTGTGGATCAAACAAAGGAGTTCTTTTGTCGGGTTTTTTTTGTTCTGCTTGAGGGAGGAATCGCTTACTCAAAAGCGCATTGTCTCTTCTAGGTTCAAACAAACCGACTGAGACCACAGAATGGATATAGGACTGTGAAGCAATGAAAAGGAAAACGGCTGCAAAACGAATAACCCTCATCTACAAAAACAAAAGAAAACATTACACTTGCACGGACTGTTATGGGATTATGGGGATAAATGACATGTTTCATGGAAAAGTTGCCGCTAAACGGTGAACAAAACTGTCACAAAAGGTTCGCAGGAGGACGAACTTGTAAAACAAAGAAAGTAATTTCTACACGATGAAAATGGTTGCTGTCAAACAAAAAGGAGATGAAATGTTTGTTTAATAGATTCGTGACTGAATATCTAGATGTTTCTTTTTCTGACACAAGATCTCTTTCCTGCAGCGTTCTGCAGGAAGAAGATCTGATCTGTTCCTGCGAGTTTACCTAAATTACCAAAGTTATCGTATTGCGATACCGTTAAAAATACCAGGCAATATGGGCAATTTAAGCGACTGCAGAAAAAAAGCCTGAAAAGCGGGACGAGATTCGAACCCGTGGAAGAACCGGCAAAAATAAGCCTAACTTCCAACAAGTGGCTTAGTACAACCGGCATAACCGCACACATTAATGAAGCTTAAAATTGATTTGATGCGGAGGCGAATTCGTAATTCGTATCGTGATGGTGAGGAAAGATTTTGAGGAGTGTATCCTATTACAACAAAAAGAAAAACGTAAATCAGCGGTAATCGGATTTACACCTTCGAGGAATCCAAAAATGTTTCAGGACTTCTCAGTCCACGAATGGTTAGTTCGAAAACCACGTTGGACGATCAAAAAGGACAATAGCCAAGCCACTTTTCACGAAAAAAAGATACTTCTCAGAAATCACGTGAAATCCCCCATTGCACCCTCAGAAGCATTGCTATAAGTAACTCAGTATTATTAGATTCCGGTCGAGTCGTTGGTAAAAAAGTATAAGAAAAAAAAATAGAGAAAAGACAGAATTAAATAAGCAACACAAACTTTGAGGCTTTCACGAAAACGAAGATGATCGAGCTCTAAATACCTTTTTTTTAAAGAATTTCATACCTCCAGTTATTCACTCTGCACTGAATTGAGGTTTTCTCTATGTTGTGGTCCTCCTTCCCTGACTTTCTCCTGATACAATCTGACAAGGTTTAATTTCTAGCGCTCAGCTTGGCTTCTTTATACTGTTCTAAAGACAGCGCAATTTGTCTTAAAAAATAATGTTTATTTACCTTCCACGTAATTGTATGAATATGGTCAACTGAGACTAAAAGAAGTCTTTTAAAGAAAACTTCTTTAGATTTTTTTTCATCAAAATTAGATAAAATGCTTGACTGAAATCGTCCTATGACTCAAAAGTACTAGTGTCAAATTTCCGGGTCGATTCTTCAGCTCTTTTTTCACGGGCACAATAGGGAACAGTTTCTCATCAGATGAAAAGGAAAACGATTAATTATCAGGATAATTTAGAAGACATCTTTTGTCCAGTTGTCTATCGCATCGGCAAATATTTATTGTGTGAAAAGTCCGAACATATACGCTTTCATGGTTACGAAGGTTCTCTAACACGGTTTCATTGACTAATTTCAGTGTAATTTTCTTACACTGAAATTCACTAAAATAGATCCATATACCGCCTAACTTCGTTGCAAAGAATTTATTTTGTATATTTTTTTGTACATTCTGGTAGATTTCATCCAAGAACTATCTTATCAAGGAAAGTTTTTTATATCCTTTTGAAAGTATACGAGTGATTCTTCATACTCAGTAATAGATTGTCGACTAATTTCCTAGTTACGAGCACATTTGACATGTGTTTGATTTGAGATTCATTTCTGTCTATTGATCTCTTATAGGAAGTTGTTGTCTATCATCAGAATTTTGCATGGGTGAAATTTACACAGTTCTACTAAAACTGAATTGTTACATTCACCAACATGATGTTTTTATCTCTAGCTGTACAGATACAAAGCGAGGCTCTTGAAAGACTTTTCTTTCACAGGGCTCTCAATTATACGATCAGAACAAAGGCGTAGTCAAGGACAGGATAAAACAAAACTTAATTGAGGTTTTTCGGTTATTTCCTCTTTTGTTACCAAACGAAGGACAACACTGTGAAGCTCTATTTTGGCAAGAGAAAATCTTTCTTTAGGAAATTAAAGTTCTATCTTTTACTTTACAAACAAAAGAAACTGACAAAAACATAGAATATCTTAAGAAGTGCACTTGTGCGCGCACCAAGTAATCAGGCTGCGTTCAATGTGCGTTGGAAAGGAAGGAAATAATTAAGACGCATTATTGTATCATATAATCATAACCAATTTCCTCAAATGTCATTGGTACATTAGTTTCTTTATTTTTCACTAATTATTCTTAGAATTGTAATCGGACAGTGTAATCGGACAGGTGAAGCAGCCAATCATACTTAGTCCTTTCGGTCAAATCCACCAATCACAGAATTGTTCACAATATCCATAGCAACAATCATTTATCCAAAGTGGAATTTCCAAAGTTGAGGAATTTTTTTACTTAGACGTTGTCTTCACTGCACATGTTTGTCCTAATGTATTTGTTGTTTTCGGAAATTGTAACAGTTATAGTTAATTGGTAACAGGACTTAATGTCGTCCAATTCTGTCTGTAATCATACTCGTGATTGACAAATTGGACTCCCGCTTCGCAGTCGTCCAGCCACTCTGGAACGAAGTAAAGTTTATTGATCGTGACCCTCATTACTACACGCGCAGGGTCAAAGAAGACTTCACCCTAACAACATCAACAGGGATAGTGGAATAGAAATTCCAGAAGCGTGGATGCCCACGATCAAAAAACACAACAACAGGAGAGCCGTGTGACAGCGGACCGCCGAGGAAGCAAATCGCTGAGTGAACAGCAAGGATCGAAATGCACCAATCGGAGCTGTTGAATGACAACTAATCACAACAGAGCATCATGAATATGCTTTATATAATCACGCATGACCAGTCGACCTCATCGCCTGAAGAAGACTAGCAGTATGCAGTCGAAACGTCGCGATCTACATCACACGTGACTACATCGTGAGACAAACGAAAAACTTAGCTTTTATCGTCCGATTTTGTTAATCACTCGTATGATTACAGACCGAATTGGACTGTACTCGGTCCTGTTGCCATTACATTAATTACTACAAAACAGGCAACGTTAAACTTTTCTTTCACACCAATTTTAAATGTGAGGGGATTTCAGCATCACAGTTGTCCAATGTAACAGCTTCTTCATTCATACAGCCTGTGACTGGATTTTCTCGTACTCTCTAAGATTCTTCTCCCTTTAAGAGTAATGAATACAAAACTACCTTGGTGAACATGGGAATTTACGTTTTGAATCGGACTGGACGTTCATTAAAACCACATCATGAGGCTCACCTAGGAGGTGGGTGCCTATTTGGGGAAGGGTGCTTCTTAAAGCATGGGCGCTTATTGGAGGAAATACCGTATCTCCTTTGCTTCAACATTTCCTGAGGGTGGGGGTACACTGTTTGGGAATGACGGGCAAAGAATGGGAAGGATAGTGGAGTAATCCGCGCAAAAATAATTAAAATAGAAATAAACTGCTCCTCGAAATGCAATAAAACGAGGTTCTGTTCGTCGATTAAATTGAAAAGTAGACTTTGACATAAACACTCAGACGTGTTCTACCAAACGTTTTCTAGTAATAAAGATTTTGAAATTTTTTGGAAGTTAATTTTAGCTCACATGACAGGTAATCGAGAACAGAACTACGAAAACATTTCCTGCCCGCCTTTGCATCTGGGAAATGCCTTAAAAGAGTAGATCAAAAGCATTTTCCTGAAAACAATTTTGGTTACGGGCAAAAGATCACCCTATGTCCCCTCCCATTCAAAATGAAACGGTACATCCTAAACAAAGGGCTTGGTTTGACATGGGAGAGCCTGACTGATATTACCATATTTTTACAGCTACTGAGGTCACCATCGATTGATTGACTGAATTCATAAATTAGAATTAAATACTGAATTTTGTTATGATTGAAGGGAAAACAATGTTTGGCGTAGCTGCTGTTGGAGCGTCCGTAATAGTGGGTTATGGCCTTTACAAGTATGTACAAGGCAGACAGAGTGCTCGAAAAGTAAAAGAGGCACTCGATCAGATGGTAAGGCGCGTAATTTTTATGATTCACGTTTACCTTGAATGGTTATCTCCTAATGCGTTGCTCGAAAGCGGTAAACAAACGTGTTTTGGTCCCATTTCTTCTTAGCTAGCTTTGCTTTGTGCTAACCACATTGAAAGTTATCGTTCATAATTTTTCTCCAAGACTACCTCTACTTTTTGTAACTCCCTAATTTTTGATAAGAACGGAAATAGGCTTTTAATGTATCAATTCTGTTCCTTTAAAAATGTATTAGTTAGTTTCGGTTTAATTGATAAATTTATTCTTATGGCTTTTTATCTCTTACATCAATCAAGTTTTTGCTGGTTGTCATCCCCAAAATTTGTTCGGAACGGCTATACATATACGCTTCACTAAACTGATTTAAGTTGTGTTAGAACTTGCGTATTTTTCATTATTATCCTATATCTGTTGGTAAGACTCAACATCAAAGTGCTTTTTAATACATTCCAAACAGGTCAATGTAAATTACACAGAATCCAAATGATCAACTAAAGATCAGACTTTGATCAGCTCAGGGCTCTGGCGATTGAACTCCAGAGTTAATGGGTTTATTTACCTATAAGTTTTATAGGTAATTTTTATATTAATTCTGTCTTATAGCTCTGCCAAGGGATTTCCTTTTGGATTTTTCCTCAACAAAATCTTAGCTCTTGTCCACGCTCTTCTACACTAGAAATTAAAGCCAAGGTTAACTTTTGATCTTAGATTAAAGTTGACCCCCTTTCAAACAACCTAGCCCTGGGTATCACAATGCTGTGTTTAATTTTTACAATGTATTTTTAAGTGACCTAACATGCTACAGGTAAAGCTGAGGAATACATAAGCAATAACATTCATCTGGTGCAAACATATGCATAGATATTTGTCTGTGGATATTATTTGTTCGAAAAGGGGAACAGTTTTCCAAGGGTGAGGCTCAAGGAAAAGTGTGACCTTCGAGGAATGCAAAATGTCCAAGGATAAATATGGGAGGCTAATTTCCTCCCATATGGAGGCAGTTGTGGTTATCATCCTTCAAATAATTTTGCTAAAATGTTTACAAATGTCGTACTGCTTACTGCATTTGCTTTTCGCTTTTCAGTGTTCTCTGGTGGGACTTTACAAACAAAGAAACATGTTTCTTTTTTCTGTAACAACCCCAAAATGGCCTCTTATCTTGAATATGATTTTAAAGGAAGACTTATTGTAGTGGACATAAGGTTTTGGAAATTGGGGAACATCACTTTGGCTGTATATGCACTTATTCCCTAGTTTCTGCTGGGACATATTCAGTTGCATAATGCTTTAGACCAATTGCGTGATAGGAAAAATATTTGATGGATTATAATGGTTGTTTACTTCATAGAATCAATATAAATGGTGCAGTTTTGTCTGTGAATGCTATCACATTAAAATTGTAAAAAATGTTTTGCTGAGAATTTCAAGGTAGTTGGCACCCTATCCTTGGTAAAAAGGCACTGAAATAAGAGAGACTCTGTTGTTTGGTACATGAGAAATGGAGTAATGTGGTGATGAAATGTTACTATAGGAGACATTCAATTAAAGACCAAACCACCATAATTGTAAAATATCCATTGACAAGCTTTGTAAGTTAATGGAGGCCAAATGAACTCGCTGTTATAAAGATAACTGAGATGGGTAACATGACTTCTAGCCTTGTCCTGACACAGTGGACTATATGTTATCCCATTCAATTTTTTCCTTGATTCAGGGGTACATTTTTTTTTTCAGATAAAAAGCATTGACAAGCCAAATGTTTATATCAGGAATTATGTTGGTGTGAGAGAAAAACTCAAGAAACTCTACGAGGGAGGTCCTGAAAAGCTGCAGGTTTGTGATGAATCAAGAATGATCTTATGATTTGAATTACCAAACAATCTGAAGGGTTTTGATAGTCTATATTTCAACTTTTGAAATATAATTTGATAATTTACTCCTGACATTTTACAGATAATATCAGACTTTGATAAGACTCTCACAAAATTTGTCATCAATGGGGAAAAAGGCTGCACAGTGTATGGTAAGTCTTGTTATTTTAAAATTTTAGACTGTTATTTGTTATTTCAATTTTTTTAAATTATACAATAGCTCATTTGTAGAAATACTGTGTTGATACTATATTATAACTGAATCAGTACTTTTTAATAAATAGTTTGTTGGTCCCTTTTTTGTTGGGAATTGAATTAAGAATACCTGGTTAGCAAAGTTGATGTGGTTTTACAGCTGGCTTGTTCCTTTTAACCATTTACACCTAAACATCAATATGCATATTCTCTATATATGTATTGTCCTCTATACATTTCCTAAGGTGCTGATAAGGAAAATTTGGTGAATAATCAAGAACGTTTTAAATTTACAATCATTACCTTTATTTTTGTGACCTAAATGTGTGATTCCGGGGTGATGTCATAAGAGAAAATTACTGTATATACTAGCCACTCTTAGGGGCCAAAGGGTAACAATGTAAAAATGTGTTATGATGTAAAAATGTGCCTACTTTGATATAGTCACACACAGATTTATCTTTAATCTTAGGTGTGATTGAGAGCTCTAAGCAGTTCCCAGAATCATACAGAGAAAAGGTGACCTGTTTTTATGTTCATAATTGATAAGTTTATTCCCTTTGGTCCTCTCCTTAACAACATTTTTTGCATGTTTCATTTATTTAATGGAATACAATCACAAAATGGGTCTAAACTTTAGTTGAGACATGATAAATGATCAAACATATTTATTGAAAATATTCCTATCATGGCTATGTAAAGCAGTCACTTGTGGAGCATCTTTTTAATCACTGCATTTCAAGAAGCTGGTTCTAAATTACCTTTTTTATCTCTTCTATTTCAGGCCAAACAACTTAAAGAAAAGTACATGCCAATTGAATTCTCACCGTATGTACTTATTATTTTTAATAAACAATTTCTGTTTTTATGTACTAAAGACAACAGAGAAATGATATAAATACAGATATTTATTTCCTATCTAACTCCAATTTATCTTGACATTTTAGGGACCTTTCATCAGACGAAAAAGAACCCCACATGATAGAATGGTATGATGTGTGTGTTGGAATTGAACAGCATTGTATAGACATATATATAATTGATATGTTTCCGTAATGATGGTGATGCAAACCAATGTCAATTTATGTAAGCTGGAGATCAAAACTTTGGGCAAAATAATATATACTATTAACAATTTTATGTGGCTAACATTCAATGTTTGTGACTCCTGGTTTAGTAACAAGTAATTCAATGACTGTCATTATTAACATTTAGGGCTATTATCATAAATATTTTAGTTTAACATATTATGATAAATATCTGATTTAAACAAACCATATTTCTCGGAATTTGCATCCATACTCTCACAAGCCCCTTCCCCTGAATAAGCACTCACCCCCTAGATTATAAACATTATACAGTACCCTTCTTGATACAGTAAGTGTGATAGGTTAAATATTTAAAGAATCAAGAGATTATTAAAAGTTTGTGGTTCTAGCACAAACACTCAGGTGGACCAAGTCACATGGGTTACTCACTGAGCTTGGTTTGAAGGAGAATGACATCAGTCAAATGGTAGAAGAAGCACCAATTGCGCTGAGGTTTGCATTTAGTTTCTTAAATCTTTTATCTTGCAGGTGGACAAAAGGAAATGAACTCATTATTGAGCTGAATATCAAGCAAAACCAAATACCTGATATAGTAAAAGATGCACACATTGCTTTAAGGTACCACAACATGCAATGCACAATACAGTTTGTGCAAGTATTGTGGAATGACTTTTGCATTTCCACGGAAATGAAAATTTAGAAAAGTTGTTTTGAGGTCATTAGTGTTTAAAATCCAAGTTGCATAGTCAGCTCTGAATGGGTGCATTCCCAAGAAGTAAGTGAAATTTAGGAAGAAAGTTTAAATCTCACTTTAATTTATAAATCATTTGCCGTACTAATTTAGTGATGTTCAGTCTGAATAAGCAACTACAAATAAGTAATACCAAATCTAATGTTATATTGGTAAACAAGGCCCTGGTGAACATGTCAACATCACTGTCATTTTTTATGTAAAATATTAAAAATATTGCTTATTCCAAAGCTCTAGCTGTAAAGTATGCTTGATTTGCACCATGCACTTAGATGAAAAGATCACAACTGACTTATCTCATTGTATGTGCTTCACTTGGAATACTGTCTACCTGTATTATATTAATTTAAAAAGTGACATGCACCCTAAAATAACTGGATTACATTCTGTGTATTTGGATATTTCTACTCAATTTAGAGATGGTGTGGAGTGGTTCTTTGTCAAACTTCATGAGAAGAAAGTTCCTGTCCTTATTATATCTGGTGGTCTTGGAGGTATTTGTAGATTATACCCGTACACCCACATAAGCTGTTTTTATTATGCTTTCCTTTGAAAATTTTGGTAACTGTTCACTAGCAATTATCATGCAAGGAAGGAGATATTTTTGGAATTGATGTTCCAGGGTTTTCATAGCTAAGTTGTTAGAACTATAGACTCTGAGTCAACATTATATCATTGGTATTACATGGAGAACAATTTGCATCTTTAAAAATAGATTGACCTTTATTGAATTCAGTCCTTTTCTGTGAAACATACAACAGCTCATATAACATGTGCTTCTCCATCTTCTAGTTTGTATCCACTTTTCTTTTCAGATCTAATCAAAGAGGTCATTGATCAACAAAGTACTCTGTATGACAATGTTACCATCATTGCCAACTTCTTTAAATATGAACAGGTTAGGAAAAACTATTGAGTGGTTGAAAGGCTTTAAAGAGTATGAAGAGATAATGGGGGGGTCCAGTGATCAAATGTCATATGATGATTGTACTCCTTTTCTTTCTGCCCTATCCCTGTCACACCATTTTTTTGTTTAATTTTTGCACTAGGGAGTGATGGTAGGTTTTAAGGAGGAACTTCTCTTCAGTAACAACAAGAAAGAGAGAACTAAAGACCTGCCATACTTTGACAAAATTAAGGTAAAATATATTCAAATAAAATATGTAACATTCCCTACCTACTGTAAGCCATAGGAATGAAAAATAAATAATACTCTATCTCAGTGTCACTGAAAGCCTACAAGTCAAGTGCGCAGTAAATAAAATAATGGCATTTTATTTCCACTTACATACATTATGATGCCTGCAAACCTTCGACAGAGATACCAACCCAGATAAATAAAAGATTTTAAGATATTTTACTGTATATTTTTTTGTAAATCCCATCCCTTCTTCATTTGGTGTAGGACAGCTTTTTCCTCGTTTTACCCCTCAAACTAAAATTTGTTCTATTATGGACTGAGTGATAATAATTACATATTAATTATTTTGAGGTTAAAAAATGTTACTGTTGCATACCGGCCATTTTAAAGGAAAACCTAAACAATTTCAGAGGAGGCAGAAATGTTTTTCCTCTTGGAGAGGCCAAGAAGTTCATCCTGTTTCTGGGAGACTCCTGGATAATCTTCTGTTGTTGGCTTCTTTGCTACTTAATTTATTGTTTAAACTTTTTAAAAATATTACTGGTAACTTTGAAATGAACATGTGAGCTGCATGAGAGTTACTGTAATAAACATCTGGTTCACTGAATTTTATCAGAGTGACTGAGACATTACATTAATTAGCTTAAAAGTGTTTCAATTAGGTGCCCCCATGGAAAACCTGAAATTTTTTTTAAATGGTTTCATAGGAACGTACAAATGTCATTGTGATGGGAGACCTGCCAGATGATGCTCACGTTTCAGACAGTCCTAAATACACTGAGGTTACCCTAACAGTGGGTTTCCTGAATGAGAAGGTGTGTTGTGGGTATGAGAAGGACTGGGGTGTCTGGGGTGTTCATTTAAATGTTGGAGAAAGGTTAAAGAAATTTAGAGTGTGTACTTTAGAACTGTCAGTATTTTAGAACTGTATTTAAGAGAATCTCAATGGTAGATTAAGTGCTCTGATTTAAGTGATTCTTATTACTGAATCTTTTCAAAGGATGGATTTCTTTCATTTTCTCTAAATTTCCCAATACAATTCAGGTCATTAGAAAAGACAGACTTATAAGCTTAATGGTGTAATTTTGATGTACTGTAACAACTAACTCTCCTGTCTAATTTGCAAGGAAATGTATAACAGTCTGTCAGAATTACTAATTGGATCTAGGGAGTTAGTGTTAAATAGCCAGTTTTTTTAAAGTTTTTATTCATCAATTAATCTTTCTCTTAAATGTTAATTCCAAGGTTGATGAACATCTGAGTAACTACATGGATGCCTTTGACATTGTGGTTGTCGATGATCACAGTATTGAACTTGTGGATCTTCTTCTAATGCCAATCTTGAGGGCCTAGATGTCATGGAGAAATTGTTACTCTGAAGAGATTTCCATTAAGTTAACGGAAGATAGATTTGCACCTAGAAGGAGTGTGAACACAGGGGTTTGGGGTAGTTTAATGAATGAAAGAATTAGTATGGAATGCAAGGTTTGGTTTTAAGTTAGATATTAGATTACAGTTGTATTTAAGTTTTACTGTTTAGTACTAAGGGTGTCATTGAAGTCAACTAAACATTTGTGCAAGAGGCATTCAGTGGTTCTTTACAATAAGAGCTTGTAAGGAAGGGGCTGTTTATGATAGAACTTTGATAAGAACTTTGCTCTTACATAGAAAAAAAGCAGCCAAGGAGAAGCCAAAGAAGGTTGTGTTTGGTTAATTTTGGAAGTTAGCAAAGTAAGATAAGATGCTGTCAATAGTACTGTTTGTGGTTAATAGACTGGGCCAGGTTTTTCAAAGCTGGGTTGGTATACCCCAGGTTAAGTGCAAAATTTGATTTCAGATCTCAAAGCTTCAATAGAAAATTTAAAAGAAAAAAGAATGTGATTATTGAATGCTCTACAGAGAATAGAGAAAATTATCCCAAAAAGGCTTTTGAACAAAGGAATTAAAGAAACCCACATAAAAATTTAACCCTGGGTTAGCATTAACCAGCCTTTGAACGAATGGGCCCAGCACAATAGGGGTATTGGTATTAAAAAAGGCAAATTTGAAGGGGGTGGGTCTGAGGTCTGATATGATGCAAGGAGAGAGTTAAAATGTATCATTGTAAAATGATGTTTACAAGAATCAATTTCACTATTTCACCTTGCTCTAATTTACTTTGTAATTCTGGTAAAGTTTAAGATCTGAATTAGTTTGCCAGCCATTGGGGGATTTTTCAATTCATTTGTAAAATTGGTAGCTAAGTAGTAAACACTTCATTGTCAGTGGGTACTTTTAAAGCACTTAGGGTGACCTTAATGCTGAGCTACAAGTATTCCCAGATATGGTGTAAGAATATAAGAGTAAAGGAATATTGAATGAAACACATAATCTGTGGAAAGGTACAATGTACAAGACATTGCTTTATAAATGTAACTTACACACCTCACAAAGTGTCTCTGATATTAGAACTCAGACAAAATCTCAATCTACGAATCAAAGCTTGTGTTTATTGCTCTGTTCCTTTGACGAAAACTTGTGAACATTAGTCCTCAGCATAATTTGGTCCTCCTGAAAAGCAAAACATTGCCCTCTTACCCAGCAAAGCATGCACAACCCACATAATGAAGCTCCATCAAACTTTTTTTGCCACATGGTACATGTACATACATGTACTTAAAATGGAGCTTACAATGAAAACAACAGGAATTTTGTGTTGTTAGTTAGAAGTTATTCCTGTTACTATGCCAGCATTTTAACATTCCATAATTTAATAAACTTGGCAGGACTCAAACATTTCTGCCATTTTCTTTTCACTTCTGGTCACCAATGTTGCAGTCTGTGTCAGATTCCATTTATTTTCCAACAGAAGGAACAAATGTTTACACCAATTTTCTTGGCAGGTAATTCCTACACCTCCTCTCAGGAGAATGCCAGTGGTAATAATTTAAGCCACAGCATAAAATATGGCTTGCTCTCCAATTAATTTTCTGGCCAAATTTTAATCCTCTGTTGTCCTTGATTTACATCAAGTTCCACTCTTTCAAGTAACCATCTGAAAATCAAGAAGAATTCTATTCACTTAAGCTGTGGATATATTGTGTAAGTTGAGCTTTAGTTAATGATCAAGATTAGTTTCAACAAAGAACCTTTGGTCAAAGGCATGCAAATAAAAGACGTTTGGAAAGAGCCACTCACTGATTGTCTTCTGTTCTAGTAGCAAAGGAGTAAAGATTTCCTTTAGCTTTACTCCCTCTGACTGGTATGACCACCTTAAATAAAGAAAACATTTTTAAATCAGATCTTTGTTGGTTGAAAAATTATATTCATGCTTAGCACATCTGACCTCATGATGAACAAATTTAGAGGAAGTTTTTATAGTAGGGTTGTGTCTGTTGCAACCAGGCCATTTCTCCAAAACAAGTGATTACAAATTACAACAAGGTTATGAGATAAATGTCAATTTCAGAATACTTCTCGATCCTTTTCACTCTTTTCTTTGTAACAAAGAACTCTGATATACTGTGAATTTCTGGAAAGTTGTAGAGTACTCTTGTAGAAAAGTTGCTTTTCTTTTTCTCATTTTAGTAAAGGTAGGGTTATATCAATTGAAAACATACATTCAACAGACCTATGTTCACCAGAAAGATCATAGCATGCAAACCTTTTGTATTTGTTATCTTTCTAATGACCACAATCTTTTACCCACCTGAGCAATATCATGGTTAATCATGATATCTTTCCGTGAGAGATTCATGTAAGTAAATCTTAGAGGTTCTCCAAGAGTATTTGAAGCAAGTTGATGATCTCTTAGTAACTGAGCTGATGCTTTATAATAGTGTTGAGATGCTATATTTGCTGAAAGATAACAACATTGTCTCAGTAAGTTTAAACTTTATCCAATTGAACTACAAGTAATGTGCAAATCGAGAACACTGTACAGTTATTTGTGCAGTTGATCATTTTTTATTGTAAAAAACCAGCTGACAGGTTGCACAATTGGATCCAGAGTAGTTCAAATGATTTCCAGAAATCACTCAAATGTTACCAAACCTGCATTTATTATTTCTCTGGTTCTTTATTAGTTCAAGAAATCAATAATCCTTTTTGCTTTATCCCTAGTCAAATTGGTGCAAATCACTTGTAAAATCATGAATCCACCCCTAGGTGGCATATAATATAAATTAGTGAGATAATAAATAATTTATGGGATATTTGTAGTTTGTACTCAGCAATACTACACAACGTTGTTAAAATCTTGATCTAACCTTAAATTATCTTAAATAGTTTAAAAGGAAATGTGTAGTAGTTAGAGGGGAGAATTACAATCATATCTTAGAAGTAAAAGGGTTTAATAGAACCTCAACAATTACGAATTTTAATTAGATCTTAAAGAGATTTCCACCTTCGATGTTGGAATTTTGTAATTCAGGTTTTAATTTTCCTTATTTTCAAACTCACTCCACTAACAATAACACCCTCCCTAACAAGTGGGAATGTTGTGTATATTGAGTCATATACACAACAGCCCAGGACCCCTGTTCGATGTCGCAGTTGAAGCGGAGTGGAACAAAAAAAGACAAAAATAATAAAATTTTTTACCCTAAGCTAACTCACAGGGACCAAAAACTTATAAACTGAAACGAAGTAAGTATGCTGTCGAATAATGATAGTGCTCACCTTGAATTTTGTGATGGAAGAATGCTGCACCTGCAATAGAAATAACAGCGCCGGATATCGCTGCCTTTTTTAAAAAATTCGCATTAAACATGGTGTTCAGGAGCTGAGAGCACTAGATATAACCACCATGTCGTTACAAAATTCGGCCTAAACATGATGTCCAGGAGCTTGGGGAAGGGAAGCACATGTTGGAACCACTTCACTCCTGAGAGCAAGGGATAGACTGGTACTCTATACATAACGTATCTATCAGAAAATTCAAAATGGCGGTAAACGGCGGGAAAAGGTGTTCACAGATAAACATGCTGTGACAAACATGTTAAAACAAAACTGTTCAAGGAAAGTTAGGAATGAAAAGTAGTGGGGGAGGAAAGGTAATAAGAACTCTTTCACATGATTAATTTGTTAGGGGAATTTTTTCTAATGAGCGTGTTTGCAATACCAAATTATGTGCTTAATTTTGAAATTTTTAGGGCTTATTTGTAAATTTTTCTATGTGTATGTTACATATTTGCCTCGGTGATTTGTTCTTATTGTCGATGTGTTCTCTCAGGCGTCCAAGGCATCTTTGTTGGCACGAGGTCTCCCCACAAAAACTAAGCCACCTGCGTTTAAAAGGTAGAAATGATTCCAGGCGACTGTATATGTATTGCAATGTTGTGGTTTAATGATTTTGTTAGTTTAAAATTACTTTGACCAGTTTGATCTTTATTTTCCATAGTTTCAGATTGTGATAATTATTTAAGACAAATGAAAATATATCAAAGTTGTTCGAAACTGAAAATGACAGAAAACATTTAATCCATATTGGCAACGTTTAAACACGCTAAATAACGTACGGCTGTATTGTGAGGGACGTTGTAGTTATTAGTTTGTTACACAAATGTTTGCTGCAGTCCTTGAATTTAAGTCAGTGGATGTTAATGAAAAGCAGATGTTGCAGGGTATGATGTTAAACAGTAAATCTGTACATTCTTGAAATGGACGACTGAGGTAGTCGGGAAAACCTTGGAAAGTAATCAGCAAAGTTCATTAGCAAAGCGTTTTTGAACAACCCTCTTTCCCAAGTGGTTAGCCCTTTCACTCTTGAGATCCGAAAATTACTTCTCCTGTCTCATAACAAAAAATTTTCTTTTATTCTTAATTCTCATTGCTTGTCAGCTTTAAGCAAAAGCGCAGAAATTGAGGGGTATTTGAACCCATGTGGAAATTGTGAGATAAAATCTTTAAATAAGGGAAAAAATGGAGGCCATTCTTCTTTCCTTCACTTATAGTGTGAGAGTGTTTCCTCTTAAAAGTAATTTGCAATTGCTCTTATTGCCTCTGTAAGTGTTAATAATTTGACAAAATGAAGATTTGGAAAATGGGTTGAACAATCAGATCTTTATCCACTGACCTAAATTCAAAGTTACATTATCAATATTGTTACTCCTAAGGTTTAAAGAGTTTGCAAGAACAGAGTATACAAATAAAGTGAATTTTCTCAACCATTTCTAGAGTCCCAAAAGGACAACATAAAGCTGTTAAGGAGACCAAACCAGGTTATAGTCTCTACACCTCAGATTCAGAAGACCAGGTATGTGATCTTAAGAAAAAACATTTTGATAATAGTTTGGATGACTCTTTTTGTGTTTAATTATATTGATTCTCTCCAAGAACATGTAAATGAAGTTCTGTATTTAGGTTCTAGTCAAAATCTCTTAGTCTTGTTGTTGTCTTAGAAGAGATCTTGTGCTAACAGTTAAAACTCTTATTTAACAGGTTTCTTCAGTTGACCGAGGCTTGAACAGATGTGCAGCTCTTCTGTCTAATATACTTGACAATGAAGACAAAGGTAAATAGGTTCTTCGGTTGAGTGAGCAATTTAATCATGGTCTTGCTCTAATCTCCAGAGGGTGGAGTCTGATTACACTTAGGGCAAATCCAGGGGTGGTTCAAGAGGTTGAGTCAAACCCTTTAAATTGAAATAAATAATGTTCAGTTATGTGTGATTTCTGACAAAAAACTTAAATGTTGATACCCTTACATCACTTACAAATACTGTATGTAAACTGTTAGATCTTTTTGTTTGGATTTTTTATACCCAATGTCATGTGACCAGTTTTCATACTTGGATTGTGCACAAGGTTGAAGTTTGCAGAATGAGACTAAATGGCCATCTTGTTCTTCTCTTCACTTTTTTCTGGACTTTAAGCTTATACATCACATTATCAACTCCAATAGGATGGTCCCCCTTCAGCAGACATTTATCAGACTCCCTCTTCACTGAATCCTGGATCTGTCCCAGTGCATGTTTATCATCTGGAGAACAAATATAAAAGACCTTCTGAACTCGAAATTTCCGGCTGATCTAATTACAATACATGATTGTAGTGCTTGTCATGCAATTCAGGGCTAGTCATGGCTGTAAATATTTCAAATTGACCTTGTGCATCAAGTTTGATTGGGAATGATAGTTTTTTAATTAAGCCTTTACACCCTAATATCAGTATGCATTTTCTCTGTACTGTTTGGAGAATCCTAAGGTGCTGACATGGAGAATTTGTTCAACAGTCAAGAGCTTCTTTAGTTGGTGATCATTTTCTCTATTCTCTGACCTTAAATGTCTGATTCAGGGGTAATATTGTAGGGAGAAATTAGATACTAGTCATTCTTAGGAGTGAACATTTGATGATCAGATGTACATTTAAGTCATGCTTTTCATCAAGAACTGTATTTGCAGGAGAGTACCGTAAACTAAAGGTAATTATCTTCCACATCTAATTAAAAAAAAGATCTGGTCATGAAAATTCAGTCAGAGAAATCTTCACTGTGGCTTATGAATTTTCCAGTCTCAAATGCCTGAATACTCTCTGAATTGCACTCAACCCAGTCTCAGTGCTGTTGCAGACAGAAAAAAAGGCAATCAATGTTTACAGGTTCCTATAGACTCTGAACCTAACAGGAATTAAGAAGAGATTCATGTTACATTGTTTTATTCAGATGGTACAGCTAAGTCCAAGGTGACAAGTTTGGGGAAACCTGTCAAGTCATCTTTAAAAAGAGCAGGAGCAGCCTTGCATCACCAAGTCAAACCAGACAAGCTTAGCACTCAGAGAACAAGAGTGTCAAGTCGAAAAGTTGTAATTCCCACTGCAAAGACTGATGACAGAGGTACAGGTGACATTTTGTTAGTTCATTGTGTGACATCAATCAGGTACATATACTTATTATCTATGGTCAAGGCCAATTCCATCGCACCTATTTTCAATTTTGTGCTTGGTTTATTAACAAATGATCTCAATCAGATTATCTGGTTGTAACACATTTTAGTGGTTCAGTTTAATTATTTACACAATTCAAACAACAGCTGTACCCCTCTTTTATGTCTTGCTAAGAATTAAGTAAAAGAAAATGGCCACTTAAAATTTCATGGAGTGCATAACTTTCAAGTTGCAGTTAAATGGATTTAAACTTACTAAAGATGTTTTCCTTTTAAGTGCGGCAAATGAAAACGGTCCAGTTTCTTATCGTGATGATGGAGAAAAATGCTTATCTGCATAGACAAACGTTATGTTTCAATTACTTTAGGGACTGAGTAGTTTGTCAAGATCTACAATGTGTGTGTCAAGAAGTTTTATTCTTAGTTTTTAAAGTTTCATTGAAATTCATTTGTACTCCTACGGCTTGTAGCAAGTCCTTCGCCATCAAGGCCTCAAGAAGTAAAGCAAGGAACATCAACAGCTTACAATGACCGCTTAGTGTCATCTACACCAATTCTCACTGCAGAGGAGCGACAGAAACATCAACAGCTGCAAAAGCGAGAAGCAGAGTTGCAACAAGAACTGTCACAACTAAAGCAGCGTTATGAGCTTCTGCAGGTACTGTGTTTGCAGAGAAAATTTGGAGAAATCACTCATAATAGTACTGCTGTACCCATATTTCAAACGCTTTGAGTACTTGATCAAAAGTGACCCCATAAACTAACACGACAACAAAAAGAAAAAAAAGCTTGGAGGGGATGTCTGTAACTCCATTACATTCCACCCAGGTGGATACGCCTGGTCGCTTCACGCTGCAGAAACAACCACCACTACGAAGGATGAAAGAAAAATGAAGAAAAAGCAAAACTAATAAAAATGAAATACGGGGCAAGGAATTAGTAAGGAAAGTCTTACTTGTCTTAATAGCTAGGTAACGTTTGTGTTCAATGGGTTAATGTTCTTTGATGTTCGTGATCATTTTAGAAACAGAACGATCCCAACCACCACATGGAACAAAAACTGCAACTTCAAAACTCGATGATGCAAGAGTTCGATAGTCATCAACAGAAACAACCTTTACAAAGGTCTGCCTGCCCCAGGCACTCAAATGAACGACAGTCTGTGAGCAACTCTGAAAGTGAGAAACACTCAAGGAGACCTTCAGTGCGGAGAAGCCTGGACTATTCAGGCTTCCCTGAAGTGAAAACTTCAGCTAGTGATACTTCTGTTGATGGTGGCTTTGACGAGCCCCAAGTAGGGAGTGTATCAGATACGATGGGAGCGGAGGGTCGTGAGCGTGTTGGAGACGAAGATCTGATGCATAATATGGATGACTCGGTTACGCAAGAGGTTGACACTCCAGGATCAAAGAAACAAGTCAGAATCGTATCACCCTCTGGAAATACGTCACCTCCCGTTGAAAGAGAATTCTTAGCGAGTGCAAGTCCACTTCAGAATGTGTCCAATTCTACAAACACAGAAATTTCTGAAGGGAAAAGAACAAAACAAATGACCACTCCATCATCTGTTTCTGCTCAGGCAAGCTGCAGAAGAGAAAAGGATGGAATAGAAATGTCTTCTGCTGAAAATCAGGCACGGATGATTCAGTACTTAATCGATGAACTCAGAGCACTCCTTGGAAATACAGGTCAGTTTGGATTAATTTAGTAGAAGAGAAACTTATAATGTGGCAAGTTAATCTATCGTCGTTGAACTAGTTTGTTTTACGGGAGGTAGGATTCTCAGTGATGTATAGAAGAGATGGCTGGCTATATTTATAGCACCCGAATGGTCAGATCCTTTCCTAAAACTGAAACTTCTGGGATCTAGTGCCTTATTTCTCTTTCTCCTCCTGAATTCTCCCCAATTTGTTTGTACAATAGGTGATTTGGAGGTAGATCGTTTGCTTAATGAAATAGACGATGCTGTAAAGCTTCTTCCCTATCTCTTGGAGAAAGATCACACTGCATCTGTTTCGCAGGAAATTGAACAAGCAGTACGAGCCTATAAAGTTGAAAATGTTCAGTTAAAAAGGTTTGTGTTGTTTGAGTCTTAAAAGTTTGTTAATACCCCTTTGTAACGAGAATCTAGACAGAATGAACTTTTGAGTGCTGTTAAAAATCGTCGAAAATTTTCTTGCTCGAACATTTTCGTAGATAAAATAGCATCGTGAAGTATGTTCTTTTTAAAATAATGATAAATAATTTTTTCACTGCGCACCATGATGCAGAGTAAAGGTCGTTAAGGTCTGTTAAGATCTTCATGTTGCACTAATATGTGTATTTCTTCAATTTGTAGGAAGCTCCTTATTTCTCACCAAAAGCTGAAAGAAGGATCCGTAAAGAAACACGACGACAAATCTTCTAGCAGGACGGATCTTGCTTTTGAATGTAAGCTCATCTGTACTAAAAATTTACTCGTTAGGAAGACTGCGATACTTCGTCTTTATTTATGCAATTAAGCGTGATAAGCGATGTCGTTAAGCAAAGTTAACAGTGATGTAAGCTGGTGACGAAACAAAGCGAACTTACTCAAAGCAATTTACCCTCGCTCCCAGATTCACTCTTTTCCTCCCTAGGAACGAGGGCGGAAAAAAATCTACCTCAAGTGCGGAAAAGTGCATATAAACCGAAATTTTTTTCTGATGATTTTAAAATAACGTGTAGCTCCTGCTGATCAGAGCAATTTCCACGGCTTTCTTCCAATCAAACAAAGACAACAATTGTCACCTCAACAAACATTACAAATGCTGCTTTTCTCATTGCTATCCCCTATAGCGTACAGCAACCTCCTTTACGACCTGTCTTGTCACGAGTTTCCTGTTTCCTGTTCGGTGTTAGAAGATCCAACCGGCAACCGCAGGATATGAACCACGACTCATATTGTTTCCGTTTTCCCACACTACTGAATTGATTTTATTTAAACCGAAACGCTGCAGGATTTACTCAGTTTTCATTTATGCCGTGTGCCTTTTTTGTATCTTAGTGGCAGCTTGCAGGTCGGTGAACAGTGTACTCCAGAAACAACTAACAGAAGAAAAAGACAATAAGGAGCAGATACTCACAGAAAGGGACCGACTCTCGCAGGTTAAAAACTCTGATAAAGAATTGATTTTTCCATATGGCTGACACCTAGATAGGGTATGATCTGGCGAATTCTGTGTTCTCCTCCTTCGAAGAATGAAACCAGAAAAGAGTTTTTTTTCAATGGAAGCTCAGTTTGATAAAAATACATGTATGAATTATCGTTACAGTACCCAAAATGTCGCACATTTTAGATTGAAGAATAACATCTATATGTATTCATATCTTACGTTATCTTTGTTCACCTCAAGCTTGATCGTTGTACGTTCTCTCTCTTTATTTTTCTCGTCTCTGAATTGTCAGAACCTAAATGAACTGAAAGAGGAGAGAAAGAAGTTTCTACAAATTCTATCAAACAAGGTAAATATACGGCTAAGAATATATGAAAGTCATATTTGAACTGCGGATAAAGACGTGAATGAAAGTGATACTCGCGGTAATGTACACTACTTGAGCAGTAGTGAAAATAAGGCCTGAAAAAAATTCAGGCCTGTACGGGATTTGAACCCATGACCTCTGCGATACCGGTGCACCGAATTTTTTTCAGGCCTTATTTTCACTACTGCTCAAGTAGTGTACATTACTGCGAGTATCACTTTCATTCACAAACAAGGTAAAATTAAACAAACCATCTCAGTCTTTTAGTTTCCTCGTGAAGAGGGAAAAAGATGACATTGTTTTTAGTTTAATCATGTGCTCGACTGATAAAACTTTTCTTTTCCGCTTGGACATGTTACGCGCTTATTTTTCTTGTTACAACTTTCAAAGCTTTTTCCCCTCATTATAATTGACGCATGCTATCTTTTGAGGGCGTATTAATAAGTTTTTTGTACCCTGCAGGAACAAGATTATCTGAGGTTGAAACGAGAATTACAGCAAGATTCGTCCAAACTGAATGCTGGTTGGTTTATCCTAAATGGCATATTTTCAACCTAGGAAAACACATTAGTCGCCTTTCTCAATGCAATTTTTCTGAAACTTTGTTTTAATGAACCAGAACTGATTTAACTGAGTGAACTTGAAACGGGTTTGAGGTGAAATAAGTGAACTTTTTTATTCAGTCTTATTTATCTGCACGGTTATCAGCTTACACCCATTTGAATCAAACATTTTCATATTCACAAGTGTGCGCACAAGGAAGGTTTCTAAGGCCAATAAAACAAGCAGTTTTCAAGTAAATGGGAATTTGCAGAGACCTTCATCACATTATATCGCTATATCTCCATCTATAAATGTGTTTTGAAATCCTAATATATGGCTCATTAAACTTAGCCTGTTATGAAAATCGAGTTTATCTCTCTGTAATAGCACAGCCATATTTTTACAGAAAATAAGAAGCTTAAAGCAGATCTCGAAGCTGTTTACCTTTCAACGGAAGCAGAAAAGAAAGAAGCCACCATCCTTGGTCTTTCTTTAAAACAGAAAGATGCAGAAATAGACAGACTCAAAGAACTCACCAGGTAAGTTAAGTTTAATATTTTTCACTTGCATATTGACCTGTTGATTCCTATTTAACACATTGTGTACACATCTTATTCTATAACTAACAGAGGGCTTCAACAATCTCTTACCCGCTTGCTGTCAGATATAGAACAGTTCCAACCTAATGGTCCTTTAAGGCTGGGAAGCATGTTGGATAAAGCCATCGCATTGGAAGGTTTAAATGCATTTTTAGGGAGTGGCCTCCAGACCGCGTAAGTAAGGTTTATCTTCTTACATTTTTTTGTTTCTAAATGACATGCTCGCGAAGCTAAAAGCAACTTACCAATTGAAACGATTGATGTCTTTGAGAAAAACATTGAACAGTACCTTTGTGCCATAGCCTCCTATGCTATGATCCGAAAACTTTAATGGAAGGTGGGTGTGTCATCTCTCCATTTTTTCCTTTCTTCTGTTTGATTTGAAAAAGACTGTAATTTTCGAGTTCAAAGTTCTGAATTATACCTTTTATGGTGTGCCTGCTTCTATTCTTTTTGAGACGTGGTGGCGCCCCATTCATCTATCAAGGCAAAACTGAAAAGAGGAGGCTTCGATTTCTGAATACAATCAAGTGGTTCTTGTTTTCGTTATCACAAAGCGGTCAACTTAAATGCAACTTATAATTTCGATAGGCAGTCTAATGTGTGGACCTAACTACTCTTCAGGGCCCAGTTGTTCGAAGGCTGATTAGCGGTAACCCAGGGTTAAAATTTTTTCCAGGTTTCTTTGTCCCTTTGTTTGAAAGTCTTTCTCTGATAATTTTCTCTCTTCTTTGAAGGGCATCCAGTCATTAAATTATAGACAAAAATGGTTGTACTGAATTTTCTTTTAAAGCTTTCAGATCTTAAACTAGATTTCACACTAACCCTGAGTTATCTTAACCAAGCTTTGAACAACCACGCCCAGAATTCAAAAATGTAATTTCAAGAGAAGAAAGTAATATTTGGTGTTCTTTCCTAAGCCGACCTTTTGATTAAATCCTAAATTTTCTATGTCGCCAACCGACGATATACTGAAGTAGCACGACCACCGACTTACGGGTCTATTTCTTCATTCCTATATTATGCCCTTCGATCGCACTGTCTTGGGACGACTGGTTGACCCAAGGCATCCGCAAAAAGTGCTTTTGCATTAATTTTTTGGGCAAGCAAAGTTTACTATGTCGAAATGTCGAAATACTGATTCAACAGTCTGTACAGTAATTAAAAGAATACATATATTTTTTTTCCTTCAGAGGCCAAGCAACGACCCCAGGTCTCTCCTCTGAGGTTTTACAACTTGCAATACGAGATAACAGAAACCCTATATCTCCAAGTCGGCCCGAAAAAGCAATTACTACTCCTGAACAATTGCCGTCGTTCAGTCAAGGTGTGGTATCAACGGGGAAAGTTTCCAGAAAGGGTAATGATGTGAAATACAAAAAACAGTTACGATTTGCAGACGCTACGCAGAACACCTCTACGCATGCGGATGGAATTGAATCATGGGAAGACGGTTTGAAGGTAGAGGACAAAGAAAATGGCGGGGATTTATCTTCCCTTTCATCAGGAGAAGAAGAAGATTTCAAGAGAGATTTAGCGAATCTTGACGCTAATATTGCAAGGATACAGAAAAGTTTGCGAGAAACCGCTTATAGAACTTGACATAAGCCGACGTTAAGTCGCAGTCTGGAAATAAATTAACTTGTTAAGAAGAACTTATCGAAGTTTTCAGACAAGTCGCCCATTTTCGCACACATTCACATTATGTAAAAGTTTGTTAAATATATACTTAATTACTTTTTTAAACGTATTGACTTAGTTCTCAGATGCTGTATAAGAAACGAGGGAGAGATCCCATCTTTTCGCCTTTCTCCGCGTCTATGTTATTTTCGAATCGTCCTCTCCGTTATCCCAGCCAGAGCACCACGCGGAAACTATTTTGGGGCTAAGAAGAAGTCCTTGAGTTTTGGTCCGAAAAAAGAGCACCAACTCGGTTTGTGCTAACAAGTTGCTCGCCTCTTGCTCAGATTTGTCTGCTAGGTTGAGCGTAATATCACATACAGAGCAAGTTTTCCGAGCTTTTCCTACAAGCTTTTTGTTACGTTGCATTATACACGTACGTTTGATGCTGTATGTTTGATTTTTTTTAAGTGGGCCGTGCATAATTCAATTGGAGCATTCCATATGATTCCCATGTTAGACTTCCCTTCTCTAACTGGAAAATGCATCAACTGAGTGATACTCAGCTGTGACGGATCATGTCTTGCAGGCGTCCAATCATGAGAAATTAAACGCCAAAGATACTCAGGCAGGAATCATTGCTTTTCTTCTTTCTTATTTTTTACCCTTTTTTCATTAAGTCGATAGATGGATAGAAAATTGCACTAGAGGTTATATGCTTGCAGCGTTCCTTCAAAAACTTTGAATTTTTTGTCGCAACTTACAGAGTTACGATTTACGATATGTAAGGTTGACGGATAGAGGAAAAATGAGGCAATAATCGGCGAGATTCAGAGTTTTGTTTTACCCAGACAGTAGTCTTATTAGCCGATCTGAAGTTATATTTGCAGCTGGTACTTCTGTAAACTTGTCTACGATAATTAATTCTTTCCGCAATCTCAGATAAGACATTTTCACGAATCCAGTGATCACGAGAGTCACTTTTCATCTCTTTAATCACTATGTTAAAGTCTGGGAATCTATTACAACAGTGTTGTCTATTTCATTTTAAATCAATATGGTAGCATTGAAGGAGCCCGCGGCTTCTCAGTAACGCGGTTTATGGTAAGTGGTGCGCGCGACGGAACGTTTAAGTCACATGCATTATGATGTCATTCCAGTAAGTTCGACTTCCCTGCTCGTGAAAATCTTCAAAATGCAAACTCTTGTTTAAAGAATAAAAAGCAAGAATGCGGAGGCAAAATACAAGGATACCAAAAAAGTACTTCTAGATGTTGGAATTAGTTCCGCTTAGTAGCGTTTGTTATTTGCCCCTTCTTCTAAAGAAACTAAGAGAAACTTCTGTGAACCATTACAGGTATACGGGAAGATCCATGAATGTTCATTTATCAAAAAAGTCATTGGGAGATAACAAGCCATCTGACGAGTATCCTGAGGCTTTCAGAGAAGCTATCCGTAGCACATCAATCCAGCAGTTTCCAACTGAAGGCGGTCAGCAGCTTTTAGGTAAAGATATTTTTACTCATCAAAACCGGCAAAGTATGGTTAGATTCAAATGACAGCCAATTATGAGTGACAGTAATTTCAACTTAATTTCATGTTATGAGGGATGGTCTGACCAATAGCGTCGATATTCAGCTATTTAGGCTCTTATATGAAGTTTGTTTACCGTAAGATTTCAGCGCATCTAAAAATGTCCTATCAGGTAATTGCACTTAAACTATTTAATTTAGAATATTTGCTTGGTATTTAACAACTATTCACCAAAGTGGAGATGGCTAGTAGTGGCCAGGCTGCCCTGTTGCGGTGCTGCCCACTGCGGCCATGAACCGACACTGAGGTGCATAGTTGTTCTAGGATATGACACTAAAATACTGAGATGATATAGCACAAAAAGATGATTGTAAGTCATTTATTTCTCCAACGATTACAATATTTTCGGGTACGAGTTGCTCGGAGGTGGATAGCAAAGGATATTTGGAATTGGAGTAGCCAATCAGAGCGCGCCTTCACCATAATCCACTGTTTTAGTATATACTAATTTGAAATACAGTTCATAATAAAACTGTATGAATTGGAATGGGCGTTAAAGACAAAACGGTATTTGAAACCCCAATAATGAATTGATTAGTTATTAAAAGACTCGTGTAAGTGTTTTGTGTGTCTTTTTATGACTTGTCTCTTGGATTCTTTATTCACCTTCTTCCGAAGGAAAGCCTCAATCAAAAGTTCCATGAAAGTTTTGCTTCGCAATTTACCATCTCTAATACACTTATCATTTCAAAACATACATGAATGTAGTCGATGAATAAGGAATGAAGATTACAGGATGATACCAACTGTGGAAGACAGCGACGTAAGTCTGTCTTAACTTGGGTTCAAAAGACAAAAAGAAGCATTCTGTAAGCGATGTAAACTGAAGGAGTTGTTGTCTTATGAAGATGAACATAACATGTTATTATTGGTATTAGTCGTTGATTCTTGGTTAAGGCACTTGTACTGTGATTAAACATATTTTCAACCATACTTTTAATTGCCACCAGTTCCGCATTTTTATTTCAGATCATTATGCGGCTCACGCTGGATGTGGCCTATCAAAACTCCACCCAGCCGTAGCGTTGAATTCTCTTCGCGCAGACTCTGAGTTCAACATCAGCCTCCCCGCTGCCGGTGAAGCGAGATTACAAGCGCTGCGAAAGGCGGAGTCGAAACGACAGCAAGATAAATGTATGGATGAACTGAAAACTGTTCTGGAAAGAGTGCGACTAGCTATGGACGAGTTTAACACAGCACAGGCCGAGTTAGAAGTTCCGGAAAGCCCTGATCTAGAATACGAAGCAGAAGAAGAAGAGAAAAGGCAGCGAAAGAAGAAACTGAAGAGAAAAAGGAGGAGAGAGCAGAGAAAAATCAGACATAAAAAAGCTAGTTCAAAAGAAACCCTTAAAGGGCGGGAGAAAAATGCTGAAGAGAAGTCGGCCGAATCAGAAAAAGAATCAGGGAGCTCTAGTGACGAGGGAGATGAAGACAGCGGTGAAGAGAAGGAGAAAAATGCTGAAGAGAAGTCGGCCGAATCAGACAAAGAATCAGGAAGCTCGAGTGACGTGGGAGACGAAGACAGCGGTGAAGATGAAGACAAGGATGAAGACCAAGGTGCCGAGGAGGAAGATAGACAGGAGGAGAACTGGAGCATGACGGGACAGATCAAGCGTAAAGTATCTCAAAGGATGTTAGTAAAGGTGAGCATTGTTACTCTTTATCATAGCAATCAGTCAGTTAAAATACATTCTAAGGAAGACTCGTCTCTTCACGGTCTAATTTGTGGACCAGGCTCAACACAGGGACCCAAAGTAAAGAGGGCGAATCAAATGTATGTCCTCTGCAGGTACTTTCAACGGTCGCGGTCTTACCATGCTGTCTTTGTAACTCTCTCTTATATGAATAACTGTGTGGGTCAGGGCATTATGGAAAAGTTGATTTGACTATTTATTCTGATGAGCGTGTGTGGAAAAGAAGAAAAAAACAGTGGTCTGTTGGAAAAGTCACTTTTAAGTTTAGTGGCTCATATTATATCATATCTGCTTATTTTATTTTCAGCTGTAGTATTTTAATACACAAGCTACATGATTCTTTGGTGGATATTTCGGATGAGTCCATTTACCGAAGTTAGCAAATTTTTGCTGATTCTATTTTGCGGCTTTTTCCTGAGGGAATCTTTGCGGATCGAGGGAAATCCACAAAATTCGCAAAAATCAAAGGCTCCAAAATATTTATGCAACTCGACAATAGTTTCACTTACACTTACCAATTAAGTTGGCCCTTTCTATCCCCTATACCGACATCCTAAATATTATTAACAAATCAACAGCAATCAAAGCGCCGCAGAGTTCAAAAGCTTATTACGTCTTATATGGACCTTTGTATCGAAAGAGAAGATATTATACGGCAAATGCAGTCGTGGATCGAATCAACAGTTGACGAGGAGCTTCTCAAACCAGCTCGGATCTTCTTGTTCAGCCCTGATCTTCTATTGGATGATCTGCCTCTTGGTCTGACTTCAGATATGCAAGCACACGGTAACACGTTAGTGCGACTGAAGGGTATAGCTGACTCATTGGGGATTGGGACGGGTTCGATTGAAGACGAATCGGACGAAAGCACACCACAGGTCAAAGGTCAAAAAGGGCTTCGCATCGTGAAACGATTTTCTAATGGTATTTACATTACTAAGCTTATTCCGTTGAGTAGAAAATCTAACAGCTTTTCATTGAATCTACTTGAAACCTTGGTTTTAAATGCGTTTTGCAAGCAGTATGAAATTCTGGCATTTGTAGCGTGCTGGTGGTAAATCCTGACTTCAGTTGTCAGAGACAAGAAATCTAATTTCATTTGTGAGGAGAGCGGAGCAAAAGGAAACTCTAATGGCCGTACAGTGCAAAACGCAAAACCATGACTCCTCTTCCCCCCTTCCCCCCTTCCCCCTTCCCCTTCCCCCCTTCCCCTTCCCCTTCCCCTTCTCCCTTCCCTCTCCCCCCTCCCCCCCTTCCCCCTTCCCCTCCTTCCCCACCCCTTCTTCATGTTAATGGAATGCGCGACCTTTTACCTGCGGAGAACTTTTGCATGGAGGTCAGGGGTCACTTGAGTCAATTTGGTCGAGTCTTAATTTGGTAACAAACATTTGTATTTTAATTTTCTTCCCTGTTGACGATCGAACAAAAGTGAACGAGAAAAGCAACTTTCTACTGAATAGAGGTTGATCTAGTTTCATTAGTTGTGTAATCTAATTTATCATTAATGTTTTAGTGGAGGAACTCGACGTTGGAGATAACTGGATCCAGGTCCAAGGGGATGTAGATAAGATTCTTGAGCACGCAATAAAAACTGTTCCTGTGCGAACGGTTCGCCTGAATTTAGAAGTCGCCAGAAAGTACTTTTCATTGATGACAAAATTGATGACTAAGAGAAATGAAACCATTCGTCAGGTGAAGTTTGGAATTTTAATTTATGTGTTACTTCTGGGTTATTTACAAAAGACCCTGTTACACTTTCATTTTTTCTTGCAAATGACATTTTGTATACGCAGCAATTTGTTGGTTGTCACCGTCTTTTGTGAGGATTTCATTGCCTGGACTAAATGTGTTATTTCTCGGTTATTTATAAAGGACCCTGTTACACTTGCAATTTTTCTTGCAAACGACATACAGGAATAGAGATAAATAGATAAACAGTTTATTTATAATGACTTTGCAACTAGAAAGTTGAAATACACGAATATTACAAAATATAATATCTATAATAACACTATAAAAAGCTATTAGTAGTTTAAAGTAAGTTTGTATAAAAAAAATGTTTGTACATCTGTTACGTTTGTAAATAAGATTTGTCGATTAAATATAAGATTTCAATAAAACAGTTTAGACTGTAAGGGTATTAAAGGCGATAAAACTGTTCAGAATGACTTTAACAAGCTAACTTAATCCTCTATTGTTCACTAATTTTTCAATTTGGGTTCATAGTTGGACGAGAAAACTGTCGATCTTGAGTGCAATGTGGTAAAAACCAAGAAACAAAACGAAGAATTAAGGAAGAACAATAAAAAAGCCAAAGTGAAAGCTGAAAAACTTCAATACCAGAATCAAGACCTGCAAAACAACGTGGTAAGTACGTCACACAAGTAGCAGGATGTTCCAGAAGCAGCGCAGATGACCCTCGGCCAATCTTTGTTTTAACTACCACCACAAAAAGAAAGATACACGGAGCTGCGGGGATCGGGAGGATTGGGGCTACGTGCTGTGGGATGGAGAACGTGGGAATCTACGATTCCACTTATTTAATATCCCTTCTTTGGGAACTAAATCGACTATAACAATGACTTTCGTGTTATTCTAACAGAAAGAACTGCAAAACATGATCAATAACCTCAACGAAAAGTTGGATGCCTACAAGAAAAAAGAGTCACACGGTTTATTTAAAAGCAGCAGTGAGTCCATGGCAAGTTCGAAGGAAAGCATAGAGAGGGTTTCGGTCGTCAGTCTTGTGGATGAACCATCACAGCAGCTCGCTCCAACAGGAGAAAAAGTTTCCATACAGACCCCTAAACCATCTAAATCGAAAGTTGTTATCGAGAGCGATTCCAGAGCTCCAGTTGCTGCGCCAACCAGCGAAGAAAGTAAGAAAGAAATATCTCAGCTGAGAGAGAGATTGGAAAGAATACAGGACGAGTTAAAAGTCGAAAAAGAAAAATCTACAGCTTTCGAAAACGAATTCGTAACACTACAATCAGAAAAAGTGAAAGTCGAGCAAGAACGAAGTGAACTGGAGATAAAGCTGGAAAACAGTCAACGGGAACATGAACGGGCAGTGGAAGAGTCGGTTGAAAAAATGGAAGACTTGGAAAGGGAGAACAAAAGGTAATCATGACAAGCTTTCCTCCTTCCCACAGGAATCTAATGTATTTCAGATTACTCGGCGTGAACTTAATTCCCAGCAGTATGGAGAGTTAGGGTGTTGATCGGCCAGGGAGAGAAGAACTAGACCGGAGAAGTTTGAAACTAATACTAAAACTGTTAAACTTATGGGCATACCACCAAGAAGATTGTTCATCTATGGTTAACTCTTTAACTCCCATGAGTGGTTAAGATCGAATTTCTCCTTAAATATCAATACACTATCAAAGAGACAAGTGATGAGAATAAAGAATTGTATCGATTAGGGGATTATTTGTAGATCCAATACCAAATTCCTCAGACTAACTATGAGATATTGGGAGTGAAAGAAATATTAAATGAATTGAATGACAATCCACACTCACTCTCCACTTAGTAGCATTGAAATGTAAATGAATTTGGCCAGAGGCGAGTGTCAAGTCCCTCTTTCTTTTAAGTTTTCCAGGTTGTCGACTGAAATGGGGGTGTTTCGACATTTTTCTTGCTTTGTTTTTGTTACTGTTACTGGTACATAATACAAGTATATTCAAGTATATGAATATATAAAGAGATTCCTTTTAAAATAAACAGGATGACAGGCGAGATAGAATGCAACGAAGAGATGATCAAATATCAGGAGGAAAGACTCGGTCAGTTTATGGAAGAAATCCAAAGCCTCGAGGAACGAATGATGTCCTTTCCCCCTACTCCTGCCACAATGAGTGTCGCGAGCATGGCGGGGACAACGCGGCGTGAACGCAGGAAAACCTCATTGCAACTGGGTCTAGAGCCACAGACAGCGCGGCAAATGGTTGCTAAAGTAAAACAACAGTATGAGGCTGAACTACAGAGTCTGAAAGATCACCAGGCTAAAGAAAATCAACGACATCAAGCTGAATTACGACGTTTGGAGCAAGAACACAAGAAAGACCTGCAAAATATCCACAAGGAATCCTTGCAGTTACTACGGGCTCTCAACAGATTCAAAGACGGTGTTGCATCGCTACTGGATAGGGAGAGTAAGTTTAACACGGTATTTATAAGTCTCTACAGTTACAGAAATGGTATTTCTTCTTTGTGTTGCAGTAAAAGGTTTTTCTTAAAACAAACTGAAGAATTTAAACCCCCACCTACATATACCTATAGCTTTCGGTTTTATCAACTGATCAAAAACTTAATATCATGCGGATTGTGCATGACAGGACTCTAAGAAATTGAGTCCTAAGCAGGGGTGTGTAACTGCGCCAAGTTAGTGAAGGAGACTTATGAATGTCAAATGATTAGGATGAACAAAAACAGAGACAATCACTTAAGAAGTCGCCAAGTTGCTTTCGTTAGCTAGTAGCGTGTGCCATTACCGTGCGTGCGAGTGGCATGGATTGGTGGAAGTCACATTTTGAGGGTTTTTGTATGAAAGTTGGTATTCTTGTTATTCGAGCGATCAACTTTCAAAAGTTTTTTTGTGGTTGAAAACGAACATGAACAATCAAACAAATGTATAAATAAATAGATAAATAACTAAATAAATCAATTAGAATTGATGCAAATAAACGTGTAAAGATGCTAAAAATAATCAGTCGATGGTAGCCGAGGAATTGTTTTCTCACGAACATGTTATATTTCTGGTTATGTAAGCTCTTTACTTCCACAACGACGAAAAACATCAAAGCCTCTGAAGATTTCACTTGATCGGTAAGAATAAGCTTTATCGAATGGAGACGTCGGTAATGTTTTCTTACCGGTCAGTTACAACAGATAGGGTCCGAGCTATTTCACTGAGTAGTAAAAGCAATTCTCTCTTTCTTTAATGGATCACGGAGCTCAGAAAAGGCACTTGAAAGACACCATCCGCTCAGCTACCTAACGGCTAGACCGTGTGTGAAAAGCAACTTGACGTCTGTAAATAGTTCCTATTTCTTTGACAAGCGAATGTCCTTCTTCATCCTATTTTCACGTGGTGGTTTTTTCTTTTTCTTTTCTGAGATATGGGTGAAGAGGCGCATAATATTCGTTGTCATGCGCCACTTCCGCTGGACGAGAATTTTGGGGACACACGACAGATGTTAGCACGCATGGCTATCTTGGCCAATGAGATGATGATTTCAGTGGAATTACAACTTTCCAGGGGACTCATGAGTAAGCGATTGGAATCAAAGGTAACAACTGAGCAATTGAAAATTTTCTACAATAATAACCACTAGGAAAATGTGCAATGCCACTTGTCTGTGAAAAGTACTTTGTTAGCTACGGTTTCCCATTCGGTAAGAAAGGACATCTGTACAAATCTCCTACTAATTCGACCGTGCATGCGCGAATATTATGATAACATAGCTTCACTTCCTGTTCACATACAACAGTGTAGTCCTCAGTCGTACCTCAGAGTGATTTGACGGGAGCGTTTACCAGCATAAAAGGGGAGTCAGGATTAACGTCCTTGTCCCGCGATTTTCAGTGCGACATATTTCTCCCCGCCTATTGTCGCCTTCTAGAAGCGAATAAATAGGATTTGTTACGAATCTACCCAGTTCTCATTCGTATGATGAGGTCTGAAGAAAAAACCATACGGTCGCTGGTATAAGTATCTTTCCTAGGCATTTCGTGAAACAAATGTCTCTTCTAGCTGTGGACAGCAGTGCAGTGATACTATACTCGATACTCAGAGTATAATGTCTGTAAGCGAAGCTTCACAAAAACCGTTAACCTCAAAAGTTAAAATTTAAATGCCCAGGGGTGCGATCCGCACACTCTCATAGCTAAGTAGCGGACAGTTTAAAAAACTACCTTATTATTTCTTGTTGTTTTTGTTGTCTTGTTTTACTCAAAGGATCCACATATGGGTCGAATGGATCAGTCAACTGAGAGGAAAATGCCGAGGGATCATGGCTCGATTGCGCGAAGAGGAACACTAGGACAGCTACGTATTGATGGCAAACAAGTAGAACTTCATGTATGGAAACTCTTAGAGGTAAGTTTTAGTAAATGAAAACTAAACTTACCGAGTTTTTCTTTAGTACTCCAGAACAGCTTTTCGTAAAAAGTTTTCTTTGAATCTTAAACCTACCGGCCTATATTACTAAGTTGTAAGTTGGTTTATCCGTAAAACGCCTCCCTACTACTCCCCGGGCCTAACGTCATAACGTCATTGTAGTTTTGCGCTTGAAATCTCTGGCCTTGTTTCTAAAAGCTTTTTTCAGTGCCTTTTGTTGGTCTCTGGTAGCTTTCGAGGGGCAACGTACCCAACTTAAAATTGAATATTTTCTTTTTGTTACTGAAAATGTTAGGAGGGGAACCGACAAGAAGTTATGGAAGTCGTCAAAGAATTACAAACCAAGGTTTCAGAGGTAGAGCAAACAGTTGAAAAAGTTAAAAAAGTGGACGAGGAGAAGATACAGAAGAAAGAATCCCAGCTGCAGAGAGTTTTGAGAAGGGAATCAGAAACAAGAAAAAGCGTAGACGAGCAAAAGAGTATTATAAAGAACTTAGCTGCCATTTGGAAAAGCCGCAGAATAGGACAGAAGTATATTCGCCGTGAGGATCAGCAAAGAAACCTGGAACTGCTTCAGCAAGCGATGAAAGAAGATCAAGTTTCAAAAGAGTTATACGAGGTAATGTCATCAATGTACAACTGACAACTTTGTATCTAATGAACGAGCTCCTTTAAAGATTGATTCAGGTTGAGAGAGCGTTTAGCTTTTAGCTCACACCCACTTTGGACAGAAGGCTTTTGGGAAATTTTTAGAAGAGTAAAATACGCAAGAGCCCCCGTTTGGCTTAAAAATATACAGGAATGTTTGTCCTTGGACATTTTCTCTTCCTGGAAGCTCACAGTTCTTCTCGAGCTCTGGTCCTGGAAAGCGTTCTCTTCTCGCAACACGTTATATTTTCTTGCCAGAGGAAGATTATTGTCTATTCGTTTCCGAGAGACTATCAATTTTGATCCTGAAATAAAATTGGGTCAAATTCACTTGAAATAAGACTGGGTCATTTGGGATCAATAGCCTTGACTTGTTGCTCCATTAAGATTGCATCTGTCATTTAATTTGCCGTACTTCTTTCTCTTTTTGTCCCACATATGTTAAGTCTACAACAAAACTGATCAAGCAAGCTATGGATTATCCTCGCAAACGCTTCATTGAACTTGTTGAGAGGTACGTGTATCACCGACGCGTCAAAGAAATACAAGAAAACGTGCAAAAAATGAGGGAGGAATCCAACATCAATGAAAGAGTACTATTGGCTATGAAGGATGCGGAAGAGAGAATGATCAGAGTAAGCTACCCTCTTCCCAGTATCCATATTCACAACGTTAATAACAACATTTTTTTTTCAATATTATCATTATTATCATTATTAACCTCGGAGGCCGCTTATGGAAAAAGTTATTGTAACCCCTGGCTTTGAAATTACGCCCAATATACCGATATCTTCCTTGAGAGAGGAAGAGTCGTTTCGGGTGAGGAGCTTGGTTTCATTTCAGCAACGGCTGACTTTCGATCCTACCACTGTTTGTCCACTCTCGCCAAACAGAAACAAATAATACACAGTCAACTGACGTAGCGATCTTTACTAATGATTGTCAGTCGCGTAGAAGGTAGCCTCCCTTCAAGGGACTCTTGCAGATGTTCTTGTAGGCCCATACTCGTCACAGCCTCATAAATGGCTTCGTGTCGATGCTTTATCTCATACAGCAAAAGGAAACATGGCGGCAGAAAAAGGAAGAGTTCATCAAAGCTCGCGCAGACGTTTTAGAAAAGCTGCATAAAGTGTAAGTGTTCTCCTTTGTCAAAACGCTGCCTTAGATACAGTATCAAATACATGACAATTACCAACGCTTCGTTGACCTAGTTTGTTCTTATAACTTCCTATTTGTCTGGATTTCTCATCTTGAATCTGGTCCTGTATTTAAGGAACTTTTCCTGAATCATTTTATTTTTTTCCGTTAGAGTGTGAAATGTCCTTAATTTAAGTCTGAAATCGCGGAAAATTCAGTCTACAAACAATTTGAAATTAATAATCATATAGGGATGAACACTTTGATCAACAGACTTTCAAATAAGCATTTCAAATGCTGCTTACCTGTGTGATGAGTTTTTCTATATTGGAAATGGTTTACACATTCACGGGTGATCGGGCATACTTAATTTAAACATCAGTATATATTTAACAATTACTCTTATTAACTTTTGTTGGAAAAGAAAACCTTATGATCCCTTTGAGAAAAGCCGTTTACGAAAATCTAGACAATTACTTTCACTAATAAGTAGGTTGAGTAGTACATACAATCTCTCCAAGGAAGGGGTGGGTGGGGGGGTATGCTGAGGACGTTCTCTCAGAATTCTTTTCATTTCTATAGTCTTACTCAAGTTCATGAGGAAACTGGAATACTTCTTATTAAGCCGAAGGACTTGATTCCACGGCTGGAAGATATTAGAGAGGACGTGAAAGAAATCAAGGAAGACGACATTTCGGCTGCTGCAAATATTCCTAAGCTGCGCGCAAAACTTCGTAAAGCAGAGCTACAAGCTCAAGTGGCAGCAGAGAAGGAACCACCCCTGTCTGATGTGGAGGGTACGTGTGCAACGCGTGAGAGGGGCCAGGAAGCTTCATGGAAGGTTGGAGAGAAAACTTTGTAATTGGATATGTCACATTGTTAATTACATCTGTAGGCGTAAACCAAGGAGTTGAGTCAGGGGTCAGGAAGCGAGGGTGCTGCAGCCCTCAGGAATGAAAGCTTGAAAAGTTTCCGAGTTATTGCTAATGTATGTGCGTAAACACTCCTTGCGAGAAACACCCAGAGTTAATAATGTTTGCTTGATGGCCTAAACTTGCCAATTAAGTATCTATTAAGTCAATTATTCTATCAGTGGTTAAAGAAGTAGTTTCTCATAAATTTAGCATCGTGTGAAGTGTGTCATTTTTATCTGCTCTTCTGAGGAAACTGACGTAGGCACGCCTCCAACGACAGCAAAACACAAACAAAGCTCTCTTACTGTGTAAAATTCGAGGCCATTAAGCTACTTTATCTCTTATTTATCTTGCCAAAACTGAAGAGTGAACTTCAGACTAACGAGAGAACTAGATTTGTTTTACAAGAGCTACAAATCGATTGAAAATTTATCATGGAACTTTTCATCAGAACCGATCAGAACGCTCTGATTTACTCCAGGACTACCTTGCAATATAATAAATTGCATATAATTGTACATACCACACAAGTGAATAGCGCTTTTAGCGCGCGCTGCTTGGCTAATTCGCAAGTTGATATCAAGTACTGGACACCTCCGAGCAGCCGATGAGACAAAATCGCGCGTCAAGAGTTTAATTTCCGAACATTTTTCGGTATTTTCGTAGAAAAGGTTGTGGTTACTCTCCTGTTGTTCTGGAGTTTCTTCTAAAAATAAAAATTAAAAAAAAATTTTAAAAAAGTAAAATAAAAAAGAGGAAAATTTTTCTAATAGAAATTCCGGAAGCGTGGATGCCCACGATCAAAAAACACAGCAACAGGAGAGCCGTGCGACAGCGGACCGCCGAGGGAGCAAATCTCTGAGTGAACAGCAAGGATCGAAATGCATCAATCAGAGCTGTTGAATGACAACTAATCAGAGCAGAGAATCATGCTTTATAAGATCACGCATGACCAGTCGACCTCATCGCCTGAAGAAGACTAGCAGTATGCAGTCGAAACGTCGCGATCTACGTCACACGTGACTACATCTGGAGACAAACGAAAAACTTAGCTTTTATTTTTCGGCATATTGAAAGAGATAAACTATTTTGTATCTGTGTTGTAAACACTGAGACAATTATTCACCTCAGCGCCGTTGAAAGTGGTAGATATTCACCTCGTAGCTTCGCTTAATATCCACCACTACTCACCGGCAAAATCATTTGAGCTGAAGCTTAACAGGTGCTAGGCCTTCCCTTAAGCAGCGAGACGTTTACACCATGAATTGTTTTCATTTATGAGTTATGAATGTGCTCTAATTCCAGGTCATGTCATCGCTTGCTCCTGCTATGGTCACAACACCAAGAATTTTGGACATGGATATCAATCGCAGCCGTGATGTAGCTAAGGAGTAAGTTCATCAGTGCTCGTGCAAATAGAGCTTAGAACGGTCGCTCGTAATACTTTGTTAAGAGTGGCGTTGTTTAACTTGTAAAAAGTGAAGGGATAACCAAATCTCACGGTTGTTACGATATCTAAACAAGAATGACTTCATAGTTTTATGCCAAGGGTAGACACTGTTTGATGATAAAATTTAAAGAATAATCACTCGATTGGTACCTGTTGTAGTCCAAACTTTTTCTTGCTTTGAAATTTCTTCCAAGTTGACAGATAGACTGCTACTGACTGAGGAAACATGTTAAACCATCTATAATTCCTTTGAAAAGAATTGAAGGATGAACATGTGGACAGATGTTCAGTTCTCCATGCTCTAGATTCTATACGAATTTTAACCCATACAATTTATTTTCACCTATCACGTTTTCATTACAAACATCTTTCACCTGTAATTAAGTATAATTGTTGAAAAAGAAACGATCATGCTTCACTACGAGTGTATTGACATAATGAATGACGGCAATCTTCTCTAAGTGAAGAAATGATCCTTGCAGGTAACCATTTTTTTCCCCTCTCCCAACGTGTAGCTTCGTGGCTCGGATGGTAGTAACGCCCAACTAATGTCTTATCTGGGAGGCACGGGTTCCAACCTGGATTTTTTCAGGCTTCTTTGTAGCTATTTCTTTAATCAATTTGCAACTCATGTTAGATTATCTTTTTTCCTATGTATTTCATCTATAGGTTAAAAAAACTTATCCATCAAAATTGCGCCCTTTTTTAACAGCATCTTCTACCGTTATTTTTTTTTAGAATTTTGACCAATGTAAGTGAAGCTTCAACGACGTCCAAATCCGTCAGCATTCCTCCAATGAGGTTTTTCCCTATGCTTTATGGTTACTACAAACAGCCTCACACCGGAATCCGTAGAACGAGAAGCGAACCTGCTCAATCGCGAAAAAAATCTGTAAAGAGCTTCCGATCCAGAGAAACATTTCTTCCTCCGATAGCTACACTTTATCCTGAGAACGACCAGACACAGGATTCTTAATTATTCAGAAAAACTTTTAAAACTGCGATTTGGATTTCGTGAAAACATAGAAACATGTAAAATAAAATTTTCTTTAGTCGTTGCAGACTTTTGTTGAATAAATGAAGATATACCTGTTTATTGAAGAATAAAGGACAACAGTCCTAAAATTTTTGTTTGAACAGTTCTGACAAAACGCTTTAAAATAAATACATTTTTAAACTATGTAGTTACAGTACCCCACCCCTTTTTGGTACCTCATCATCTTTTGACCCGGATTGAAGTTGTGACATCTGTGGCACATGGGAGATGTCTTGGTGTGATCACTATATTGAATTAAAGCTTGCAGCCAAATGTTACTAGTGAAACGAGCCTTTTCCGTTCGACAAGGAGAGTGACTCCTACTAGAGCCACTTGTTAGCGGAGGTATGCAGTCCCGCGAGTGGAAATTGTCGCCTTTTCATTGTTTATTCTGTCTCACGCCGAGGGTGGCTCATGGCCACCTTGGAGGAGTGTGCCTCATGGCCACCTTGGAGGAGTGTGCCTCATGGCCACCTTGGAGGAGTGTGCCTCATGGCCACCTTGGAGGAGTGTGCCTTTGCAATTCATTCAAGCTACTTCTTGAAACTTAAATGAAGATCCGAGACTGATTATTGTGAAATGGCCAATCAAACGTATTTTGAAGTCAAAGTATCCTTCGAAAGGTTACTCTTTTATCAATTTTGTTTTCAACTGCCCATTATTAGGTAGCTCACTTTACCATCTACCTATCACGGAATTGATATGAGCGAGTAGCGTAACTAATCAGCATTTGTGATAGGACACTAGTAGATTAACCATACTTGTTTAAGCTAGTCACATTTCCCGTGCATTTGAGAAATTAGTTTTACTTGCAATTTTCTATAAAAAAAAAAGATGTGTCAGGGGGAAATGCCTCAATCTAAATAGATACCATGGCCACGGGTTACCGATAAAGCAAAGCTAACGACGGCAGTTTCGTTCACATTCATTCCTTGAGCGAGGTCAGTGTGCGGAGTAAAACCATCTTATACAAAAATATTAAGCAACAATCAACATTATTTTCTTCAAGGAAGTAATGGTGAATAAAAGCCCTCAACATTTTCAGCGAAAACTATGAAATGTTGCAATAGCTGACAAAAGGAAATAGTTTGTGACGCACGTGGTAAAAAAGAAAAAAAAATTCGCCTGCGAAAGACTTTTACGCCGACCTCCGTGGTAACTTAGACTTGTTTATTTTTCTCGGAAAAGAGACAGTTCTCGTCTTCGGAATATGCATCTTTTTTCAATTGAGTTATAGATTAATTCTCCTTATTTCACCTGCTGACAAGAGTGAACTGAAAGATTCACTGGCAGAAAGAAAGAACGGGAGGAGAATCTTTTTTGAAACTCGAGTTTTTAGTGCAAAGAATACTTAAACTAACCTTCTAGTTTCGCATCACGAGTAGCAAATGATTGCAAAGATGATGGTGAGAGCTCTATAGGCGCGCGTCTTCGATTTGAAACGATACTTTTTTCGTCTCTAGTGAAAGCGCATACCAATGCCTTTACTGCGAAAACGAGCGAAGTAAAGAAATGACGTCACAGTAACAATTTATGACCCAAGTCGCGCGAGCCAGTAATTGCTAGACTTGGTCCCATGCCCCCTAGATCCAGATTATTTTATCCCATGATTTTTCAATTTACTCAACAAAACAACTTGTTCCTGATTAGTCAATGCCAGGTACATTGAGTTAAGAGTGCAATTTGTTCTTTCCGTATCACCTTGTGTCGAAATGTACGATAACCTGTGGAGCATTCGGACAGGAATATTGTAGTCGGAAGGGTAGCATTGAACGTGTCTTTAATTATAGCGCGCGCTACTTGATTTCAGGTATGTTTGGAACTACTTCAAGCTTCAAGTAAAATGTGGTGTCGTTGCGTAACAACCAATGCATAGAACACGCAAATTTAGAACAAATTCAAACGTGTGTTGCAATAATTATAACTATATGAAATTTTACCGGACGAGTTCTTTCATAGTTTTAAACCTCAATGAGCAAAAACCGTCCTTGGTCATTTTCGCTAATACCCAACCCCAGGCAATTTTGACCCAGAAGAGGGGATAACGAGGGTGTTAAGACTTACTCTGGAGTCAAGATTGAAAGGTCTTTTCTAATCATAGGAAGTTTGACCAATGCAGTTCTAAATTGTTCATTCACCGGTGGGTGAATGAAAAATTATGGCAGAATTAGCACTTTCACTGCCTACTTCCCAGACGGGCCCTGAAACTTAACCAACCCAAGAAACCAGAAGAGTCAATCCCGAAACAGCCACAGCCCTGCAAATGCGACAGAATCCCATATAAAAAGTCGAATGACAATGGCCCATTGCAAATTTCTTTTCATGCTTGATACATGTATGTCTCAAAGGCAACAACAAAAAAGAACTAAAGAACTTGGGAGTATTTAATTGCCCATCCAAGTCCTGTCCCTATCGAACTCCAGGCTTCACACACGTGGCGGCGTTCAGAGAAATAGAAGAGAACATTCTGCGCGCACCAAACGCGAAGGTTCAAATCTAGCGATCGCGAAAACACGAATCAAAGACCTATTGATTTTAACAAGCAGTATTTTATTATCTCATCTTTTGATGGAATAAGACAGGTTTACGATGATGTAGTTTGTCGTGGTCCAACACCACCTCCTGGACGCTGCCCTTGAGGATTGTCAGGCTAAAATGATAAGAAGAAACAAACAATAACTCAAACAAAAACTAAAATTCTGGTGTTCAGTAATTTGCAATTGTTCGAGTCATGTTTCGTCTGTCTGAAACTTTAAAAGTGTCATGAAACAATAAAAATGCAGAGTAATCATTTAATAGTCAGTTCTCTCTCAACAAAACCCTTACTAAAGGCCCAAGGGTTCATCCATAAATTAAGCTCAAGATAATTGATTATGCTTTTTGTAGGAAGGTGAAGTTTCTTCCGTTTTTTCCCTTCATTTTTGGGGGAGGGGAGGAGGGGGAGTGGGAGAAGGGAGACTTGTTAATTGGAATGTTCAGTAACAGTTTGCTAACATCTAAATAGCAAGACTTGGAGAGACAAGAATGGCTGTAAGAGCTGGAGATAACAACACATAAAGTAAATGACTAACTCGACATACAGGTATATCGGTTCTTTTAGTTGTAAAATGTCACAAGGACCTGCTTGAAATGTCTCATTTTTGAAGGTACCCATCCTAGAGGTATTGCTCGAGGCAGAACATCAAGAGATACTTACCCTACGTGGGAACCTTGGAGGAGGGACCCTGATTTTTCTGTTTTCCTTGGAACGATTCCTCACAACCTTGGAGTGAATTGCGCAGCTGACACAGTAGTGAAGCTTCACATACAGTTTGGGAAGAGCATACACTGAAAAAATAAATTCAAATAAAGTCACCAGTGTTTTGGAAGAATTTGTCAAGAAATTTTACCACTTTACCACTTGTTCTGGATTATGGTCCTTACAGATCAAGTTTACAGTTACAAATATACACCACACCATCAAACCACCAAACCAATTGACAGAATTTTTAATTTGAGTTTATTTGTCTTTTAAAATTTTGCATCAGGATTTGATTTAGGGGTTCAGTCTCAAATGATGAATAAACAATTACTACTGACTAAATGTCAGTTGACAGGGAAACAAATGCAACAGGAACATTGTTGCGTGTCAAAGGCTTTCCTTGTAGTCTGTGAAAAGTTCATAAACCACTGTAGTCTAGAAGGAGATCTGTTCTGTGGTGCTGCCACATTATCTAACTTCATTTTGGTATCATTGCTCAGGTGAATAAAGAGATGCAAGCCATCTGATTGGTCTCACAATACTTCCTACATTGTTGTATCTCCCTATAATCAACCAGCAGGAGATAATTATTCCAGGGGTTTTTATCTTTCAGAGCACACTGACTGCAATTGGCTTTATGCTGGCCATTTTAAGCCATTTAAAACTTTCTAGCCAACAAACATTGACTTGACTACTACAACTTCTATAGATTAGTTCAGTTTTCACTTTTGCCAAGTGCAGGTTGCATATTGACCAAGTGATCTAAGTACAAGACCTTATGCATCTGTTCTTTGATGTGTGACAGGTTGGGAGTGACGAAATAGACCACAATTTATAGTTTTTTTTTTTTTTTTTTCATAATCACCTGTGGAATAACACTGAAACTACTGTTCTCCTAATGGCAAACGAATATGGTTGATCCACTTTGCCTTCCATGAAAACTTTTCAATTGTGATTTTAATAATCTTTGTTAGTATGAGCCTTTAAAGTGTGATGGAAGTGGTGATAACAATAACTTGGAAGCCACAAAAAAAAGAAAGTGACCAAGGCAACGCCACGGATGTCTCAAGTGCAAAAAAGGGAACAAAAAACACTCATACATATTAAGGTTTAAGAAAGACTGTATGATCCTTGTTAGTATTTGAAATACATGAAAATGCAACACACTGTTTTATAGTTTTTCAACCTGGAAAACCTGGAAAAAGAGCCTAAATATTCCATAGGAAGTTTTTCCTGGAATAGCTGGATATAGCAGTGACACAATTTCAAACTCTGTGTACAAAAATATATAAATTTATCTAACTTCCCCTGTTTTTCTGTAACAGTCTATAAAGTTGCTAGTATGTCATTTCAGAACATCTTTAAAAGAAGAAAAATTCAATATTTAAAAAAATTTACATAACAATCTCACCTTCGTACACACTGGCATCAGCTATATCCCTGACTGCAGCTGCCTCCACAATATTCCTAATGACAAATTTCTTTATAGCCTTGTCCTTAGGAACACAACGTGCACAGTTTGTACAACGAACAAACTTGACATGCCCACGGCCATGCTTGGAACGTCCACAATTACGCCTCTTCTGGGTCTAAATAATACAAAGCAAAAACACTTGAAGTAAGAATTTCTCCCATAAAGGAGGAATAATCCATCATTCACACTGATATAGTACTGCAATTATTGAAATATGACACATGCAAGATGTTTAGTGAGTAAGAAAGAATCATAAATGTTGCTCATGGTTAAGCTTTTCGAGCCCTATTAAACCTTTCCAAGTGCCTCATATTCCAGTGAATATATAGACACAAGAATCAATGGTTTCAAAATGTTTTCTACAGTATGGTGTAGATGTTACACAAAGAGAAATTACCACCGCAATCTTTCACTACAAACACACACTCATGGGTGTGCAAATGTGTGTATAAAGCAATTTAATATGTTCACGAAGATTTACCAGCTCTATTACAACAAAAGTGAAATAAAGATACCAAACAGCACGTTTTGTCATTGTTAATCATTCAGTCTAAATTCGAGTTAATATGGTATGGATAGTTGTGAGAAGAATTAATACACATTCTTATAGCCCAGGAAGTAAATGCCTAGTGTACCTCTGATGCCCTCATTTTCAGTCAAATTAACAATTGAAATTTGATCAGTACAACTAATAAAACATCAGGCCCTAGAATGCTCAAAACAAAATATATCTGTATCATCGACTTCCGAAGCAGTTTTATCTGTAACACTAACCTACGAAACTAACTCACACTTATGCACACAATACCAAGTATAGCCGCATCGTTTGGCGAACAGAATATCTTTTAGAACTCTTTTTTTTAATTGAGAAGTTATATGAAGATGGGAATGGGCTATATTATTCTCCAATGATCGAGAATATGACTTCAAGCTAGCAAGGTAAGTGACAACGTGGTTTTACATCCACACGACAAATCAACTTGAACAGCAAAAATTTTCCCTTTCTCAGTGAAGATGTGATAAAATGTAAAGAAACGGGGTGAGGAAATGGCCTAAAATATACAGCATGCTCCTTGAACTAGGCTGAACCTTGATATAACCGTGAAAATTCCTCAAAATTTCAGTTACAAATCACAAAGAGCTCACCATTTTAATCTCAGGGAGAGGAAAGAGACCACTCACATGGAGCCCCTGATATTTGTCTAGGGCCGCCCCAGAATTATCTAATGTAATCGCGGGCTCGCGCAATAATTTCGTCATTCACGTGGTTTTCGAACAAAATGGCTGCATCTTTCCTCAACAGGCTCGGAATATTGGGTATGGGTATCGCCTGTGTCGGCGGTGTTGTCAACACAGCCCTTTTCAACGGTAATATGAATTTTTACTTTGGGAATTTCTCGCATGCTGAGTCTCAGTTTCGATCGGTCGAACTTTAAGAAGCTGATGAGTGCGTTTGACAACTGATATAGCTCGAGTATTTTAACATCTTAGGAATACAACTGAGTTGGTACGTTTGATTTGAAACTCTATTCGGAAATTTTTCAAGGAATCTGATCCATTAGCTGCTAGAACTAAAACTGATCAATTTTATCCTTTCCTTGCTTCGTTTGAACCCACAATCAGTACTTCAGCTTTAGCCTTAGGATGTTAGGATGGGCTAGTTTGCTTGTTGGACAGCACCAGTTAAAGCAGCACGTGCATGAAAGTTTTAAGGTGATTTATATGTTTGAAGAACTTTTCCGAAGAGTTTGTGAGAAAAGTTATCCTGACAATTCTTCTTGAAATAATTTGTTTTACACCAAGTTACATAAGCTTTGTTGGTCAATTGGCTAGTATCAGGCTCCTTTATCTCAGCAAATGCCTGGCTGATTGCATAAAGGTTTGTACAAACTCTGTATGCAATTTTCTAGTGATTGTTATCAAGATGACTTAATCAAGAGATCTCCATCATTGAATTTAAGAACTGGCAACATTGATCCTACATTTCACATTTCGTACTTTTTTATTCAGTAAATTTTCAGATTATCAATATTACATTGGCTGATCCACTAATAGCCATAGCTAGTCTAAGATGGGTCAATAATTAAGATTGAGGTAGCTAACTAAACTATTTAAGTTAAATTTCAGTGCCTAAACCAATTGTTCATTTGTTGTACTCTCTAGTTGAAGGAGGTCATAGAGCTGTACTGTTTGATCGATTTCAAGGAGTGAAACCTGAGGTAACGGGTGAAGGAACTCATTTTCTCATTCCTTGGGTGCAGAAACCAATTATATTTGACATCCGCAGTCGACCTAGAAATGTCGCTGTAACAACAGGAAGTAAAGGTAATGATAAATTTGTAGATAGTGCACAATATAAGTGGAACTACTTGAGAGTGAAAGAAGTATATCTACAAGTTATTCTATTTCTAATCTGGACATAAATTCTTCTTGCAGATTTACAGAATGTCAATATTACTTTAAGAATTCTCTTTCGACCTCAGCCACATATTTTGCCCAAGTTGTACATGAATCTTGGGGAAGATTATGATGAGCGTGTTCTTCCTTCCATCATCAATGAAGTGCTAAAGGCTGTGGTGGTGAGTAAACAGAGTTTTCCTGCTTAAATAACTATTTCATTCCTAGAAACAATCAATTTATAAATTCTTCTTATAGCATGAATACATTGTCAAGTTGGAAGTTACTGGTAATGAGAATAAAGAAAATCATGAACTAAGGGAAATTGCCCTGATATAACTTCCATTCTTTTGAGAAAGTTACAAGAGAAAATACCATTTGGTCATTAGTTGGTACAAGTGGTTATCAGATTTTGGAAATGAGGGGGATAGAATATTATTTGAAGTTAAATAATAATTTCAGGTCAAGGTAATTTTTAACCAGTTTTATATGTTGTTGACACAGAAAAATACTTAACAAGTTTGTATGAACTTCAGTATACACAGTATTAGTGTATAAGATATATTTACAGCTCCCTAAGCACTTCACGTCAGTGGTTCTCTTTTTCCCAGTCTGATTACCCAAATTGTTTGGCTCCAGAAGTAAAATGTCCTTTCTTCCTTAGTTCAGTTATGGATAGTTATTTAACACAAGTGGATGGTGAAAAACATAAAGTTTCCATGGGCAAATTGACTGCTGTGGAAAATTTTGAGAAGCTGACATTTTTAGCATTAGCCCTTTTCAAAATTTTTGCAAAGTGTGTGATTGTGGTCATTTTAGGCAGTAGTATGAGTGTTTTTACTTGTCTTTTAATACTTAACAGGCCCAGTTTGATGCTGGAGAGCTCATAACACAGAGAGAAGTGGTAAGCATCATTGCTTTGAATGAAGTTACTTGTAGGCAGAGAAATATTCCAAGAGCCAAAGATATGCAGTCTTTGAAAACATTTTTAAAAATTATTTTATCAAATGCAGATTTTTTTTAGGGGGGTGGGGGGTGTGGGATGTTAGGAAGTGTTTGGAAATTCAACTTGGCAGTGGAAACATTGCAGTCAAGACTATTGCTTAGCCTGACTCTCACACTGTGAGACAACACAAGTAAATGTTTATTTGTCTATAAAACCATAATGAACAACAACATTTCCAAGGGTTTTTTGTGGTTCTCATTCATGTTAGTATTTTGAAGACCTGGAAACCTACATGTAACATTTTACATTCTGCATTCAATTTGCTGTAATTTATTGATAGTTATTAATAAATAACTATGATTTCAATTGCAGGTTTCACAAAAAGTGCAGGATCTACTGACGGAGCGAGCTGCAAGTTTTGGGCTTATTTTAGATGATATATCTTTGGTGAGGTCTTGCTTTTATGTAAAATTCTAAGAACTAAATAACGTACAGATTGTCAACATACATAACTTAATGTATTTTTCCTTTCAATAACATTATCATATTTGGTATTCAAAGGTGATAACAGATCTGTTAAAAAAACTGTCATGCTTTGTTGCAAGGATCTACAATCTTCAATTATAATTCACATTGATAACTTTTTGACGTTGAAATTAAATCTGAATGAAGCACTATTTCTATTTCAGACACATTTGACTTTTGGCAAAGAGTTTACAGAAGCTGTGGAAATGAAACAAGTTGGTGAGTAACTTATGACAAAGTTGGTAATTCTCGGCTGGCAAAGTTGGCAATTCTTGGCAAGAATGCTGTAGACTTTTTTTGTGAGAAGTAGGCAGTTCAATTTTTAATATTTACGTGTGTGAAGATCTTTCAGGAATAACCCCTTCATCAGTTCCAGCAATTATTGCCAAATGTAACCTTGCAGGAGAGCTTGTGTGGTTTGGCTTGTTTTCGCGTTTGCAAAGACGTACTCACATATAATTCAAATTGATTATAATACAGCAAACTGTTTTCTCATTACAAACAATACTTTGTCTTGTTGCCTTATAGCTCAGCAAGAAGCAGAACGTGCCAGATTCTTGGTGGAGAAGGTAAGGGGGGGGAATAGGGGCAACTGAAACTAATACAAGTGAACACAATGGCAGTCCAAGTGTGTAAGGTTTGAAAGACACGAGGGAGGGGAGGAAAGAGGGCTGCACCCCCCTTGATATTAGGAAAGAATTAATTTTCTAGGCAATTTGTGCACCTCAATCTCAGAAATGTCTTATTTTGTCAGCGAATTTTGTTCCAAACAAGTTGCTTTGAGAAAGCTGGATTGAGAGAGAAAGTGATATCAAAGGGGTGGAGTTTGATTTTCAATTTTTGTCTCCAGCTCACATAGGAAAAAAGCCTGAGAAGGTCGTGCTTTGATAAGTTAGTTACTCTTCTGCATACAACATCGGCTGGGTGCACACACTGAAAGTGTGTGCGAGTGTTTGAACTTTCCTTCTCAGTCCAGCTGTGTCACAGAATCAATGAATTTAGTAATTTTTGTTAAAATTCACACTTATCTTTGAATTTTCGACACAAAAATTTGTTCGTTGTGTGTTTACCAAAAGTAGTATTTGAATAGAGCGAGAAAGAGAACGATTATATTTTTTTCATTCAAGTTCGGCTCTGAATAGGTGCTGTGTGGAGAGGCGCGATCAAAGCAATGTGCTCTGTGGTGTGCCTAACGTATTAACTGTAATCAACGTCCTTTTTTCAGGCGGAGCAACATAAGCAAGCCACAGTGATCCGGGCTGAGGGAGACGCTAAGGGAGCAGAGCTTTTAGCAGACGCGTTTAAAGAGGCTGGCGAAGGGCTTGTTGTGCTCAGGAAAATGGAAGCCGCTGAGGAAATCGCAGACAAGTTATCTCGTTCAAGAAATGTAGCGTACCTTCCTCATGGACAGAATATGTTGTTGAATCTGCCTGTCGGTCGTCAGTAAGGATATGATGTAGAAAAAGATTGAGACGAAAAACACGGCCGTAGCTAAAACTTAAATAGTTAAGAATTGACACTTTTCGGATAACTTGTGTTTCGTCTTGAAATTCGAAGTGAAACTTTCAAGCTCAAAAAAAATCGCACCAAAAAGTGACGATGAAATTCAACAGATCCTAGCAATGATTTTCGTGGGTGAAACTATAATATTGAACTACCTATCTAGGTGTTTCGTTATCAGCTTCCACATGTTAGTAGTTGGATTTCAAAGGTTTTTCGGGGAACGAGTTTTTCCTGTAAGTTATCTGTCGGTGAGGTAAATATGTGAAATTGCACGATTTGTAATGAATCAACTGATCAAAAATATACACGCCTCTTTCAATTATTGCATGTTTCTTTTTGTTTTTGCTTCTGTGTTTTATTTATCTTGACCTCGTCTCTTTATGTTTCTCGGTAAGTTTTCATCGCGAGAAACCCCGCGTAGCTTACGTGCACCCTCCCCCCTAAGGGGTTCCCTCGCCTCCGTTTCAATTGTCGGGGAGGGTATGGCTACTCATAGGCTGAACCCCGCGGAGCACTCTGACTTAGATCTCGTACTTGTTCTTTAGAGTAAAACACACCTGCCACAACCCTAATCAAACCTAAAAAAAACCCTCTTAGGAGACAAAGAAATGGATGGACTTAGCATAGAACTGATCCATACGGTAAGGAACCAATGCTTAAACTGAATCCCTGAAATGCCCAGAGCCCTTAATTTCATCGATTGATCGAGCTGTTCAGGTCCAGTGACAATACACGCTAATAAACCAAGAAAGTAAAACTGTTGGCGAACAAGAATACCGTATAGTGCAAACTTGAATAATTAGGACGATGAAATCAATGATAAAGACTTTCATCTACACGTATCGACCAGGTAAACAAACTTTGGTGCTAAAAATTATCAGAACAACCTCGCTCCAAAAACTGAGAGAGGATTTATCTGGAAAAGAGTTCCGCGTATTGAAAACGGTGGAAGAAGCTCTTTATTCTTCTTTCTTGTTCGAGCAACTCTAAATGCATTAAGTGGTGTTGTACGTGAAAGCCGTCTCCGCTGTGAATGCTGCACTGTTTACCGATTCAATAATTGTTTTGAAACCACACTAGGTATCTGTTGGATGTAAGGGACGTTTTGCTGAGTTGATTGTGATGTTGGCACCACAACTTGGGTTTCATTTTTCTGTAGAGATAAAGTTTTTGAGTTGCGAGAAAACGTGCACGACGCTAAAACTGAAGCATCAGCCCCTCAGCGCTAACGCTGACATTAAAAGTTAGCGTTTGTTGAAAGACATGTGGTGTTTTTTTTCCTTTAAAACGTTAATCGGTTTTTCTCGACGCCAGTTTGTCAAAATGATCCTAATCAGTGTTAGGTCCATTGGTTTCGACACGGTCAGCAATGGCCGACGAGTTGTCATTTTTAGCGAGGGCCTTGAATTGCTCAGTCAATCTGTCATGCAGTCCTTGCTTTGTTCTACCGATGTAAAAAAACGATTTCAGCTCTTCATGACAAAGGACAAATAAAGGAATTAAAAAGCATCCCTGTGTCGCCGTGAGAGAAAAGTTCGCGAAACCATGGAGACCAGGTTTCCCTGAAAAATAAAGAAGCACGTTACATGTTTCGGGTAAACGACAATAACCCATGAGACTAAACGGAGTTCATTAAAATGAAATAAGCTGAAGCTGAACGCATAACGAGATTGTCATGGCTTATATTATTCAAAATTTGACGACTTAACCTGGAATCTTACTCGTTATTAGCCGCCGAAACGTTATTTGTTAATCCCATTTAGCTGACCTTATACCTGACACAGGTTGTGTGAAAAAGAAGACACCTCTATCATCAGCTGGATGTATATTTAGATACCCCTTGTTTATAAATAGCACCTTTTGGTGGTAAACAACTCTCTTAACTCCGTTTAGTTTAGAGACCAGTGTGTTGCTATCTTTAGCAAGTTCTGTACATCATCAATTAAGTTATTTTTCAGAGTAAACACTTCGTCTTAATTAAGCATGATTTTCACCAGGGATAAATTCGCGTCTTGCTGAAATGCCATGGCGATGGTGCCATTGTTGTTTTGTGTCTTCTCTCGCGGGGGAGGGACGGGTTTGTCTCAAGTGAAGTGACTAAGATGGTTGCCGAGTCCTTCAAGATTTAATTGTTAGCAACATTTCAGTTGTTCTTGTTGTCCTGTTATAAAGCTTACACTTATTGCCAAAGCCATTATAAACAATACGCGATTTTTATAGGCCAATCTTTTCCGCAATCCTAGCTATGGCAGTAACACGATGATGGCATTGGGTCCTGGCCTCGTTTAATAGCAAGAGATCGATAGTTAGTATCGCTATGGTAAAGGACTGTGTCGTAGCAAACTTGCGAACACAGCTATGAAAAGACTTTTTATGGGCCTTAACCCTTGAACTCCCAACATCTCATTAGTTTTTCTCCCTACCGTCCCCTTACAATTCTTATGATTTTAGTTTAGAGAATTTGGTACTGGATCAACTAATAATCCACTAATTAATATTTTTCTTTATTCTCGTAACTTATCTTGTTGGAATTGTATTGATATTGTAAGGAGAAGTTCTGTCTTTGTCACTTATGGATGTTAAAGGGTTTAAAATAAGATCTCAAAAATTGAACGACTTTTTGAAACCTGTGTAAGACAAAAGTAAGAAAGAGGGCGTTGTCCTAGACACGAATTCGAAGGGAAAATCGCGTCTAGCGTTTTAACAAAGCACTCGTCACGAACCGTTTACAGATGACACGGAATTTGTCATTATTGCCTTCTAATTTAAGGCTCGTTCAAGTGTTCTGCTTAAGTTGCTTGTAAACCAAGACGTACTACACGTCTAAAACGTTTACGCACTTTCAACACGTGAAAAAATTCACTGCAAAAATGATATACGATATTGTTTTTATTTATATATTTTCTGTTTTTTTTCTTTCTCGGAGAAATTAGCTATACAGCTACTCTTGTAAATCTGACGTGAAATAAAGGTGATGTGTAATGTGTGATGTGTGGTGTGTGATGTGCAAGGGTTAAGTCTGTTCAAAGGTACATAATGAGTTAGGTTACAACTTCAAACAGCGTTTAGGATGTCTTACAATTACTGTTTAACTCAGTTTTGCGAGACCTTGGTGAATCTTTCCTCAAAAAATAAACAAAACTGCATCAAAGAAGACAGAACTTGTTCTTTAAAAAATGCACCTCAGAATCACGAATGCCAGAAGCAGCAAAATCTGGCAGATAACACGTTGCTCAGTGGTAAAGGTGATTTTCCATGAGAGGCATGAACCACAGAGATTTCAATACGGACGCATAAAAAAGATTATTCTTAATCCATCAGTCTTGAAGAATCTACAAAGTAACAACTCATCTGATAACTTTCACAGTTCTTATAATTTTCGTTCGTCGAAGATTGCTTTTGAGACTGCTAACGTCATCACGAAATACAGAACCACGCTTATGTGACATCATCCACAGTTTAGAGTCAAATTCGACATTAAGTTAAAGTCAAAATATTAAGTTATCACTGTGGGTTGACATAAATAAAGAAATTTTCAAGATACACCACGAATAGGTACTTTATCGGTTATATTAAGTGCGCAAAAGTCATGATTGGCCGCTTGGAGCCAAAGTGTTTCGCCCTCGCCCATAGTACAACGATAACAGCAAGCAAACTGCGGTTGATCATTACCTTTTGATCGAGATTTTTTTAACATTCTCCGCCATCATTTCTTATTTAATGCATTCTGAGAAAGCCCAAAATATGTCCTAATTCATTTAGCGGAGGATTTATAACCAACAGAGAGATTTCAGGACCAGATATGTCTTCAGCGTAACAGTTCATTGGACCGGATTACCCCCGTCTTCAATTCGACAGGTTATCGCCTTTGCAACCGTTAAATTTCATCCAAAGATCAACCGTTCAAACACCTGTTAAGCACCACAGGTTGACGACTTTAACACTTAAAAAAAATCGAAACTCTTCCTCTCGAAAGTAAGTCCTTCAAAAAATAATAGCCAAAATAGCCAAAGAATCATTGCAAAATTATTTTCAGGGAAAACATTTTAAGTGGAAGGCAGGCGAAAAGAGTGCGGGAGTTCTTGTCAACATGTTAATGTTCATATTATTGACTCTGCACTTGGCTACTGAGGTAAATATTGTATTTAGTCAATTTTAGCGTGAGCCTTATTTAAGGCCTTTTGCTTATAAATGTTAATGAGTTTCTTATTTTTTTTCCCCATTTGGCGAAAAGAGTTTTTCTGCAGCTCATCAAAAGAGGCGAGGAAAATCTATTTCCCGTAAGTTGGATGATTTGACTATACATTTAGACCAAGGCTACTTTGGTTAATTTATATGAAATATTCGGAATTTAGGGTTTAGGCCTAAAATTATTTGTTTTGGAAAGAACGTAAAATATCTCTATAAAAACAAGCAAAAGTCTTCAACTTCTACTTGAATGATAACAAGCTCGTTTTAAAAAATAACAGCTGGCGGAATAAATAATTCATCTACACAATGGATATTAAGAAAATCAAGTTAGACATATACGTTAAGATATTTCACAATGACCTACCTGCAGGGTGAAAAATTAGCACAGGATTTAAATTGTTCTGCCTCCTAAGAAATAATACCTAGCCTCATCGAGATACCGCTTTTCCACTTGTTTGATGTAATTTCAAACTGCTTTTTTCAAGTTGATGGTCTTCGTTTCAGTTGCTAGGATATAAGCTCTTAGCTACCAGTATATACCACACCCGCTAAAGAGCCCAATTCCTGCTAAAATCTCTAGAGGAAATGAATATTTACTGAGTGCGTGCATTCAAAATCAATTACTCTTGGTAAAAACTGAAGTAAAAACTGTACTAAATGTAGAAGAGCGATCTCAAAAATGTTGGGAGTTTTTCGTTCTAACTGATCTAATTTTCGTATTCTATAGTCAACCAACACGGACCTCGCCGCAGTGGTATCCTTGAAATGGTGCAGGCCATTCCCACATCGACCACACCCACTAATTATGTTTTCATGCATCAAAACTCGACCGTGCCCTCTACAAAAGATAAAGGCCGAAAATTCGACGCTGTCAACAAAGCACCCTCCAAAACAAATTTGTACTCTGTAGTAAACGAGAAAAAAGTGACCAACGGTGTGTCTGTTGTTAAAAATGCCACAAACGGACTGAAAAACTTGACGACATATTCGTTTTCTCAACCGAACAGTTTTCCACAGCCAACTAGTATTCCACCAATCGATACAATGTCGGAAGCATGGCCAAATCCAATGGGATCGATCGATAACGAAATGGAGGACATCGGAAGTCCAACTTCAATGCAACCGATTGCGAACGAGATGAACGACGAAGAAAAAATACCTGGTATAGCTGATATTTCCGACATGGAGCGTATTCCGTTAGACTTTCAAGAAGAGGAGCCATGGGAAAGGAGTCAAGCTACTGCTAGTCACGTGACTCACAGTCACACCACGCACGGTCTTGATGGTTCTGGTGTTGGCCATGCTGCGCGTAGGCATGTTGTTCCTGCTCCGCGTAGACGCAGGATGAAGTTAGATGTTAAGGACTGGAATAAAGTGACTGGTGCATATGTGAGAAGGAGGGAGAATCATACTCAGAGAGGTCAGCTGAGAATCTGGAGTACTACGCCTAAAGCTGGTCGGTTGGGAAGGAAAGGCAAGTTAAAGTTCGAGAATAAAATTCTCCTAATCCACAAGGTTAGAAAATTCCCGATGAACAAAACCTGTCCTCCCTGTTCGTTTGTGAAAACGAGGAAGTCGAAAAAGAAAATGTCAATTCCACCTCCCAAATCTATCGATCCAATCCAGCCATTGCTTGAAAAATTTGAAAAAGAGAAAGAAGTCAGTGATATTAAAGAACACACAGTGGACATTGAAAAAGTTCAACCGAATGAAGCAATTGATAAACATCTGAAAACTTTGGAAAATCAGCCAGACATCACATCAATTTCTGAACATCTTTCAAAGGAACAAATTCAAGATATCGTGCCGATAGAAAATCATCAACTAGAACTCAAAACAAACTAAGGAATTTTTTTTGGATTGAAAGTTGGAGGAAAAGAACCTCCTCTTGTGTCTGCACAAAAACACTCGATTCTTTGAAAAGCTGTCAAAAACCAGGGGCGTTGTAAATGATTTACAAATACTGGTTTATGAAAAAATTTTAATCGGCTTAACATTGTAAAGGAATGACAAGAACGGTTTCAAGGCATAGTGCAGTTTTTCAGGCCTCTGACTATTTCACACCCAGTCAAAGTGCAAATTAACAGTGGCTTCTTCTGACGTTACTTTTCAAACAGCTTACGCATGCGTGGACCTTTAGTGAGACGTGAATGGTAGCCAGGAATAGAGTGTTTTTTCCCCCGGCGCTTGTCGCAAACGTTTCTTCGGTAACGTTAAGTAGCGAAAGGACACACGTGGCCTTGTGACTGATTATCCTAGATGAACCAAATTAGCGAACATGAAAGCCAGTCTTTTTTTCAACTGCAGCTTGCTTCTCAAAACTCGTCCGAATCACTGGAATCAGATTGCCGTTATTTACTAGTATGGATTTGTCTACCTATGCACCATAACTCAAGCAAATCTGTATAATTACTCATCTCCTTACAGTTCCAGCTTGATGAAGAATTCACCGAAAAAACTTGAAGATTGGTTCTTGTTCCTACTAATACAGTCATTGTTCAAGTTTCTCTTTCCTTCAACTTTGATACTCACTTTGTCACGCCTATAGGGATTTCTAAACGGTAGCTTTGGGCATACGTAAACGATTACATGTAAGGTAGCGTAGATAGATAAAATTGTAAGCATAATGCGCGTGTTGTCTGCCCTAATGATGGTCGTTTCTAAGTTAACTCACAATGAGAGCAAAAGTCCACTTGGGAGACTGGATTTCTTTCTTTGAATGGTAACATGAACTACACTTCTATTCTGTCGATGATAGAATCCAATAGCTGCATCACATCCTTGTCCAGGCTGTCATCGACTCTGGGTTGTTCCGCTTCTGTTTGCGCGAGGGGCATGTTGTTATTATTGTTTGAATCATTGTCGTCCTGTGTTTTTCCACCAGGTGTTTTCGACGTTGTCTCCATGCCAGAATGGCTTGCTGTAATAACAAAAAGTGACAAATTTTATACAAGTGTTTCTGTGAATATCTAAGTATGGAAAAGACACTCAGAAATAAGCTTTTGGTGTGCATTATCTTTTAAAGAGGTCGAAGACTTCTAGGTAACCAAGTGGTCAGTGGGTGAGTACCAGTATTTCCATCGTAATCCTCCAGAATTAGCTTCCCTTATGTTTTTTTCTAGAGGAGACATGTTTTATGAGACCAAATTGAGTCTTTAAATCATGGAGTCTGACAATAAAAGATCGCGTTTTCCAGAATGGCTCCTTTTTTAGGTCTCAGGTAGTTTTACAGACAATATCTGTGCTATTTTTCAGTATTCAGGTTTTTCCCATCTATAAATTCAAACTCATGCTACCTTCCTTCCTGTTCTTGTCAGCCACACCAAAGGGAAGATTTACGTGTGGTAAAGACAACCTACTGCTACAAACAGTTAAGTCTATACTCGTCGCTCGTCGTGAAAGATTAGCTTCTGCGCAGAATCGCCGAGATACGCCTGTATGGTGAACAAGATTGAAAACAGCTCAATTTATACATTGAATTACAAGGAAGGAATTGAGTTCTTAGCTTTATTTGTTGATTAGGGTCGTGCACGATGGCAAATAAAAAGTGTAATTCATAGTTTTTAGACATATTTTATATTTTTCATGTTGTCCAGTTGCTGTTCAGAGATGACGAATTACGTCATTATTTTGTAAGAGAGAAGAGGTATCTGTCACACAGGCAACAGATGGACAGTACTAGTGTCCGCGCCGAATTTGACGTCACAAGTGCTGTAGTGCAAGGGAAAGCAGATGTAGATTTAGTTTGGGAGTTTATCACATGAAATACAAGGGGAGCAAGAACTTACTTAGGGTTCTCCTGCTGGGGCGTTTGCCTCCACACACACTCAGTGCCATTCTGAACACAAATAAGTAACCTCGTCTGTATCGCTGGCTCATCCAACCGTACAGCGGAGGATTGACGACAGCATGAAGTAGAGAAATAACACTTGTAAACACCACAACTTTGGTCACCGGCTCTCGGTCAACAATCAGACAATAAAGGTTGTATAGCTGTGAAGGATAAAAGATTGAATCAGGTTAGTTTGTTGATGCACATGCAACAGTTAGTCAAAACAGTGGTAAATACACCTTGAATTAAAGAAACTTGAACGAGTTAATGTCAACGGTGGCGCGTGACCTAGTAGGAAAATTCTGTTTTTTAATTTGATCGGTAAAACTGAGTACGAGTCCTCAGTTTTTTAATCTAATTAATTACAAAAGTCAGACTATGATCAGATTGGGTTTTTTATATTAGTTCGTGATTCTCCCAGTTATCAGATATGAACATGAAAAGTTTTACTTGAGATTGTGTTTTTTTTTTATTTCTGCGCCAATGAACAAGAAAGATCGCAGAATAGTGGACAAATTTTATATGATGACATAGACTTAGAGTCCCTTTCTTCAAAACGAAGATCGCAAATATATGACGTAACTTTCTCTTTGTGAGACCTTCATTCGGTATTGTCCGAATGAAGGCGTTCGATTATTAAAGCACAGACACCTTATCATCTTCTGCATAATTTAAACAGACCTTTATGTCGCATTTTGACATATTTTCACATGTAAATTCAGAAAGCAGGCATTCTTTCAATACCAGATTTGACGATCAAGCATAACCGCGAGTTACAGGTTTACGTATACATTTACATTTACATATATCATCTTGTAACATCTATAACAGACATATTCGCAAGCTCCTAACTAGTAACTAAAGCGCTACAACTAGGAAATATAAAAATAGGAAAAAAACAACAAAAACAAAAAAACTAACTAATATATGTACCATGATGTAGATTTCGCATGTTCGTCACATAACTTGACCAACCCAAGGAGCGAATTCTTAAAAATACGAGTCTCTCTCCAGTCTTATCAAAGTTAAGTGAACTAAAAGGGATAGAACCCTGTCTAACATAACAAACCGCACCACAAAATACGAAGCAGGCCCACAGATTCCTTTGGCAAAGACAAATGTTAATCGCTATGTCACGAACGTGGGAGAAAGCAATTTTACCGGCTCCTAATTGCTATGGTACTCCCTGATACACTCTTTTAACAGTCAATCTTTACCCTCATTGAAATCGCGCTTTGAAATAAATCTCTCACTCACCTAGCCTGGGCGGCCTGTGGCTTATCTTAAATCAACGGTTCCTGTGCTAAGCATAACCACAATTAAAAATGCATTACGTAGAAGGATCGATAATTGAATAGACAGTTTTGTTTTGACCTGTCGACGGGCAGACAAAGAGTCCACTAGGTTACCTTTGTTAAGCCGCTTAGATGACAATATTTATACTGCTTCTACGCAACCCATATTGAAAAACATTCGACTGATGCGTTCTTGTTCCTCAATAAAACTGAATTTGATTAACTTAAAGATGTTTTAGCCGCAATCAATATACAGTATACATTACTTTAGGAAGCCGTAATTTAGGAGTTATCAGACTTCCGAATGCAGTCATCCTTACGAGATGGATCTTTTGTATACTTATACGTCTGATCGTACAGTCGCCTGCTTTAACTGTGGCATTGACTGACTCTTTAACTTTTATATTAACACGGCGTCGGTGTTAGTAAGCGGTCGTTCGATTATAAACCGAATTACTGACGATATATTCACACTCAGAATCGCCACTTAAGATACTAGTAATCATACGAAACGGAAAGATTATCTTTGTATTTTGAGGAAGCAAGTCTGCTTGTCAGGACTAGAACTATTTTTAACATCTGAAGGTTAATTGACATCTTTCTCAGTTCACATCCCAAATTGATGGCTGAGAGACGTGCGCGGAGACATCAAAAGCACACAAATGATTTTGGTAAGTTCAATTTGGCGAATAGCAACCGGCGATTGTGACTAAGAACTCAACAAAGGATTCAATATTAACCAAAGAACTAGTGTTTTCTTGTTTTTACACCTGCTTACACAAATTTGGCTTAAAGAAAGCCTTATTAAATCGGTTTTCAATGTCATTATTTATCACATTTCAAATGACTTGTTCACAGAAGTACGATTAATTTTATTATTTTTTCCTCAAACATTACTCACCAGGAAAGGTAACCAGCTAATGTAATAAACAACTACCACTATCGTCATCATCTTCGTCAGCTTTCTGATATTTCTCACACCGCTTGTTGTTCCTAGCGACTGTAGTTTATCTTTGCAATTTTGAGTGCCATGAGGTTCATTTTCACCGCCTCCCGACATAACAGTTTGTCGCTGAATAAACATTTTTCCTGAGAGTTTGATCGTAAAATAAGAAACCAACACCGCTATCAATTGTATTGCACCAAGCACCTCTATGTAAATGGCATATGCTTTGCCCAAATTGTAGATCTGCGAAAAACACTCTCCATTTCGAAATCCTGAATGTCCGACTCCAATGAAGGGTAAAATAGCGGAAAATATGGAAAAGAGCCAAACTCCAAGCACAAATTTCTTCATGCGCGAAACTGTTATGAGAGTATGATGTCTAAAGGGCTTTACTAATAACATAGCGCGTTCTAAGGCCATTACCGTGACTGTGGTTGCCGCAGCAAGTCGAAATGTATATACCAAACCTATAAACAAATTGCACAAGGTTTCTGTCATGTGTCGTCTCATGTAGTATTTCACAGTCGTTAAAAGCTGAAGTGCGGCAATCGAGTCCAAGATATCTGCGAAGGACAGTGAAAATAACAGAACGTCTGCAGGTGTCCAATTTCGGTAACACGCAAGTGCTGTAAGGACTAACACGTTTCCAAACACTACCAGAACAATGGCAGACTGGAAAATTAATCCAAAGAAAAAAGGGTTGAGATTCTCTTGTGTTTCTGGAGATGTTGTGGTGCTGTTCGTGTTGTTCCTAAGAAATCCGGTGATGTTTTCACTTGTGTAAGCAGCTGTTGTAGAAGTCGTAGGATCGGGCCATGGCGATAAAGTCAGGTTGTTCCACAAGGACGTGTTCATTTTCTCGGAGACTTCTAGGTTTCGGTTCACTGGTTCACTGCGTTCAATTGGAAGTAAAGTGTTTGTAATGCACGCATGCCTTAAATTAGCCTGGCAGTTTTTGCAGTTGTGTAAACATTCGAGCTTCATAAATTTCCGCCGATATTAACGTAGATTTGAATAAAATTAATAGTTCCCCCAATGAAAAAAAACAATCGCAGCAGGAGATCAGAACGTCACACCGCAAAGCATCTGGTAAATTTCGAGGGAGCTATCTATAGTATAAATTATTTCTTAGCTTCCAGTTTATGTAACGATTTTACAAGAGTCACCTTTCAGAATCTTCATTTACCCCCAAAAGAAGCTTTTCACATCCAGCTGAATCATCATTAACATAATAAAAAGGATATTTTTGTATACGTTTTTATTTGTTTTGAGTTTCAGCTTGTTTACACGAAGTTTTCGCAACTCTTAAAAAGCTTGTAAAAATGATAAAAGTGAGAAATATGTCATTGTTAATACAGAGCTGTGTTGATACAGTCCAATGCTTAAATAAAAGCTATTTTGTTTCATGTTACGATTTAACTGCAAACTAGAAAACTCAATCGAGAGAGAATCTAATGGCGTATCCAAACGTTGATATGTGTATCATCTAATTTGCTATCGCATCATGCATCACATGACTTTGAAGAGCAACTCCTGACAAGCACATCCGCGATTAGCGTTTTTCTTGGCGTAAGAAATCTTAGTGCAAGGTCAAGTTGAAAACTTTGTTGTTAAAGATGTAAATTGATGAATGTGGTTTCCATTCATATCTTTACCGAAGGCTGGCAGGTGCTTACCTAGAAGCCCCTGCGAGAATTATGCCCCCTGGTGATCTCATCAAATGCGGAAATACTCAAACAAGTGACACGCCATATTGCGGTCAAACTTGTACTTATGAGGGGAAGAAAGGCTCGATACAACGTTCGACTGATGCTTAGTCCTCCTTTTCTTCTTCATCATAAATTTCTGCAATTCCGAGAACGAGATCTCTCATTCTTTTCCTCCCCTGTTTTCTCCAATTTTTTTGGGATATAAATTTGCATCACGTTTGTTTCACTCTAACTCGGTTTCCCTCGCAGCACGAAAGTCATGTGATCATGCTGTTAGTGACTTTGTTTTATCATCCTGTGGCTTATAATTGTACAATTTGAAGTTAGAAATGTATTCATTAAAATTAAATGACATACAACTGGGAAAATTTAATGCAGCCATTCCATGCACGCTTATCAAAGCAGAGAATTGTGGCGTCTAGATCGGCGCTATATCCATTTTGATGTAATTGTTTATTATTCTGAAAGAGCGATTTTAATTAAGTTGTAATATATCTTTGCGCATATCTTTTTATGGATCGGGAAGGAATTTAGTTTTAAAAAATTGAGGCTCCCAACTGCAGGACAGGTTTCTAGAATTGTAGTTTTCACGACGTCTTTATCTGTATTTTAATTTTTTTGCGACGCACACTCTACGACTCCAGTTTAAGACGCGAAGGCGGTGCAACGATTCCATATCTCGGGATTTATGAGCAAAATCGATGTTTTATAAGATTTCATATTTGCGCGAACCGTTCAGAACATCAGGAGTGGCCATGAAATTCGAAATTCTCGCTTAGTTCAAACAGATCCTTTTTTGTTATTTTCATGCCAAAATCCCTTTCTAGCCCTTTTTTACTCGATCTACTTTTACTGACACAAATCGAAAATTGAACTCAATTGAAAATAGTTGGATGCTTTTTTTGATCAGGTTGTTCGTTTATAATCATTGTGACAGACAAACCGAGCTGAAACATTCACGAAGTATTCTGAAAAGACATCTTTCATAAAAGCAAAGTCCGGAAATTCCGTATAGCTGTCTCTAATATTTTATTTATAAACTCACCAGTGACCAACCAGGAACTAGATAGTTGATTCAGTTTATGATAAGATCGATAACTAGGTGGTGTTTGCTGAATGATTATTAACAGTTTTTAAAGTAAAGTTTCCTCTAGAGACAGATCAGTAGATATACCTAAAAGCTTCCTTCATCTTGGCTGAAGCCATCCCTCTTTGCTCTAATTGACAATGTTTTTAAACTGTGTACTTAAAAAGTATACATTGTTTTTGTGAGATGTTTTGACGGCAGACTGGCTAGATTCGCATCCGTGTGCAAATAGTGACTGTGTTCTGTTTTCGTCTGCAAATAAGGCAGCCAGAACACTAGCGATCAGGAGAAATAGGAGGTAAGTTGAACGAGAAAGGAACGTATTTATATATAATATATGTGTGGAAATTTCCTTCAAGTTTGTTAAAAAGACTATGCTCTTCAAAGATTGAGAATAGTCGAGCTGATAGTATTTTCGATTCGTGTTGATCTTGTATGGTTAATTTTGCACTAGGAAAGATTATTTGGTTCATGGCACACGAACAGTTAGTCTACCACTCAGAATATTTGACTGAAGGATAACTCAGGTAAATCGTCAACGAATGAAATTAGACAGGTAACGTCAAGGATGCGCCATTTTAAAATTCACGACTGCGCGGAATATTAACGAGGGTGTTTCCCATTTGGCGAAATCTCATATACCGATTTTTCTCTCGGGAAATAATTCGGACTTAAACTTTATTATTTTTTTATTAGACACGCGTCATGCTAGTGCTGCTTTTATGCTCAATTTCTCAATTTTTTTATGTGATGGTTCACGTCAATAAGTTTTCTGCGAATAGCTTGTCTGTCTCCACCATCCACCCGAGAGACATCTGAATTGTCACAGAGCCACAATAAAACAAATTGTTATTGACTAAAATCAAAACAAACTTGCTAGAGCCGGATATTAGAAATAGCTCATCCCAAACACCTTCCCTTACAACAGATATGTGTCTTTTTTTCAGGTTCTTAGAGTTATTGTATCATGCTATTTTTTCCTCTATCCAGCTGTGCTTTATCAAAATTTCCTCTCCCACTCCCTCACCGTCTATATTTCTCGATCTTTGACACGACATTTTTCAGTTTTCCCCATTCGACCTCCTGAATTTCAACATTTTGCTCGTTTTGAAAGGCGTGTTACAGCACAAAATGATAGAAAAGGCAGGTGTGAAAAAAAGTTGCTTGGACCTGGTTTATTTTAGTCGCACCAATAGAATTGTACATAATTTATGAAAATGAGTCCTCTTCTGCATTTGATCTCTCGTTCCTAATTAACGGTTGTTTCGTTCACTATGATCATCACAGTTCACTATTGCTGTTGATAAACTTGAAATAAAAAAATGATAACCATGGTAATGTGGACAAATAGAATAGATGTGGAAAACCTGAAAAAGAAATTGATCGGTAATAGATGCAATTCAAACCCACGACCGTCCTGAATTAAAATTCTTTCAAGGATTCCATAATAAATAGAAAATTTTCATAGATTCTCTTGATGTTTTCATAAATAAGTAATGTAAGTTAGCTCGGCTTGGTAGCTCAGCTGGTGAGTGAGCTGCATCAGTTTATCTAGACGGTCATAAATTCCAATCGTGTTCAAAGACAATTTTTTTTCAGGCTTTATCTTTACAGTTAATTAGATATCTACATGAATGCAGTTAAAATTCTTATTGTGCAGTTCAAAATAATGATTATCATCATATTTTCCCTATCATTGTTCATGGACAGTTATGCTCCTCCCATCTTAATTACTCAGGAACAAGGAGATTGTCTTCAATAGACTAACTTGCACAGTGTTTGTCAAAGAAGTCAAATGAAATAAAAAAATAGCCTAAGGAAGGTGTCCACATGAAAAATAACCTTTTTATACAAAAGTTCGTCTGGCGCAAAGTTCGCACACCAATGTTAAGATGGTACCTCAGGGAGATGCCATATTCTAATTATCTAAGCTTTTTTAGTGGTTTTTTTTTCAATTTGGGAAGCAAACCCTATAGACGCATGCACCAAAACAACAATGACTATATCATAACTGCGTAGCATTTCCAATTTAGACCTGATAATCTCTTGAAACACCATTATGTATTTAACATTCTAACATTTTTGTTGAAAAGAACCATAAACAGCTTGACTACATGTAGCACAGAAAAAAAAAATGTTGAATAAACTAAACCAACCAAGTATTCACCACCGACAATTAAGCCTACACAATGTATTTGTCGAATAATTATTCATTCGAAACTTAGTTTGTAAACGAATAGAGCAGGTGGAAGAAAACACGTTTAAAAGGATCTGTCAATTAGCAATTATGGCTCTCTGTCTCCTTATTAACATGACAATCACGATCAACTTCGGCTTTTAGTCCTTGTTTTGACAGTACGATAAACAAACTATTGAGTTATTCAGACACCAAAACAGCGTGTTGTTGTCCATTCACATTGAGTAGCAGTTAGGAAGAATCACCGGCACCAATAGGTAAGTAAAACTAGCTTTGGTCAGATAAGAATGTCTGCATTTGACACAAAAATTTACAAAATGAACTTTTTCAAGTGAAATTTTGAAATTCAGTTCTGAATTGTGCAGCATGAGAACAGGATTTCCTCCTCATAATTAAGTACTCTTGAATAAAGAATTTTCCTCAAAAACATTTAAAAGGAAACACCTATCAAAATTTTGTCGTGAGCAAAGAAGACTTAAGTTTATTCGTTTCAAGGTATAAGAAGTTCCCTTTCGTTAGTGTTACGAACACCAAAAAATTTTATCCTTCATAAACTATTATATGGATAGAATTCTGTGAATGGGCGAAAGCGGCCTCATTGTCAGATAAAAGTACATTAATTACACTATGGATTTCTCTTTCCTCCATGGCAAATTCCAAGTTTGTCTGACTTCCTTGCGCAATACATTGACAGTTTGGTTCTGTATTGTATTTCCTATGATTACAAAGATCACAAATCCTAAAAAGTCTAAAGCAGTTTTACTTTGATTTAAATAATGTTAGAACATATCAGTCCGTATGATTCTCCTTTCCGTAAGATAATGTTTACCTGAAGCAACGGATTTTTCGATTACTTGTTTCG